GAAGCGGTACTTAAAGAGACTAATAGAAAAGCTTCACAAAAGTACAGCGATTGGCAGCTCTAGGTATAACTGGAGCAAGGAACAACAAACTTGGTATTTCGAGTCAAATTGTCGTTATGAATGGCATGTTGCAATTTCAAATAAACAATATTCGAAAATGTCAAAAGTTGACATATGTTATGTCATTCTATTCAAAGTGTCACTTTCTATCGAATAAAGCTAATAACCTAACTAAACAAAATATCGAGGGTGCTATTTAAAATAAAAAGTTGTAGTCATTTCCGGTGAAACAGAAAGTGAACAAAAACAATTGAATACGTCAATCAATCTTAATTTATGTCATATTACTAACATGCCAAATCCCGATTTTTTATCTGAAAAAATAAAAAGTTATAGAGGTAGGCCACTTTTGATATGCACCCGGTATAATAGATATTATTCTGGTTAATTTTTATTCGTCCATACAGGTTGCGAAAAACAATGTAGTTTACATCAAAGATATTTCTGAGAATGGGGTCTTGGAGACACGCTACAATTTTAAAATGTTCTATTTTCAGTTTGTTGAATTAATTGTGACTTAATTCCAAACATGTAAAATTTAAAATACAACTCTGATGTTTTGCCGTATCGACTTTGAAATCGAACTTGTTACATAACGAAATGTAAGCGAGTATCGAAGTGGGCACGAATTATTCTATGTAAATATAAATAATCGTGAGTTGACTCGCTGTGTTGAATAGGCTGTGATCAACACATTGATAGGTGACGATATATCGACAGGTACCGATCTATCGATAGTTACAGATATATCGATAGTTAACGATATGTCGATATATCGATAATTTTGAAGTCACCTATTGTTATTCAATATATTGATAACTATAGATATATTGGGAAAAAGCCCTATCCTAGTCACATCCCGGTAGAGGTAGTCGCCGGCGCGTCGGCGCATAAAGCTCCTGTACCTCCGGAGGCGGTGTCTTCTCATCACCCGTTTGATACACAATATATTTGCTACAATCCTCAATAATAACTTGAACCATAATTGGAACAAGATCTCGGGTTGTAAATTCTGAACCACTTGTATAATTAATATTATTTCTTATAAGAATACAGGCTCTGGGAAATTCCTGCCTGTTATCATGTACATGGTGTCCCACTTAAGATGGATACAAGCCAATATCTTGGTTGTTTGTTGAGCGATCTTTTACATTTTTGGTAGGAGGCTGTATGGCTATAAGACGTACATTTTGTCCAGGGTAAGAAATGCGATACCTCATAGACGTACGTTTTAATGGGGTTTGATATTTTTCGAATCAAAAGTAAACTACCGTTAGGACAATATTTATTTCAAATCTGATAAATTATATTGAATCCTCCTTACCCAAGATACTTAAGTTCTAATTTTGATAAACATTGATACATTGATATAGGGTGTGTTATTAAAATAAGACATTTTTATTTTTATTATTATTTTTTAAGTACCGGGTGGCCAACTAAGAATGGACGCCGGCTGTATCTCAGAAACTATTTATCGTATAACTTTGGGAAAAAAATTCTAATAAGTAAATCGACCAAGAGAAATCGCTGGAAATTATTTTCAAGTTCGAAAAATGTCCGCTAGCGGGGCGTTTTTCTGATATCCAATCAAAAAACAGGGTTTTTCTCAAAAATATGCAGGTGAACAGGTATTTTAAATATTATTATTGTAATCATCGAGAAATTTGTAATTTTTTTGATATAAAGTATTTTGTTCTATCTCATAAAATAAAGTGGTGGGGGAAGGTTAAACTTGCTTTTACTAAAATAAGGGTAACTCTGGTTTAGGTTAACCGATTTAAACAAACTAGGGCTCGTTTAAAAGAGCTTTTCTTTCTTAATCTCCAATATAAATTTTGTTTCCATAAATTTTTTTCTGGTAGCTAGAGGGCGCTGTTTGACATCATAACAGATATTGCACTTTTGCATAAAAAATTTAAATAGGAGGCTATACTTTTCTTTGCGCCGTTAAATAGAGCACAAAATTTCCAAAATATTAGCTCAAACCGCAACTTTCTATCTTCTCTTTAACGGGAGATATTAAGAAAATAAATCATATTAGGCTGTCGCCTAGTATTATAAGGTCTAAATATTATAGTAGTAGGCTAGGAAACAAAAAGAGATAAATTGGTTACGTCAAAATACCAAAATATACATTTTAATTTTACTTTAATACCATTTAATTGTTATTTATCCATGTTCGTTCTTGATTCGACCCCATAAATTAAAACCCAGGCATATTGAATCCGATGACCTAGCTGGCCATGGAAATATGCCGCTCCAGCGTCCACACATTCATAGCAAAATAAGCGGCACAACTGCATTCATGCTGATTAAATTGCAACAAATGCAGTTTCATCATGATGGATCCCCTAACAAAGTTGACAATTTATCTCTTAGAACTTATGTTCATTTTATTAAGATAATTAAAAAAGTCCAATCATTCCCCATCCTAGAATTCCAGCCTAAACATTTACCGACCAACGGTCTTGGTGCTGAACTACTTGCATCAAGGGTAGATTTGGACCAGTAGTGCATATTAAGATTCGCACATGTGCTATATATGAAAAGTGACCCAAACGACATAAATTTTATCATATAATAATAAATAACAAGTTCAAAGTTATACGATAAGTAGTTTCTGAGATACAGCCGGCGTCCATTCTTAGTTGGCCACCCGGTACCTGCGACGCCACTGGATAAACAACTGATTTATTATCAATAACCAATTATCAATTAATAATCGATTTAAGTTTTCAATTAGCTTCCATAATAATTAAGATACAATACAAAAAAAACTTAAATATTTTCATTTTATTGTGTTTACTTGATAAAAATGTTTTTTAAGTTTGCTAATACAAATGAATAAAATGAGTTCCGATCCATAATGCTGCACCTGTAAGAAGATGGCTTAATGAAAATTTTCAAGTTGGATTCAATGGATTGGTCGCAATGTCGCAATAGTCCTTTTGTAGCATGGCCCCCTAGGTCTCCAGACCTCACACCTTTGGATTTCATTCTGTGGGGTGCTATCAAAAATAAAGTTTATAAAACCCGTCCACGAACATTAGAAGAATTGAAAACTCGAATAAGACAAGAATGTGAACAAATTTCTAGAAAAAAATTACGAAAAGTTTGCTTAAAAAATAGGAAAATTTAGGAAAAATGCATTAGAAATTATGGTTTGGTCGAAGGTTGAATTTTAGTTCGTTATAGTTTTATAAATCTTTGTTTAGAGCATATTTTTCAAAGTTAATAGTGATTGTTTTAAATATCTAACTATTTGGATTTTTTAAAATATTCCTCAATAAAATGAATAAAACTCATATTTCAGATTCCATTGAAAATAGGGGTTTTAAATTATTTTGTAACTCATTTTATTCATTTGTTATTCATTGCAAACTTAAAAAATAATTTTTTAAAATAAACAAAATAAATTGAAAATATTTAGTTTTTGTGTATCGTATATTAATTATTATGGAAGCTATCTGAAAACTTAAATCGATTATTAACTGATAATTGGATATAATTGGTTATTGATAATAAACCAGTGGTTTATCCAGTGGCGTCGTAAGTACTTAAAAAATAATAAAAATAAAAATGTCTTATTTTAATAACACACCATGTATCAATATTGATCAAAATTAGAACTTAAGTATCTTGGGTAAGGAGGATTCAATATAATTTACCAGATTTGAAATAAATACTATCCTAAGGGTAGTTTACTCTTGACTCAAAAAATATCAAACCCCATTAAAACGTATGTCTATGAGGTATTGCATTTCTTACCCTGGGCAAAATGTACTTCTTATAGCCATACAGCCCTCTGCCAAAAATGAAAAAGATCGCTCAACAAACAACCAAGATATTGGTTTGTATCCATCTTAAGTGGGACACCTTGTATATTATCTTTGAATTTTTTTCCAACAAACCTTTAATTTGTCCCTGGACTATTACCACTGCATATTGATTTTTCTCAAAGAGTCTTGTTGTTGTGGTGGAATACCCTTTTGCAGGATATAGATTTACTTGGGATATCCCATGCATTATGGGATATCCTAAGTAAATTATACTGGGGGGTAGTTATATCTTGGAGATAGGCTAACGACCCTTAGAGGAGAGGTGGTAGCTTGTATGCCACTTGTGGAGAATAGTCTCACGCAAGCGTCAGCTGCCTCTCCTATAGTTCCCTTTGTGGTTGGTTCATTGCAACTTGCAACTTTTGTTAATTTTGCCTCCCAGTATTGCTAGAGAGTTTCCCTCTAGCTCCACTAATAGTTTTTATTCCTACTTGAATTTGAGCTCATAGTGTATTCCCACAAGTCACTACAGTTAGTCAGTCCACTTCTACAGAGCCCTGCATGTATAAGTAAAGACTAATTACAATGATATCCCCCTAGTGCCTCATGGTTGAGACCAGTAATGATTAGTGTACTATCTAGCCACACATCCCTTTGACCTGGGTCTGTCATAGTGGGATTTAGTTTCTTTGTAAGGTCTCCTCTTGGTCCGGCCAATTAAGCTAAGGCCCCCTCATCCTCTTCTCGTAAAATATGCCTACAGACAGCAGAGGGTCCCTGGTATAACAAAAGAGATAATCCTATCCGGCATCGTTATACGTCTTGATGCAATTCCCTTGCCACAACACCAGAGCTAAAGACAAGATAGCAAGATGCACCTTGAATCCAGTCAAAGTGTCAGAGGCACCTGACAGGGAGCTCCACCAGGGATATATGTCTATATCTCTGAGCTCCACCCACCAATGACAAGGTTTTGCATCACCTAGGGGAAAAACAGTTAGAGACTGCCAAAAAAAGTTCAGATTCGTAATCTACAACCTCAAAATAGGGTGCATACAAATTTTTGTGTAAAAAGCAATTTCCAGTTTTTCCAATAATTACTGAAAAACCCTAGAAGGTAGAGGAAAAATTTTGAGACACAGTTCATAAAAAATAACTCACTTGCTAAGTTCTTCAAAACTCTCCAAATAAAGTTCCAAATCAACGTCGTCATCCTCACATAGTGAAGCCTCAAATTTATCATGAACAACCTCAATATTAAACATTTCGGTTTCAGTCGATATTATGAACAGTAAAAAACGTAAAATTTTCTGTACAGATTCAGTAAAAACATTGGATATTAGCACATGATAACCTTATATAGATGTGGATTGACCTAATTTAAGCACAAATAAGTTTAATAAAACCTCTTTATAAGCGTGATATGTAGAATATTATTTGTATTTTGTATTTACCTATATGGTATTTACCTTTGGTAATTTAGCCATGGTCCTGGCACAGTCCTGGTATTTAAACCACAGTAGGGATGTACCAAAATAACCGGTTATTTCGATAACCGTTTTTTTTCAGTTAGTAACCGGTTAATTTCCTACGTCATGCGTCAGTTTAACCCTCATTGGTTTAACCCTTTGAATTAACCTAATAACCTTCAGCTTTGATCAATAACCGGAGGTCGGTTATTTTCTATTTTAGCTAAGTTTGGTATTTTTCTCGGTAAAGGTGTGGATCCGGTGGCTGACCTTGAAGCCCATATTTGCTGCATTTGATCATCGATACTACGCAAGCGCACATCGTCGATGTTGCCAAATTGCAGTTTATTTTCGAATTATTTTTAGTTAAAAACAAATGTTTACAAAATCTATAATTAATTTTATAATTTCAGATTTATCTTAATATCAAAAATTAAGGTAAGAAGGATAATGAAGATTGTGAAATGAAAGTATTATGAATATATAAAATTGTAATAATAATAACATTTATTTATATATTTACATTAGAATTTAGAATTAAAAATTATCATTTACGGATTTTTTCTTAATGGTTTTAAAGTTATTAGAATAATTTTTTTTCTTTCAAGTTATTTCATTTCTAGTTATTTACAGGCAACAATAGTTTTGATTATATGTATTGATGTATTGAAGTAGTGCCATGACGAGTCTTATAGAACAATACACGTCAATGGGAGATAGAGGTAACATTTTACCTATAATGTTACTAATATAATATACTTTGATTATAATGTTTGTATCATAATTTCTTAAAAATATCAAGTTAGTGGATTAATAGCAATTTTAGACATATATTTTATTGAAGAGTGTGTTGATAAGACTAAAATAAGCTTTATGTTTTATTTTTTTCTCTTTAGAAGGGAGATAGTTTGTGTCGTAGAATACATTACAGTATTTAATATCGTGTACTTTAATATTCTTTTCTTAATTTACTGTAATTTCTTCTTTCCAATAATGCCAAATCTTGACAATATGGTGAAGGTTGAGTTTTGATCTGATATTTATATGATTAATATTAAGATGTTTCTTATAATATTTGTTATGTCTTAATCTTAGTACTATATTATGCTTTGTCTGGAAAATAAATGTTAAAATATCTTAATTTTGCATATCCTATTCCATCCTTCCATTAGGAAAAATATAGTTTATAAATCATATATGCTAAGAAAATCACATAAATTAGTTGTAAGAATAGAGAAATCTTAAGGTAGCAGAAAAATTAATGCAATATATGTATAAGCAGAATTAAACAAGGTAAAACTGTTAATGTTGCTGAAGCTGATTCTACAATTTTAATTACGGAGGCTAAAAGGCCTTTTAAGGCCTCCGTAGTTTTGATGGAATGTTAAAAAAAATCTATTATGAACATGACATGGAGCTACAGCATTTAAAAATTTAAAAAAAAGAAAAAACTTGGACATATCCCTTTTAATTTCCCGAATTTCTAATAAAGCACTTTTTAAACGTAGCATAATAATCTAGAGCAATTAGATTAATTATAAGAATGTAGAGTTTTATTTAGATTTAATTTTATTGACAATGAAAATACATAATAAGCGTTCACGTGTTGTGCGAAATATTAAAATAATAATATAAATACTATACCGCGTACTATGATTGCAAAAAATAGCGTCAGCGATGACTATGAAATGAAGATAGCTGTCATTTTATAGCCAACTGGACGCCGTTATTTCGATCATACGGTATATATTGACAAAAAAACACTGAAAAGCACATATTTGTTTTCTACTGAAAATAATTCCAAAATAACTTGCAATCTGGTAACATCGAAGATGTGCGCATGCGTAGTGTCTGTGACTATATGCAGCAAAAACTCGTTTCAAGGTCAGCCACCGGATCCACACCATTACCTTTTTCTCTTAGGGTGCAGCCACACTATCCTAAAAACGGCGTATCGGCGTAACGGCGTAACGACCTTGAATCGATTTCCAGTAATTCTATTGGCTGAAATTTTTGACAGATGAATTTGACAGATAAAATTTCTGACAGATGAATGTTTCAGCCAATAGAATTACTGGAAATCTATTCAAGGTCATTACGCTGTTACGCCGATACGCCGTTTTTAGGATAGTGTGGCTGCACCCTTACATATTTCACAATAGTTGGTAAAGGTGTGGATCCGTTGGCTGACCTTTAAGCCCATATTTGCTGCATTTGATCATCGATACGACGCAAGCGCACATCGTCGATGTTGCCAAATTGCAGTTTATTTTCGAATTATTTGCAGTTGAAATTTTTTTTGAGTGTTAATCAATAATAATACAAATTCTATAATTAATTTTATAATTTCACATTTATCTTGATATCCAAAATTAAGGTAAGAAGGATAATGAAGAATATGTAAATGAAAGTATTATGAATATATAAAATTGTAATAATAATAACATTTATTTATATATTTACATTAGAATTAAAAATTATCATGTACGGATTTTTTCTTAATGGTTTTAAACTTATTAGAATTATTTTATTTCTTTCAAGTTATTTAATTTCTAGTTATTTACAGGCAACGATAGTTTTGATTATATGTATTGATGTTTTGAAATACTACCATGACGAGTCTTATAGAACAATACGCGTCAATGGGAGATAGAGGTAACATCTTACCTATAATGTTACTAATACAATATACTTTGATTATAATGTTTGTATCATCATTTCCTAAAAATATCAAGTTAGTGGATTAATAGCAATTTTAAACATATATTTTATCGAAGAGTGTGTTGATAAGACTAAAATAAGCTTTATGTTTTATCTTTTTCTCTTTAGAAGGGAGATGGTGAGTGTCGTAGAATACATTACAGTATTTAATATCGTGTACTTTGATATTTTTTTCTTAATTTACTGTAATTTCTTGGTTCCTATAATGCCAAATCTTGACAATATGGTGAAGGTTGAGTTTAGATCTTATTAGTTTTATACTTGTGTTTATACAAGACCAAATTAAAATTAGTTTGTAATTAATTTGTGATTTATATTAAGATCTTTCTTATAATATTTGTTATGTCTTAATCTTAATACTAATATTAATGCTTTGTCTGGAAAATATATCTTAATTTTGCATATCCTATTCTATCCTTCCATTAGGAAAAATATGGTTTAGAAATCATATTATGCTAAGAAAATCACATAAATTAGGTGTAAGAATAGAGAAATCTTCAGGTAGCAGAAAAATTAATGCAATATATGTATAAGCAGAATTAAACAAGGTAACTGTAAATGTTGCTGAAGCTGATGATTCTACAATTTTAATTACGGAGGCTAAAAGGCCTTTTAAGGCCTCCGTAGTTTTGATGGAATGTTAAAAAAAACCTATTATGAACATAACATGGAGCTACAGCATTTAAAAATTAAAAAAAAAGAAAAAACTTGGACACATCCCTTTTAATTTTCCGAATTTTTAATAAAGCACTTTATAAACGTAGCATAATAATCTAGAGCAATTAGATTAATTATAGGAATCTAGAATTTTATTTCTATTTAATTTTATTGACTATGAAAATACATAATAAGCGTTCACGTTTCACGTGTTGTGCAAAATATTAAAATAATAATATAAATATTATACCGCGAGTACTATGATTAAAAAAAATAGCGTCAGGGATGACTATGAAATGAAGATCGTTGTCATTTTATATGGGAAATGTACTCAATCGTCATTTCCCTTTTCATTTCCCGGCCAACTGGACGCCGTTTTTTCGATCATACTGTATATATTGACAAAAAAACACTGAAGAGCACATATTTGTTTTCTATTGAAAATAATTCCAAAATAACTTGCAATCTGGCAACATCGAAGATGTGCGCATGCGTAGTGTCTGTGACTAAATGCAGCAAAAACTCGTTTCAAGGTCAGCCACCGGATCCACACCATTTCAAAGGGTGTTACGACTTTTTTCTATTTTACGGTTGGAAACACTTTTTGCGACGATAATTCTCTATTTGATGTCTCAACACGTAACCTGTGCGTAACCTAAAAGCCACCTAAAAACTGCTCTGTGGATGTGGATCTGCTTCGCTCTGTCTTTCCGTGTGGAATCATTTCGACGTTTGCACGTGTTTTTATTGTTTTAAGGAAAAATTAGTCTATAATGGCACCGAAAGGTAATAATATGATTCCGAATGGCCATTTCCATAAAGATTGGCAAAGGTTTGTAAAAACTTGGTTTAATCAACCCGCTAGAAAAATTAGAAGACACCAGAACCGCATCAAAAAAGCTAGGTCTATTGCTCCTAGACCTGCTGCTGGTCCTCTTCGACCTGTAGTAAGATGCCCCACGATTAGGTATCATACAAAGGTAACGAAATTATTATTTTATACGGTTTAAATGCTGAAAATTTCAATGTCCCAATAAATTTTAATTTTTCTGAAAAGCCGTAATCATCCGCCAAAAGAAAGGTTTAGATTCGTAATCTACGACCTCAAAATAGGGTGTATACAAATTTTCGTGAAGAGACGATTTCCAATTTTTCCAATAATTACCAATAAAATAGTTATATGATACTTATTTGATGTGATCTAATTCTGTATTAAAGGTACGTGCTGGACGCGGATTTACTTTGCAAGAGTTAAAGTCTGCTGGAATTAACCGAAGATTTGCACGCACTATTGGAATTTCTGTAGATCCTCGTAGAAGGAACAAGTCTATAGAATCCATTCAAATTAATGCTCAAAGATTGAAAGAATATAGGTGAGGTATTATCTTTTGAATATTAGTAGATTATAAAAATTATGTTTTAGAGCGAAGTTAGTTTTATTCCCTGCTAATATCAAAAAGAAGTTGGCAGCTGGTGAAGCTACAGAAGAAGAAAGGAAGAATGTTACTCAATTGTTTGGAGAAGTGTTTCCAGTTAAACAGCCTACAATTAGGAGCAAAGCAAGAGTACCTACTGAGGAAGAGAAAGGATTTAATGCATACATTACATTAAGGTGAGTCTTGATGAAATTAGGTTACTATGACTAAAACTGCACATGTTAAATATGTTTAATTTTTCTAAATTTTCATAGCAATACAATTAGAACTTAATAATTGTTTTATGAGCGGATATCTTGTATTTTTGTTACTTATGTTTAAAAAATATAGGTACTAAATGAAAATGTAGAAGAGGTCTTGGTACCTTTTAGGTACTTCGGATTTTTAAAGATTTCTATACAGCATTGAAGATGCCATAACATTTTCTAATATGAAAAAAGCGCGGATTATCCATAAGTAACCCCAAAATCTTACAGGATTGTGGAGCGTAAAGGGATGCCTGGGTGGGATATTAATAATCTATATATCAAATTTTTGGAATTTTCTGAATAGAAATCATTAGTGTAACAAGCCAAAACCACCAATGCTCCCTTATGGTGGACACTTCCTTGTGATTCTTTTATTAACCTTTAACACAGATAAAAATATATCTATTCTTATTAGTTTAAATTATCCTGCTATTTATCAAAATTAATAGGAGAGTAGAAAAAAAAAACAAAGTAATTTATTTATGCAAATTTCATTTGTCAGGCACCCAATAATTAAAATTTTATTGTTTACCACTAAAGACAAATAAATTTGTCTTTGGCGGTAACAATGATTATACAGCTACATCGGAATTGGTCTTCTTTGTCACTCTTCTTAAGCTTAATAGAGAAAAAAGATAAATTCTACATTCTAGCCTCATACAGGGTTGCCAGATCTTTTTCACCAGAAATAGCCGATCGGATGATCAAAAGTAGCCCAAAGGAGCCGATTATGCAACCAGTGATACTTTTTCTTGGTAATATTCTGTAATGTTTTCTCCATAAATATTTGAGACGGTTTGCTTTATATTTGTAATACAAACTGGTAGGTATAAAAAAATAAACAGTCTCAAATATCTATGGAGGCAACTCTACATACCTACATTTTAAAATGTAAACTTGACGGGGTTAGATTTTTATTGCAAATCATGAATTTTTAATCAAATAAAACAACTATTGGTAAACTATTAAATATAGAAGTGCTTGATTTTTAAATTAGGGAAGATTAAAAAATATGTATAATTATAATATGTATATAGGTAGTTATATTTGAATTTCTTCCCAAACTTCATCGTTAAGTTCCCTTTCATTATCTGTCATATTGTCATTTATATTATTCAAATACATTTGAGATGAAAATAATTCTAACATTTTTTTTGTTGGTTTAAAGCAGTTTAAAGCCTATACAACCATTTGATTCACAAAATTTGATTTAAAATAAAGCCTCAAATAACATAACATAACCCAGGAAAATTTAAAATTGATAGAACGTCCTAACATACTCTGAAGCTAGCCAATAATTATTCTTTTCTTTTAATAGTTTTTTTGATGATCAAATGTGCTGCTTTCAATAAGGAAATAGATTAGTGTGCAATCTAAACAAAAAAAAAATTACATATAAAATGACAACGATCTTTATTTCATAGCCATCGCTGTTGCCGTTTTTTTCCATCATACAGTATAATGATACATATTTAGTTAGAAAGTTATTAAAACTGGTCTTTTTTATCGGTATTTTTTTGCTTTCGATGCGCAGTTTTCGTTAGGGGACCTTGTTGAATCGTAATTTGTTACAGTAGGCTTCAGTCAGGGAACATATATTTTGACAATTTTTTATTTATAGGGAACTATAGCGCTATAATAACTTGTGAACGTCAGTACAGAGACCCTTTTAATAAGAAACTGTAGTATAATGTAGAATTGAGAAACAAATTAAAAACACAAAAATGGCTGAATGGTGACTGATGCCAATTTAACAAATCACCAATCATATAGTCTGTGCAAAGAGTTAGGGAAGATTTCGATAAGAGGTCATCCAAAAAATGACGAACATAATTTTGTCAGTGAATAAAATGACAGACACAACTGTTGCTCTCGGCAGTGATGTAAACTTTAGTTACTTCTATGGACTCGTAACTACTAGTTACTTTATCAATCATTGTTTTGTGTACAGGGTATCCCTTTTTGGTTTAAATCATACGGTATCTCCGTTATTAGTGAAGATAGAAGGGTGGGGTTTGCACAAACCTGTCCCACTTTTTTGTCAAATGAAAGATGCCGTAAACAAAATTTTCATAGCCCTCTTCGTTTGGCTTGGTTTGGTTCTATAAAAAGAACATTTTTAAAGATATGAACTAAAGTTATATTTTCTTAAATGGAACGCCTTGTATATTTATAAATTATATGATCTGGCTTGTCATAAGCTTCTGAAATATATATATCACTCTATTTATTTTCACTATTTACTGCAATATTTAATGGTTTTAATAAAAAATCATATTTATTAGTAGGCCATGATTGATAATAAAAGAAATTAAAGAACAATTAAAAGTATACTATCTGCTCCTTGTTTTATTTTGAGAGCCACTAATAAATTCTTTATATATTAGGAAAACTTAACTCTCTACCAATATTTGTAAATCTTGAAAGAGATATATGATTTCAACCACAAACTGGCACTGTTTTATATGGTTGTCGTAATATGAGCTTGTAGTAATGATTACTACAAGCTCATAATAATTATTATTGGCTGATCTATTGGAATTGTAGGCTTGGGGCATTTCTCCGCCGCTTCTGCCACCATCGGAGAATATCGTAAACAACTAGTATATACAAATACACGGCTTTAAATCTGTATAATTTTAGAAGGTATTCATAAAACATTTAATCGCTAGTTAATTAAAAAAAGTATACCTACCTATTTAATATTGCAAATTATATTTTATCCTTTCAAGGTATGTCTATTTAATTTTTTGATTGTGTAACGAGTACTTTATTTACACACTTGTGTTGTCGAACTGTTTGAATCCATTGTTGCTTTTGACCAAATCAGTGTGAGAAACTATGAAGCTATAAAAAGTTGTTTCGGGAGAGCTGAATATCCGGGAAAGTTGAGTTATTGAATGTTTGCACCCAACAACGGCCTAATTACGCGTAAAAGAGATTTATGTGTTAACATTTTTTGAAAATTTTTTTGAAATTGTCACAACACGACGCGACGCCTAGTTAGAATTCTTTTTCACTTATTTTTTACTACCCGAAACAGCGTTACATCACACAAACCTCGTACCTGAGTGTTTTATAGTCTCAATAACTGCACTAACAAAAAACTAAAATACTAAAATATTATGACAAAACCACGGTTTCAATATTATTTTAATGCGATCAAGCACAGTGGAACGGCTATATGAAAACAGAGAGACATTGTGATATTTTAGAAAATTTATACTTATATTTGCATTTATACAAAAATATAAAACATAATAATATATATATTTATTTATTTCTGTTTACAAAATTATTTTTTTTAAACGGCCAAACATAAAAAAAAGATATAATTATAAACTTCACATCTCAATTTTCCATGTTAATAAATTTTTCATAAAGTTCACCTAAAATAAATATAAATAAAACATGTACTTGAATATGCTTTTAACAAATTAAAGTTTTTCTACACATTAAAGTGTGGCATAAAACAAACATGTATATATTAAACATCTTAAGTATAGAGGTACAAAAAAAATGGTAAATTTAAAAAAAAACTTTTTTTATTATCTATACTAACTCTGAGGTTATTATAGATGTCTTATGAAATTTGATGCACGTTTTCTATGCATAAAAATTATAATTTTTAAATCCCCCAAAAAAGTGTCTTGTATATCTCAATTTCCATCCAGTCGAAGCCAGAAACGATTTCAACACAACAATCACCGCATCAGATTTTTAGCGATTTGACCCTGAAGTACTTTAATTTTTTAAGCAAAAACTATACGTTCAACGAAAAAAATGAAGAGACAAAGAATGTTTAGAAATAATAATGTTTATTATAAAACAAGTCAGTGGCGTACCATTTTTTCTCGAAATGTATTCTATATAAAACCCGTGCCGACGTCACTGGTTGAAATAAGTAATTTTGTTTGAACATCAAAAAGATGGTTTGCTGCATAGAAAACGTGGATAAAGTTTCATAAAGATATCTATAATAACATCAGAGTTATTATGGAAAACTTTTTTTTTCTGAAAAATTTACCACCCTGTATCTCAAAAGTTAAGATGTTTGGGACATACATTCATTCGAAGTTTTTTTCTTCCTTTAAATTTTACCATGTTATTAAGGAATATCCTTTATGATTGGTAAAATCAACTATCAAAAAGCAGATAAATGTTATATTTTTGTGTTCGCTATACTTCAGCAATTATATGGATATAAGTGGTAGAGCGAATCCAGTCGAATCTCAATTTATATAGTCCAAAAACTTTGATGTTTGTGTGTTTTCATCTGGTTTGTTAATATTGTTATTCCTGATAAACAAAATAATTTTTAAATGCAAAAATTAAAAAAAAAACATTAACTAAGAATTGGCAATTACGTAATAAAAAAATTACTAATTTCAAAAATTTATTTTCATTGATTTTTTTATATTAATTTGTTCTTTATTAACGATACATTAAAAACGGGTCGAAATTGGTGATAAGTTAACTTTGTATCAAAATATTTACGAATCAGAATATTATCCCAAAATTTCAATAAGATAATAATAATAATTAGACTATTTTTCTAAATAGTAATGGTAGATGTAAAAAAAAGAAAGAAAAATATTGTGACTGTCGACAGTGCGGCACCGCGCCGGCGGCGTGAAATACGTACTGATAATTTCTGATTTCTGCCGTTGAAGCGGAATTTGTTGAATTGCGGTCGGAATTTGTTGAAATCTACTGAAATGTACCAAGCCTATTGTAACTGGCGAAAAGATGAATTCATTTTAGTCATAAATTAGCATTTTGAGATAAAATAAAAATTCAAATTACATTTAATCTATATTTTCTGAAGTTTTGAAAAATTTCAATATTCCTATTGTAAAATTTTTTAAAGAAAAATTGAATTAACATTTTTTTTATCATATACAAAAAAGTTTTCATAATATGTGGACGTTGGTATTTTATACGTATTTTCTTTTTTCAGGAAAGCTCGCGCTGACGCAAGATTAGTGGGTATAAGAGCCAAACGAGCAAAAGATGCCGCAGAAAATCCCGACGATGTAACCAAGGCGGGTAAGGAGAAAAAAGCCAAGAAGTAAATAAGGAATTAGTTCAGATAATTGTTTGTAACTTAACTACTTGAAATAAAAATTCGTCAGTAGTATAAATAGCTTTATTTTTAGAAAAAATAAAATAAAATGTTTTGATTACTGTTGATTTCTCATATATTTCTGCTCCTCTTTAGTTTACCTCTGCCGAAATTGGATTTTTTTTGTTTAAATTCTTCTTTTCTGTCATTTTTTTCTGGTATACAAGATTGATGAAGCGCTGAATGAAATGCACGTGCATCTATTGAGTTATTAAATAAACAATCCAGATCGCCCTAAACATATATGCTTATTTTTTCGAACTACCAAAAGTATGTTAATTTTACCTCAGACTGTTTTATAATTTCTCCAAGATTTATTCCATTTCTTAATATTTGATGAATGTTTTTAGTTGTAATGCCAGGCAACTTCTGCATAAAATCATAAATACTGGAATTATATTTAGTTTCAATAATATCTAAATCTTGATCACAGCCAATAGCTAATGCGTTCTCAATAGTAGGTTCTTCTTTTCCTTGCTGAAATACTCCACAAATTGATCTGTATCTGTCCAGCGAGAGAAGAGACAATTGTGAGTGACATTAACTGTCGCTCCATCTTGCTTCCCATTTGATCAGACTATACTCACTTTTAATTCTTCAAATAACTGAGCTGTTGCATAGGGGCTCGGGCTCCATATAATTTTCAACTTTGGAAAGTGGATTGTCAGAAGTAACAACTTTTGTTGTATATCAAAGTTGTTACTATCTTCAGACAGCATATACTGGTTCTTGAAAGATAAGATAGGTGAATAGAGAAATATTTATATAACAAGCTAACCTGCCAACTAAATGACCCATTCTGTTCGAATTCAATTAATAACATTGGTTTAGAATAATATCTTTGCATTTGAGTACATTGTTGGTATAATCTTCCAGAGTTTAATGACTGAATTAGATCGGATATACTTTTTCTTTCCACGCAGATATCGTTTGTTAAAATATAGTCCCCTACCTAAAATATAATATATACCATCCTGGACACTTCGTCTGCATAGGCTGTATTTTAATGCACGTGACAGAGATAAATATAAATGACCGGTTGATGGACAAACTAAAGAGCGGCATAAAGTGTTGCCGGTTTTTACGTGTGTAGAAAAAAAAACTATTTTAAAAACTCATGTATACTACTGAAATGAAGAAAATATATCTAAGCTAAATATAATTTATTACAGCTGTAGTAAAATGAGTAATTAATTGTGAAAAATTAAGTCCCAACCCGGGGAGATGCAACATTTTTCGTAAACGTTTACTTGTGCTGTTTGAAATTTTGATGCAAAATCCGGCAATACCATAGAAGAAATGTATCAACCCAACTTTTATCTCTTTAATATATTTGATTTTTTATTAAGCTGTTTACATCACTGTCTTACACTTAAAATCCAGACCACGCAGTTTCGATGACCAGATCGGTATATTTATACCGTATGATCAAAAAAAAAACGGCGTCCAGTTGGCTTGGAAATGACGGCAAAGAGTAGATAAAACAAGAGGCGACAGTTCGCGCGGTACCTTTCATGTTTGAGTGGTGGGGAGAGTGACCTCGTCTCGCTTGTCCCTTTAAATTTTCGTAATTTTTTCGCGGGAAATTTGAAATACACTATTATAAAAACTTGCCTGTATAGCTTATAAATAATTACTGTATGGGTAAAGAAATAAATAGAAACAAAAAAAATGAGTTTTCTAAATATTATATAAAATAAATTATAATTAGAAACATATTTGTCGGGGAATAAAGATAATAAAAGCAATAATTTGTATATCATTGGTAAACAAGAGAAAGTGACCAAGTCGATTTGTAAGAAATGTTTTATTTACGTGCATTTTTTTTACATATGGACTTGAACAAGTGTAATATCACAATGTGGAATTTATGTACAAAAAAATAGAGTTGCTCAATTTTTATTTAATAAATCGCGATTACAAGCTTCTAACCATGTCTTCGATCTATGGATTACATTTAGTTTAATAACATAATTATATAGTATATTTCTATAAAAATACTTTTCAGGATCCTTTGGAAAAGAGGAAATATTGCGTTTGTCGAAGAATAAGACCTATTTTTGCAGTCTTTATAAGTTATCACATTGCCACCATCTCGTCTTTTTCCTGCTGCTGGTGTCCTGTTCAGTCTATATTTAACAATAATTACAAATCTCTGAAAACACACTTTAAAAAGGCAAAAATGCAAGAAAACAACTAATCAGATTTGTTTATGTTTAAGCCTGATTAGCACAGCTGATTAGCGTCCTAAAATCATAGGTTAGAATAAATAAAATACGCCGTTGTCAGATTTTCAGATTTTATCTGTTTATCGATCAACTTAAGTCAAAAATCGATCAACTTAAGTCATTCTGTTTCTTTGATATTATCAGTACATTGCGAAAAAAGAACCTAAACCAAGGCTAAACTAAAAATTTACATTTCCGTATTAACATACGTTACTTATATCCTTCATATATTATTAATTTATTTTCAGAAAATCTTGTTTATTTTTCAAAGAAATATACTTGGCAACAGACAAAATGGGACTTGACGGGACCTTTAAATTTTAATATACCTGCGTCTCTCTCGCGAAATTCGACTTCTTTGTTCACTGTCTTCTCTTGTCTTATCTACTCTTTGATGACGGTCTATGACATTTCCCCTATAATTTCACATATAAAATGACAGCGATCTTTATTTCATAGCCATCGCTGACGCTATTTTTATTCGATCATACGGTAAGTATGTTGAATATAATAATTGTAGGGCTTATTGTAATAATCTGATATGCCACATATCCATAATTCTGAAATATTAGACTTCGCAGTTTTGACAAAATGTGTAAATTTAACTATTAATAAAATATAAATTTCAAGGCGTTTTAGTGTCAGGTTCAAGGAGTCAGTTTAGTTTAACTCGGTAAGTATTTATCTAACAAATTAAGCTAGTAATAACAGAACAAACATTTTTTTTTTAATTTAAAGAGAATTTAACAAACATTGCACCTTTTTTTCCAAAAACATGTAAATTGCGTAGTAACTAACACTGACTTGTGTAATTTTAGCTCAGAGTAGAGAAGAATATAAGTCAGCAAAGACAACAACTTAACACTTTTTTTCAAACCAAAGATATTGACAAAAATATGGTAAATACGATAGATACAACTAATACACTAATAAGTAAGTAACTAATACACCTGGTACAACTAACCGTAATTGTTAATGGTTCAATATCAATTCCTCTTTTATGTATCAGGGATGGCAAATCACTTCGAAATTCTCTCATATCAACAATAACAAAAGATTTTTCTACCGCTGTGACTTGACCTCCTTGACGTGTATTTTTTTCGGAACTATCTAGTGGTTTTTGTAGAGTAATACATTGAGCATTTTTACCATCTTGATCAGACGGAATTACCATTTGCTAAAATAGAAAAATCAAGTCTCGCCCTCAAATCCTATGGAAACCTTAAACAAACAGCTTTTGTTTGAATTAAAAATTCAAATGCTTCTTTTTCCCTTCTCAGTAACGTCAAATATGATTGTTCTTCGACTGTTCCTGCATGTATGAGAACATAAGTTTTTAATTTTCCGGGGTTTTTATTGTGTGCTTCATACATCTAAAACATAGAAAAACAATACATATCTAGATATTATCTATATATTATTCCAAAGATATATCTAGGTATTATTCTAGATATTATTCTTACTTCGATGTCTCGTATTGCTGTTACATTGCTATGATACATAATTAGGAAATTCGGGTTCAATGCTTCTAATGTAGTCTGGAGGCTAATATAATTCTCTCCTCCTTTAAATGTTTGAATTAGTATTGTGGGCGAACAAACAGTTTTAGAAATATCTTTTAAGTTTATGCTATCACCCTAAAATAAAAATGCTCAAGAAGTAATGCGGCAAAAACATCGCTGGCAGAGCTATTGAGTGGAACCTACAAGGCAGTAGATGAACTGGCCGTGCAAGACATACGTGGTAAAGAACAATTAAAAAGGGGATCGGAACAGTAAGCCGATCATGGTTTGATGTTAAATCAATTTCAAACAAACGAACCCACGGGAGAGCATTTACTGACGCCCTATGCTCCACGTAGGAGCAAAGAACAAAATGAAAATAAATGAATTTCAATATCTCATAATTTTTCTATTGTACTATTTTTTTCCAATAAGGAGCCATCCTCTGCCGGAAACACTGCGACCTATGAGGCTTATTGTATTTGTCTTCTGTCTATGTCTGCACCCATTCTCCTATACCAACTGAACATCCTGAATAAGCGTTGGTAAAATCATGAAATGAACATAATTTAAAGTTGAAATTGTATTATAGGTTAAGAAAAGTTGATATATTCATATTGGTCCTGAATGCAACCGATTGGACACAGCGAGATAATAAATATATTTATTTCTATTTGTTATAAAATTGCTCCATTCTTTGTTATTTTAAATTTAAACATACAGCGTGTTTTGAGAGCTATATTATGACAACTTCGCCCTTATTTCAGAAGAAAATTATATTAAACAATTTTATTGACAACGTTGTAAATTGCATGCGAAGATGCGACGGCCATCTGTCAATCGAAAAATCATTAGTTAAGCTGGATTTATAAACTCGGGAGTTGATGTTCAGTTGCAGTTGGATTTTCGGAGTAGTTCGGCTGTCCCAAGGAGAAACACAGTATATGCATTTTTTGTAAATATCATTTTTAACATATACAGGGTCACTGTTATGTATGCAAACGGTCGATTTTAAGCGTAGTTTACACGGGCAAGTAAATTATCGCAAGTATATGTCTGAGAGCACTTCTACCAAACTTGCATAATGTAAACATTATCCGAAAGCACTCTCCCAGCAAGTCACAAAACTGGCGGGGAAGTGGTTGTGACGAAAAACGCTTGCAAGTGTGATACAGTGGGATAGTGCTATGGCAAGTTAAAATTTATTTCCGTCTTGTTGAAAGTTTTTGGTGCAAGTGATTTTCGAAGGCGTGTTAAATATCGATATTAAAATGGAGTATGTGGTCGAATGAAGATACCATCACTTTGATTAATTTATTTGAAGGATTTCCGGAATTGTGGCAAAAAAATCGAAAATTTACAGAGATAGAGCGAAAAAGCAAAAAGCAATCAAATTTATAGCTGACAAATTCAACACAACTGAGGCTGAGATTCAGCGGAAGCTACATAATATTCGTACCCAAGCAAACCAGGAGTGGAATAAAATTATAAAAAGAAAAAGTAATATCGACTTCTGACATTCGCAGAAAATTGTTTAAATGCTTTGAGTCTTCATTTCTTATTTTTTTTAATAACATCGCGTAAGCTCCAAGACTAAGCCTTCTGGCAATCCATTCTTTAACCCATATTCTTTTTCTAGATTTTCTTGACTGTTTGCGTAAAATTGCAACAACAAGAGCAGTGGCTGCAGCTCTCTTTTTACGGCACGACATTTTTCTACGAAACAATATACTTGTGCAATATACACCATACCGTGTAAACGTGCATGCAATTTCTTGCTCAAAGCATATGCCTAGAAAGTACTTGTTGCAAGAAATTGCTTTAAAATTTCCTTAAATATAAACACTATCGCAAGTTACTCTAGCAAGTTCTATCGCAATTTTCTATCCCGTGTAAACTACGGTAAAATAATATAGGAGGTACCGCAAAAAGTTAAATATAAAAGTTATAGAGTTTATAAATATCTATTAGCGGGTAAAAAATTTAAATACATATACAGGATCGGTCATAAAGTCGTGGCACATCAAAGTTTATTTTTTTTAAATGGAACCCCCTGTATATTATTGCATATTTCGGTTCTTCCTCCAATTATAAACAAAAATCGAAATACACACAATGTTCCTCAAACCAACCGTTTCCGAGTTATTGACTTTTGAAAATATCACTTTTCTTTCTAAGTTTGCCCTGTCAAGTAAACGCGAGCACTTTTTGTCCAGAAAAATCATTTTAAAAATTACTATGAGAGATTCCGAAAGTCTTCCTTCAGATGTAGAAGTTGCCGCAGTACGTGCCACCGAATCATTATTTATTATGTAGTATTGTGTATTATGTTGTAACGACAATTGTTTTTCATTATTATAAAAACTAGTTGTGTTATAGATTCATAACACAACTAGTTGTTAAAATCCTATGATGTACTCCATGGTACTATTATCTTATTTATCAAAGTACTTATATAAAAATTAGCATCTGAGCAAATAAAAAAAACACATACTTGTACATTATGTCATTACGTTGAATGGTCTTATTTTTGCTTTAGTTTTGTCCTAAATATTCTTGAGCTATGTTTTTAACCCAGGGATAACATATATTTACGAACTGGGTTAGGGCAAAGTTTAGTTAGGGTATTATGTAAATTTAGGGGGGGGGGCAAATAGATGCAACTAAAAACTTGTCGCCTGCCCAGTCCCACGGGTCACGAGCCGCCACTGTCTTCTACTGCCTTGTGCATTCCACTGAATAGCTCTGCCGGCGATGTTGTTCCGCTTCGCCTTATTTATATTAAAATATTTAAAATATCTACGATAGATTTATCTCTCAATGTAATTAAAATTATTGGCTTTGTACCAATTATTTTTCAAGAACAAAAAATAATGTATTATCCGTTTTTGCGATCCTATAAGACTGACAGGTACTCAGTAGTACCTAAAGGTAATTGCTATAATTTTCAAACAAATCATTAAAATTACGATTTATAGTTGAATTAAGTTGAATAAAAGCAATTAAATAATAATATATTATGATATTTTGTTTCTCTTAAAATATGATGATATCCTATTTTTGTCCCATTCCTTATAGAATATCATAAATATATTCTTTGTATACGCATATTTTATAATACTTTTAATTTTTAAAACTTCTTAAAATATCTATTTTTACGCATAACTATACCAGTTAAACCTAATGAAAAAATATATTTATACACTTACATCTGCAACAGGTGTAAATATTTGATCATTACATGCATCTGTAGAGGAATCCTTTATAGGGTCATTCATGGTCAATATATATGTGCTTTCAAACTTGGTATTTTCGTCTTCTTCTTTTGAAAACGCATTTTCATCATTGTACTGAATATTTTTATTTAACTCATTATATTGGTCTTCTTTTCTAGTCTCTTCTATCGTCATATGACAATCCTTGAACGCTTGACTTAAACGTTTAAATTGTATCTTATTTTTCAATGCCAAAAATACTAGGTAATGCTGAGGACCACTTCCTAAAAGCTTAAACAATAATAATTCTATATCAAAAAAGATTTCGAAATTTGCATTTTTCAAACAAAATAGTGTCTAATATATTTCGAATTGATTTTATACTGGATGCCGCTACAGTAAAATTTGTAATATAACTATCTTTTCTACCGTATGATCGAGAAAAAACCGCGTCAGCGATGGCTATGGAATGAAGATCGCTGTCATTTTAAATGTAAATTTATATGGGAAATGTCATTGATGTTCATTTCCCAGCCAACTGGACGCCGTTTTTTTTCGATCATACGGTACAATCATAAGTACAGACAGACGGACAGACAGACAGACAGACACCATGAAAATATTTTGTATTTAGGTCATTTATGACCCAAATAACTCATTTTGAGTGAAATTAAAATAGTTAATTGTGTGTTGTAACCAGTATAAATTGTGTGTATATAGTGAGAAAATAAATTCGTTAAGTATTTTATCGTAAGCTTAAATTAGTGGAACGATGGAATCCGTAACAGTATCTATGAATCTGAGAATGTTTGAGTACATCCGATAAACGCGATGTATAAGACAGAACAAAAAAGGTCCCAACAATACAACCATATGGTACACCTCGCTCTATTCCGTCATCCATCGTTAAACTCGCGTTAACTGAACGGATTTGGAGATTTGATCATTATAATTAACTGTCTGCAGTCTGTCAGTAAGTATTTCTTATAGGAGTTAACGCGTCCTGAGAAAACCAGGAAACCTATAGCAGTGAAGCATTGATATTAAACTTTCTGGATTCAGGCAATCAAATGCTTTGCTGTAGTCTAATAACACCAAGACCGACATATTGCCTCTATCTACCCCCTCCCATACCCCCTTACCAACCCCTCACCCCCACCCCCCACCAAAAACTAATGGCCAGATTCTCGGGTGCCACAGTATTTTTATGCCGGTTCGGTTCAGCGGTTTTTGAGTTATCGTGTTACAGACGGACAGACAAACAGACACCATGAAAATATTTTGTATTTAGATCATTTATGACCCAAATAACTCATTTTGAGTGAAATTTAAAAAAAATTTTTTGCCGATCTTAATAGCCTACCATACCTATTGGTATGGTCGGCTAAAAATATATATTTAAAAAAAACTGTATCTATATCTTACAAATGTTAATAAGACAATATAACGGTTTAACAAGTTAAGAAATATATCTGATAGTATCAGAATTATCAAAAACACCCTAGTTAAGCTCTTCATAAGGCATATTATCTTCTAAATGTTCTGTATTATATTGGACCTAGTTTAGAAAGAAAAAAGGTATATTTATTGCTTCTACACCTTTAGATTCTTAAAAACCCTGGATATACTGGCGGTATAAATTGAGATTATTTTAGATATTTGACTTTTTTACATGCAACCAAAATTCATGAAGAACAGATAATTCAATATTTTTAGTCTGCCTCTGTTTTATTTACCAGCTGGATGTATACTCAATATCTAAATACAAATTCTATCTAAATTTTGTATGGGTCAAACATTTTAAAATATAACCATTGTATTTCGAGCGAAGACACTTTTTGGGGAAAAACGTTTCATTAACATTATTATGAAAAATTAATTTTTGACGAATATCAACCTTTGTTGATATGCAATGCTGTATTTAGTATTAGTACATCTACTTTCATATAGATGTCGTGATTAGTAGTAATAGAGAGTGCTCTATGGCGGGAATGTGTTGTTGTATCAATGTTTGTGACACACGTTATGTAAAAAATGATTATTGTAATTTATCATTATAATTAAAAGTTATAGAATCAGTAAATACGGTTATTACTGCGATCCATGAACCTTCTATAACCTTATCCAATCAACCTTTTGAAGCAAAATTAATTTCTGTTAATCGCACTACGCCGTAAGAAATATTCTAATAAAATGCCAGAGTAGTTAACATGTGGTTAAGTGTTAAGTCTGACTTGTGCCACTCTGGCTTTCTAATGTAACTGGTTACGGCTTTACGGTTACAATTATGAGTAAGATATACATATAAAAGTTTTTATAGACTAATATTTTTAAAACCTCGTGAGTAGATAGAAAACTACATCAGATCGTAATATATGTAAATTAGAAAATCAAAAAAAATTGACTTAGACAACTCAGGTCCAGGTTTTTAACGGCATATATAAAGGCACTCGCGCTCGGCACTTAGTCAGCTTTTGTATAGCGAACGGTGACAAATTGGTGATGGATTTTTAAATAGTTAATTGTGTGTTGTAACCTGTATAAATTGTGTGTATATAGTGAGAAAATAAATTCGTTAAGTATTTTATCGTGAGCTTAAATTAGTGGAACGACGGAATCCGTAACAGTATGTATGAATCTGAGAATGTTTGAGTACATCCGATAAACGCGATGTATAAGACAGAACAAAAAAGGTCCCAACAATAGAACCATATGGTACACCTCGCTCTATTCTGTCATCCATCGTTAAACTCGCGTTAACTGTACGGATTTGGAAATTTGATCATTATACTTAACTGTCTGCAGTCTGTCAGTAAGTATTTCTTATAAGAGTTAACGCGTCCTGAGAAAACCAGAAAACCTATAGCAGTGAAGCATTGATATTAAATTTTCTGGATTCAGGCAATCAAATGCTTTACTGTAGTCTAATATCACCAAGACCGACATATTGCCTCTATCTAACGCGCTCAGTAAATCGTCAGTTACCTTTAGGAGGGCCGTCGTACAATTGTGACCGGTTTAAAATCAAGATTGATGAACAGGCAACATTTCTGTACGCCTTGCGTATTCTTTCATTTGTTTGTTCATAACATGCTCTAAAATCTTAAATCTAATTAAGCGCAGGTCTTTCGAGTCATTAACCTCTGAAGTCTTTGGAACAGGCTTAACAACTGCACTTTTAATATTTCGGAAAATAGTTCGCGATTAAACAGCTTTTTACAATATTTATTAATGGACTCTTTAAGATGGGAAAACAAAGTTTTACCATTATAATATGTATGCCATCGTGGCCCGCAGCATAGGTTAGGTACTATTAATTATGCATATCAAAATCTGAAACTCGCCACCCAACTTGTGGTGTCGTAATAGTGAAACCCACTAAAGCTTGCGAAAGCCAAGAAACTAGAAATATTATAAAACAGAATTTAAAACCAGAAGAATTCAGAATTGGCAAAATCAGTGAGATAAGCAAAAGAAGGAACTATTGATATTCAATGCCGGCAACAGCGAGGCAAGGAATCTTAGAGCGTCCGCACACGGGTCGTTTCGAACTCGGAGAATACACCAAGTCTATAAACAGTTATTATTTACATCAACATAACTCAACTCCTTAAAAGCACTTAAGGGACATAAAGAGCCATTACTACCGCTTTTCCGTTCAAAATATTCTAATAAAGTTGCAATGAGTTTTTTTACAGCGCGATGTATTTTAAACAACACTTAAATTAACAGCACTTAAATTCAATCAACACAATTCATTTAAACCATTCCATGGTTTGAAACAATGCATTTAAAAATTGCGCCCTCGATTACCTACCTAACTAATTTTGATTTCGAATATAGATCAACAGTAAAAAGAACTACTCAGAAGATTAAAGCAGCAGAATTCTACCATAATAACAACGGAAAAATTGATTCAAATAAAATCGATTGTTAGCAAGAAAATCTTCCTCTAGGAGATGCGAGACCTTGTCGTTGGTAAGGAAGCTCCTGGTTAGGTGCTAGGGGGAATCGCCTCTGGTACTTTAGCTGAGTCTAAGGATCATCCCATTGTCTTGTCCTTGGCTGTAGTGTCGTGGCCAGGGAATTGCACCAAGACGTATAACGATGACGGATGGGACTACCCTGTCCGTGATACCAGGCACCTTCTACTGTCTGTGGTCATGTATAACGGGCAGAGGGTGAAGAGGGGGGGATCTTAGCTTAACCGCCTGGACCGAGAAGAGAAAACCTTACCAAAAACCTAAATCCCGTGATGATAGGACCAGGTCAAAGGGATGCGTGGATAGATAGAAGACTAGCCTCTACTGGTCTCAACCTTGGTGCAACAGGGGGCAACCCATTGTATACTCGTCTCCCTTATTTCTACATGCGAGGCTCTGTAGAAGTGGACCGACTAAACCTTGCGGTGTAATTGACCTCAAATCCAAAGAGGGATCCTCTATTATAGATTCGGGACAACACCGGTATCAGGTCTAAGGAGAAACCAAGTTAAAGAGGTGGAGAAAATGGAGACAGATTATCCAGCTTCCACCTCACGGGAGAATCCAGCTTCGACCTCACTGGGCCTAGGGCCAGAGACAAGATCCTCGACTGTGAAGGGCACAGAGGGTTAAACCCCAACCGTGAAATGGTGTATACCCTCGTAGGAGGTAAATGCCCGCTCCTCGGAGCAGATCTGTTGTGAGAGGAGTATGGAAAATACCCTGTCCCTCCTACAACAGGATATCACCATGTATGATGAGTTATAGACTGTATGATGAGCTATAAACTCAAGAAAGGGGACGATAGATCTTTAAGGTCGCGGTGATTAACCCCCCCCCCCTTACTCTTTCTACATTCTAGCAAGAAAATGAAAATTATATACATACTTTGATATTACTGTATCATAAACACCTTTAATAGACATAAAAATGTAGAAGACATGCAATTATTTCTGGATTGGAAGGTGTTACAAATGTAATTAATATAATCATACAACAAAGTTTTGTACAAGCAATCCATTCTGTGGAAAATGTGAGACAAACAGTCATTCAACCAAAGACTGTAATACTGAGAATCGTGAATGTATAAATTGTAAGTTATATAATCAAATGTATAACCTAAATCTGAACACCAATCATAGTCCCTACGATATATATTGTACAACTTATTTGCAAGAAGGAAAAAAAAACAAGAATATAACTGGTATATTATATTCTTGTTTTTTCTCTGAGGAACATCAATTCATATTACGCAACAATCAATGATCATCAAGCATGAAATTAATTATTATTTATAATAATTAATTATCATCAAATTTATTATTAATTATATTAATATTCAGTGCCTAAGGAACAAATAACTAGATTTGATGGATTGGTGAACAAAATACTTGTTTTGCTTCTGAGTGAACACTGGCTCCTGATGAAATATCTTTTGCTACTATTGATGGTTACAGGCTTATGTCATCTTACAGGCTTATGTCATCTTACAGGCTTATGTCATCGAGTATTAGTGAGATGAGATCGAAATTTAAAATACGATTTTTTTAAGCGAGAATGTCAAAAATTAAATTGACATATGCAATGTCATTCTATTCAGAGTGTCATTTTATATTGAATAAAGTAAAAAAATACCGAAGGTGCCATTTAAAAATAAAAAGTTGTAGAATTTCTGGTGAAACAGGAAGTGACCAAAAACAATTGAATACGTCAATCAATCCTAAATTATGTCGTATACTAACATACCAAATCTCGTTCTTTTATCTAAAAAAATAAAAAAGTTATAGGGATGAGCCTCTTTTGAGACGTACCTGGTAGACTCTATCAAGATGTCGTTTTAAATACAACTAATACAAACTAATTTTCATACTCTAATACTCTATTAAAACAAAAAAAAAAAGACAAGATGGGATCTCAGACAGGCAAGTTGAAGGAAAGTAAGCAACCCGCTAGGGCACCTCAAGCTCACCACACTTGTGCCTGTACTCATGTCAGAAAATGTAACCTTGTTGAAATTCATTCAAATTCTTAAACTAACTTACCATATTAAGTTGATGACAAGTTCTGTTATTACTACAAAGAATTAATATTGTATTATTCTCATTTTTGGATCTACTGATTTCAGCAGGTATTTCCACTTTTAAAAGTTCCATTAGGGCTTCCCACTTAGGACAAAATTGTGGATTAAATTCTAAAAAAAAACTATTGTAGAAATACATTTTTAAAATTATTTTTAAAAATCAATGGTTACCTCTATCTTCAGTAAAAACTAATTTAGTAGAGTCTTTAAATAAAAGTTCAGCAGAATTATTTAAAACCCATTGTGTGTTTCTGGCATACTCGGGCTTTCTATATTCTAATAAATTGGAGTAGAAAGTAACTGAATCAGTATAGAACAGCAATCTAAAATTTAATTTTATAGTAACAGTGGTTTACATAATACTGAGTATCTTAGTGTACAGTAACAAATGCCGAAGTGTCTTTAACTCTGCGATCAATTGACAACTTTTGTTACTAAGTTGATGCCACACCATATTCAATTCTGCCTGTAATATTTTATGAAAATTCTTAGTTATACAATTTTCTACTGTAACATCTTGCATTTCTAAAGGAGGATTAAGTTTTTTTAACTCTTTTACTGTTAAATTCATTAACTCCAATATATAAGTTTGTATTTTTTTCATCAGGTCTGTAATAGGTATATGCAATTCAATAACCTGTGGCTAAAATGTATATATAAACTAAAAAATATTATGTGTTAGATTAATTAATGATATACTTGATATTTTTTCAAACAATCACATATTAGGAGATGGAATCTAGGCCAAATGTAAAGTTGATTGACAAATAAAGCACGCATAACTCTATCGACATGACAGAATCCCATAGTAAAGCTTTGAGCACTATTAGAAAATGCTTTAACAAAACCACTCTGCAAGAAAAAATGCTACAAAAACGTTGTATAAAAATAATAATCTTACCTGATTATTCTGTCTGTACAACCTTAAAGCAAATGCCTCGTTACAGCTTTCAAATATTCTGTGGGCCCTTAACACAATCATACCAGTAATTTTATCAGTAGGTATACGCTTCTTTAATAAATCAACTACTAAAATTCTTGTGGATAGAAAATGGAGACCTCCACATAAATATTCTTCCTCTCTGCATTAGTTGTAGAGAAATAGCTCCTATAGCTACCAATATCTGTATACCAAAATTTTTTAACTTACCGTTCATTACCGTTTTGGTGTTCGCTATAAATATGTTGATAATTTAATTTTTCTTTAAAAAATCGTTGCTCAGATTCAGTTGAATTTAATATAATAACCAAATTTCCAGGATCCTGGTAAACTTTTAAGATATTTAAAATTACCAAATCTAGATTAACTCCTCTAGAACATAAATATAAATAGTTATTATTAATTTAAACAAAATTAGAATTACTTTGCTGCTATGACTAAACCATCAGTGCGGACAATATCTAGAAATATTTTAGCTTCAAAATCTAACATGTTTCCATTATTTGCATTCTCCAGTATAGCATCTTCTATATCCTTTGATTCACTCATCATATTTTAGATTAAGAACTCTGTTAAGAATAAGTTTTTAAACGCTCCGTAATTATGTGTCTAGTTAGAATAAGCCTGTATAGACAAGGGTATAAGTAAATAAATCTGAATTAAGTTAAAAACAAATAAATAATTAAAGATTTTAAAGAGTTGGTTGGGTAAAGTCAGTTGTTTTGTTGTTTTATGGCTGACCTTGAAACCCGTATTTGCTGCACATGATCATTTGATCACAGATACTACGCAAGCGTACATCGTCGATATTGCCGGGTTGCAGCACAGATAACACATAATCTATGATGTTGAATTATGTGTTATCTGTGGTTGCAGGTTATTTTTAATTTTTTTCATGATTCCTAGCATGATTCCTAGTATCTGCAACTATATGCAGCAAATAATCGTTTAGGGTCAGCCACCTAAAACACACTTGGGAATACAAAGGGAATACATGTTTTTTTAAACTTCATTTTTCTGTCAGGTCGATTGTACGATACTTTTTAACGGTTATAACTTGCAACGATAATTCCCTATCTGACATCTATGAAACGTCAACATCAGCTGGTAGATTTTATTTTAAATTTTTTTAACGGTTAAATTGGGTAAATTTAATTTATATTTTATAATCAAATTTTATTCTTTTCTAGGAATGTAATATATTGTGAATTGTCGTTCATTTTTTGTTCGCTCTAAATATCAAGTTATTTGTTTTATAAACATTTCAATTAGTTTTGTGTGTTTTATATATTTTTATAACAAAAATTAATTTTAATTTAACTTTAAAATTTGGTAAACATTTTAGGTTTATTTATAATATTTAGAATGATTCTCAAATGCAAAATTTATTTTTTTATATTGCCCTTTATCTTTTACAAAATCGGCACAAACGCTTTAATAAACGATTATATATTTAAAATAAGTGGTTATTTGGGTTATAATAGTGCAGGCAAAAACGAAATAGATTCAAAATCAAACGAATTTGATCAAAATGTGCCATATGAAGTATCTATAATTGACCAGAAATTTATAAGTGAAGCTGCAAAACTAACAGGAGTGTCTCTTTCAGAGCTTGATTCTTGCCAACAAAGGGTAACATACCAGGCATATACCCATGAAGTTATTTAACTTTCCTACACTAAAATATATTTTAGGTGGTATTAAAGTTGAAGAATGATTGTCATAAAATAAATGATGAACAGTTGGCCAAAATGGGCGTTCATTTATTAAATTGTCAATCATATGTGGAAGGAAGAAAGATATTTCCATGCAGTGATGAAATGACTATTAAAGATTGCACCATAGAAATGGATTCTGATACTTGGACTAGTTATCATATAATGAGTAACAGGTAGTTATTAATAGGTATCAATTAATGGTTTTATTAATAGGTAAATTTAGTTTTAACAAAAATCATCTGGAAAAAAGGCTACATTTATAAGTATTATGTGTCACATATCACATAATACTAAATACCTCAAATGGCATTCAGAAGTTTAGTACCAGGAAATAAACAACCTTTTATTTAAAAAATTGTTTCGACGTGTATTTTCGTCTTTATCAAGACTATTTTAAGATAAAAGGTTCTTTTGTCGTTCTAATCTTGAAAGTTTGATATTCAGGGTTATTCACTACATAAGACACAGAATATTGTAGCTGTAGCTAAACTATTAGATTTTTACAAATTGTTAGTTTTAGGTTTGTTGAAGAGCTATTAAAGCTACAATTAAAAATATTTTTACAAGATACAGTCTCCCAAATAAATAAAAAATATCAAAGTTGTATTTTTTAAACAGAACACACTGTCTATTATTACATTTTTAGTTTCTACGATTAAAATAAATGTAAATTTGATTAAGGTTTACCACATTTTAATCTGACGGTTTTTGAAATATTTACGTTTTTTTCAAAATACAGTAACAATTTTAATGCTTCATTTCTCTAGGCGTATTTATTTTTTTTAGACCAAATATTGTACTGAAGTTTTTCCATTTACTAAATTTTGTGCTGCAATAATAAAAATTATAGTACCTTATACAGAGTGTCTAAAAAATGGCAATAACTTCTTTAATTCAAATGGAATACCCTGTATATTTTACGAGAATCAGATGCACAATTTAATTGTCTATCAAATAGTGTTATTCCATTTCGGGTCCGGTGAACTATCCTGACACACAATTTTTGCATTTTTCTTTTTTTTATCAAAAAGTAACCATTTTTAGTAGTAGTTTTAAATAAAAAAAATTGGTGATTTTGCACAGAATTTTAAAATATTTTAATTTAATTTTCGTAGTTTTTGACACATATTTGAAGTTATGGAGAATTTTAAAGCCCCGTTCTCAGAACTTCGTATTGTCGAGGGACACGTCAAAAGAACCAATGAGATTTGCACAAAATTCAAAATTGACAGCTGTTTGAATTTTGTACAAGTCTGATTGGTCTATTTGACGTGTCTTAGGTCCCGTTCAGAGAACGACGTCGGCGTCGTGGCGCTAGCGACACTGATTGACACTTCAAATAACCAATGGGAGCTTTACTAAATTTAAAATCGACAGCTGTTTGAATTTTGTACAAATCTCATTGGTTCTTTTGACGTGTCGCTGGCGACAGTCGATGTTCTGAATTTAAAATGTCAAACCGTTGTCAAGCCGTTTATTTGAAATGTCAAACTGTGTCGCCAGCGACACAACGTCGTTCTGAAAGAACTTCGTATTGTCGAGGGACACGTCAAAAGAACCAATGAGATTTACACAAAATTCAAAATTGACAGCTGTTTGAATTTTATACAATTGAGGGTGCATCCACACTATCCTAGAAACGGCGTATCGGCGTAACAACGTAACGACCTTGAATAGATTTCCAGTAATTCTATTGGCTGAAATTTTTGACAGATGAATTTGACAGATAAAATTTCTGACAAATGAATTTTTCAGCCAATAGAAGGGTTTGAATTTTGTACAAATGATTGTAAGCAAAAATATCGAGACGTCGATATATCGAATGCCAAAATATCGATACAGGATATTAAAATTAGAAATTCAGTAAAACTTGTATCTTTTAACGATGTGTCTATTACTCTAATTACCTTTAAATTTTGTTATTAAATGACAACTTTATATTAAATAAACAACTAAAAATATATTCCAATTAAGTAAAAAACAATAAAAAAAAGTATCTTCTACATATGTACACTAAACAAAAGGCAAAATATATAAGTTTAATTGAACAAAGAAAAATTCAAACCACAAAATAAACAACAGAAAAAAACACGAAAAAAAAACAAAATGTGAATAGGATCTTCTTCCGGTGCGCAGTAGTAAACGCAACGGGTATCGGCAGCCAGACGGGCCGCATGCTGTTCCAGAGAGCATAGTAAAAGATATATCAAAGAGCCAGACGTCTTAAAATACTTTCTCGAAAACGTTGCTAGTTCTTAGACTAATAGGGCTCTTGGGTCACGTTTCTCTAGAGCTATTATGTAAGTATTATATGTACCGTATGATCGAAAAAAAAACGGCTTCAGCGATGGCTATGAAATGAAGATCGTTGTCATTTTGTATGTAAAATTATATGGGGAATGTCATCGATGTTCATTTCCAAGCTAACTGGACGCCGTTTTTTTTTTTCGATCATACGGTATTTAGTATTGTGTAGATTTGCGTCTTTATGTTATACAGGGTTATTCACCACATACAACACGGAGTATTGTAGCTAAACAATTAGATTTTTACAAATTGTAAGTTTTGGGTTCGTTGAGGGACTATTACAGCTACAATTTAAAAATATTTTTACAAGATACAGAGTGTCCTAAATAAATAAAAAAATATAAGTGTATTTTTTTAAATACATCCAAACCAAACCAAACACCCTGTATATTATTTTATTTTTAGATTCTAAGATTGAAATAAAGGTAAATTTGATTAAGGTTTATCATACTTAAACCGTACCGTTTTTGATATATGTATATCAATTTTTGTAGTTCGAAATTGTAGTAAAAAATTTAAGGCTTCATTTCTCCAATGGTATGAAAGTTTTTAATGCTAAATATTTATTGAAGTTTATTTATTCGTTGCCGCTGATGCCGTTTTTTTCGATCATACGGTACATAATACATAATAGCTCTAGAGAAACGTGACCCATAGCTCATGGGTCACGTTTCACTAGAGCTATTTTACGATTAAAGTTAAAATGTTCTTTAGGAATGTTTATAAACCAAAAAACTTAATATGTTCCTAAAAAAAATTTTGTTAAATTTAAAATATTGTTACGGATTCCGTGGATCCACTAATTTAAACTCATGATAAAATACTTAACGAATTTATTTTTTCTCACTCTGTACACACAATTTATACTGATTATAATAGATCATAATACACAATTTATGCAACTACTATTACTCTAACTTTTCTGGCACCTTCGCCAGTTAATTCACAATTTAAAACGCGGTATTATTGAACTTCAAACTGTCCCAACTGCCGAGCGCGCGCCTTTTATATAGCTGTGGTTCTTCTGGAAAATTCTATTCTAGAATTCTTCGTTTAATGTATACAGGGGTATCAAAAAATTGTTGGTCTATTTTAAATATTTATTTTACATAAAAACTTCGTTATTTTAAATACAACACCCTGTATTTTTTTTCGAAGCAGATTCAAATGTTCTTTCAAACTATATTAAGATTTCCTATACCTATCTAGCTCAGATTTTGAATAAAAGGCAATTTTTCAACAAAATGGCAATCAAGTTGGCTGGTGTCGTCATGGCAATTTTCTAGTTAAAATTAGTAACTCTTTTCAAAATCGACATTAATTTATGGACAGTATTATTTAGATTTATAACAGTTTACTTAAATTTAGCTACAATAGTTTAATAAGTAATGAAAATATAATATTGAAATAAGATGGTCTGGAAATTATGATATAGACATTTATTTGGTATTACAACGAAAGGCTTCCTTCTTGAAGAGTTATACAATTTATAATTACAATGAGAGAGTTGCATAAATGTTACTCTAACTAATTTTATTTCTTCCGAGTGGTTGTACTTCCTAGGATGACTTTTGTTTGAGAATGCTTTTATTTTAAAGAACACAAGTTTAATTAAATTAAAATAAAAAATAATTCTTCTACATATATAAATTAAAATAAATATTAAATTTCTAAAAATTAAACTAAAATAAATATTAATTTTCTACAATATATAAATTTGAAATATAAATTAAAATTCAACATATACTAATTAAAAAAATAAAAAAATAAACATAATTCTTAACTTGTTCCTAACTAACATAACTAAAAAAATTTATCCTACAAAATTGAATATCAGCATATACAGATTGAAATAATTAATTCTTACTTACTTTACTAATACAAAAAACTTACATTACTAATACAAAAAATAAATAAAAAAAATATCACTCAAAATACATTAGTAATAATATTAATTAATGCTTAAGTAAATTTCTTTGAATTGTGCATTGGAGGTATGATTTGATTATTGCCTTGTTCGTTTTTTCTTTCAATTTATCTAATTATAGCTGATTATACGGCTCCCCTCACCTTATGATTTTGGTCTAGTTGTTTTTAGTTTTTCAGATTTAGCATACCATATTGTTATCTGTGATTGAACAATTTTTTGTGATAGATATAACTTTTTGACTTTGTAAAAAAAAAATTTGACTTTTTAACTTGTTGTGATTGTATTTTATAAATTTTACCTCTGTAATTGTTTTAGCTTTTGGGCCTGATGATGGGAATAGTTTAAATTCCCGAAACATGTCGCCCTCTTGCTTTTTTAAGCAATAAAATTTAAATTAAACAACTTAAAGATTGTGAGTTATTTGTCCTTTTATACCCGCCTTCAAAGGTTTTGCTTTGATAATAAGTAAGTATTCATTATTTTATCAAGAAAAATTAAAAGCCAGTATTTGCTGGCGGAACGAATGGAAATGTTACTAGTGAGTTTATTTTGTGAGGAAAATTGCTTCTTGGCCTCAAGGGCTTATGCTCAAAGATATCCAAATAGGAATCTTCCTCATAAGCGTTCCATATGAAAAAATACTTTTCTATTTCGCAGAGCTATGGTAGTGTGGTTTATAAAAAAAACTATTAGGCAGAAACCTGTTGTTGGAAGTAAAGAAAATAAATTTAATAATAATAATCATAATTGGCTCTTTTATAGAAAATCCATATATAGCATATATATCCATATATGTATATATATATATATATATATATATATATATATATATATATATATATATATATATATATATATATATATAATATATAGAAAATCCATACAAGTGATCGTAAAATAAATGAAAGAACTACTTCTTCGTTTTTCTTGATAGAAAAATAAATACATATTTAACAAATATTATTTATCAAACTACTGTAGGCAAAAATAAAAGTAAACTGCTATAAATTTAAATAAAGTCCATAAACTACTAACATTTCAAAATAAGTTTAAATTGTGCACATTGCCTCCCCACATATACTCATAAAGTATTTTGTTTCTACATATGTCCGTTTTCGTATAATCAACCGAGGCGAAATGAGGTGCGCCCACCGCCACACCCAAAATTCCAAACACGTGCTTTGATTAAGGCTTGATTAAGGTTTGCAGAGCTTCAGCATTTTCCATAAAATAGCGAGCAATTTATTACAAAACCATATAAATTATATATCACTATAATCAACTTCAATCTATTTCCGTATTGTAACGGAATTTTAAATTATGTCTTTATTTTCGAGAAAATTTAGTCCAAACATAAGGTATATTTTGTTGATGTTTGACCATCAAAATCTTAAAAATAAAGAAGTTATCTAAAAATGTGCCACAATAATACGGATATACAGTATAATCCTTTATCTTGAATTTCCTTCTTCAATTGTGTAAAAATACCTAGCCAGTTTTACATAAAACGTTAAATGCCGAAAGCTTATTTTGCTACTTTTTCGGACTAGTGAAATGGACTCTTAATACTATTGTCAAAAGGAAACCCTCAAAACGCCAGTGTCTCTTCATACAAGCCCATCAGTTTGGTTTGGTTGGACGTCGGAGGCAAATTGTATGAGAATCTGATATTAGGATTATCAAACCGTAATCGAACCTAGTTGACGCATTTTTTCCTCTTTATTAAATGTAATACAAGCAAAGTTTGTTATTATATTTAAATTATTGTTTGATAACGTAGATCTTGTTTTCTACAATGTAGATAGAAATAGAGAAATAAATTAATTTTGTTTTATTCTAGAGCCAAAGCTGTGTGTTATATGATAAGACAGACTCAATTTAGAGGCCTTGCTGAACACACAGTTAATCGTTTAATGGATGCTACTAAAGACCAATTAAAAAATTTGGAGAAAATCACTACAAGACAAGAAAATATTAATGATCTAGTGCAAAATACTTTTGAGTCTTTAAATCAAGGTTTATTATAATTTAATTTACCTTGTAATTATTGATTTACATTTTTTACCTTTTTTTAGCGCAAACAGAACTTCTGACACAACAACAGGATATTCAAAGAGCACAATTTCATGGGCAGCTTGTGCTTGAAAATAATATAGTACGTCTTATAGAAGAAAAACGTTTGATAAACCATAGTCACAATAAAGTAGTGAATATATTACAGGAAGTTTTCGCTAAACTTAATTGTTCTGCCCAAGTAATTGAAAATCAAAATATTGGAATGCAAGATAAGCACAAGGAATTATTAGAAAGTGTAATTCTTATACAATCAAAAATTGAGGACTTATTCAATAAAATTGGTAATTTTGTTTTTTAACTAAATATTAACAAATAATTAATATATAGAAAACCACTCTTTTATCAACAAAATATATATTTTCTCCACGATAAGAAACAAAAAATTCAGTTAAGATAGATATGAAACAAAAATTATATTAAAAATGTCAGTGTCAAAAAATTCATTGACGCTGTTTAAACAACGGCATAGCGAACCCAACGAAATTGCACCGCGCCCGCGCACAGTGGTTCCCAGATAGGTCATTACTTAGAAATATTAATTTCAAAATGTTTGCATGAAAGTGTTGCTAATACTTTTCTTATATTCCCCCGTAAACGATACATAATATATAACAAAATCAAGTAAGCCTAGTGTAGCGCTTTTTTTATTAGAAATGTCACATTTTTGCTACTGGTATCAAGCTGACATAAACAGTTTTCAGATAACGCCAATTAATTACTTATTTTATTAAAATCGATAAAAGCTGTTGCCTTTTCCGTAATGGACGTTCGAAAAGAAGGTAAAAAGAACTGTTTTTTTTTTCTTTTTTGCACTTAATTAAACCTAAGTAATATTAATTTATGGTAATTTATTTGAAGGCAACAAAAATACTATTTTTACATTTTTGCTTGTCACTCTTTAAGACTTTTAACTACTTTCCCTTTCAAATCCTCTTAAACGGCATGAAAATACTTGTTGCTTAAAGTATATTGCATATAAATTAATTGCCACTGGCTGCCGCAATTGCCGCCGAATCTTATACCGGGTGGTTAAAGATTGACTTTTTATCTTAAAATAAAAGTAACTTATTTTTTCCTCTTCGTGTCAACTTATTTCGTGGACACACTGTATATCAATTGACAATAAACTACTGTCTCTTTTATTTTTTCAACATTTAAAATAAATTTGACCTCTTCAATATGAAAAAACATGTACATATGTGCAAACATAATCTGTATACCTTTCCGAATAGTTAGAACTTAAAGTGCAAATCACACGAACTGGGCCCAATTTTTTTAATACATATTACATTAAGTTTTTTATATACATTTATTTAGCATTTGTTATTAATTTCTATTAAAAAAGGTGCAGTCAAGCTAGATCTAGATATCTAACAGTTATGACCGCGCAGCTAATTAAGGGGAACCACTGTGCCTCGTCTCGATACGATACTCCGTGCGGAAAGCTTGCAGCGTTATATTAAAAGTGTCAGTATCAAAACTTTCATTGACGCTGTTTCAACACCCATGACACACTGAAAGGTGCCATCATAAAAGTGCCATACAACACAGTGTTACACATGGCTATAATGCAGTATTTTTATATCACCATTTCATTCCAGAAATGTCCTTAAGTGGCCGACAACAGGTGCTTTCACCTTATACTATGAGAGGATAAAATATAATTTACAATATATTGGAATACTTTTTTTAATCAACTAGTGATTCAATGTTTTATGAACATCTTCTAAAATTATAATTATGTACCTTTAAAAAATTTCGTCATAGCCGAAATAGCCCCAATTATGACTCCACTAGCAAAATCGGTGCGTAAAACTATACCAGCTACCGTAGTTGAACTAATCTAAAAATTTTTTAGCTGGAATAATAAATTATAATACAAGTTAGACCTTCTGACGATATCAAAATATTTACTATTTTATTTTTATTTTTAGAATTTTCACCAATTATACTTCTTAACACTTTTAGACTTATTAAATAATAATTGTTTGGTACACTCGGTATTTAAACCCGTGTATTTGTATATATCAGCTATTTACGATATTTTCCGATGGTGGCAGCATCGACGGAGAATGCACCAAGCCTATACTCTATCTCTCTTATAATGCGCGGATCCTTACATAGGATGTCCCAAAAATAAGTGCAAGTATTTTAAGGGGTGATAGATCTGGTCGAAAGAAACATATTTTCTCTTTGCCGTTTTTAAAAAAAATTGAAAATAACCGAGTTATTTAGCTTTGAAAATTAAAAAAAAAATCCAAAATTTTCAGAAATTGGCAATTGCCCGGATCTTCGCCGCCCACTGTTGCCACATCGACTAGAAAGACTTAAAAACTACTTGCAATATAACACACTACCCAAGAGGTTTTGTAAAGGTGCGTTATTTTTTTTTAAATGAGTGATCGCCGGTAGCCCCAGTTTCTATATTTCACAAAATAAATAAAAAGATTAAAAGAAAAAAAACTTACCGAACATTATTAAATTATATCCCGATAACAGGTCGATATAATTGCAAAATTTTCTTTTTTTCCATTTACCACTATAAAAATCGCTTAACACTACACTTAACAACACTTCACTTCACTGCAATTCTTAAATACCTTTCGCTTCTTGATTGCATGCTATTATAATAATTGTTCAAAATGAGGCCTCCATTTCCATGCCAACACATGCTATCGTTCTTCTAATATTTGAGAATGGAATTTTTAACGGTTTGAAGCTGTTTTTCGTTCATCCTATTATAATTATATAGCATTGTTTTCTTTTTTATGTCAGAGTTAGAATATCCTTAGACATTTAGTCAATACACATACACCCACATCCCAACTAGCAAATATAGTTCCAAGTCCTTTTTAAAATGTCACTGCACCTAAAGTATAGTTCCTAGGCCCAGTCTGCCACTTAAAATGTTACTTTATAAGGAATAGTCACTTTGAAGTATATTTCAAGAGTGACCGGTTAGTGCCTACCTACCATAAAAGTGGAAAATAAACACCCCGATTGCAAGTCGCAAACATGTAATTTAAAGAAGTGGCTGGAACTACCCGAATCTTCGAATATGATACCATAAAAGACCAAAAACTTTATAGTAACTTTTCAAAGTAGGGGTTACTAACAAGTGCTACCATAATGCCTCCATTAAGTTTTTGTTACTTTATAGTAACAATTTAAGTTACGGGGTAGTCGCGGCCACGACACCTATAGTTACTTCTAATTTATAGTAGCATTGAAAGTAGCAAAATGGTTACTGCTACCTTCCTTGGTCACTATAAAGTAGCCGTCGCTCATCCATTGCCACTAAAAAGTCACGGGGGTCAAAAACGGCTACTTTATAGTGACCGTAACTTGATAGTGACTACTTTATAGTGACCGTACCCAATATATCCTAATAAATGTAATTGCCTCAGATTGCATCGTGTGCTGCTCTGTTTTAGTGTTTTCTTTTACTTGCTTTTAAGCTTTATTAAAATTTTGTAAAATCCCTAAGGTGAATAAAAAGGAATTTAGATATTCTAGTACTTTCTATCGAAGAATTAAACAAAAGGAATCACTGCGAGCCGATGCATCAACATCAGAAACAAAAACTACATCTTTCTATAATCCTACTGATGAACATCATAAATCAGGTAGTGACTGAGACATTTTTGAAGCTGTTTCTGTAGATGAGTGTAGTATTAGTTCATCTGAAACTGAATCTCAGAGGAGAACTAATTTGAGAACCAACACCAATATAAAACAAGAGCTAAAAGAGTGGGCGTTAAAATACTTTATATCTGAATAACATAGAAACACTAATAATAGAAAATAACTTCAAAGGACAAGGCGGAACGTTATAGTGGCACCAATGGAATGTATAGTCGCCACCACCGCGATCGGTGTAGCATAACGGTCCAATTAAGTGGCAATTTGGTGGCGCAGGGAGCTTTCTTGGAAAAAATCATTTTATGGTTCCAAAGAATCGTTGACCATGTAGTTACAAAAAAGTTATTGTTTCTATAAAGTAGCCTTTGGATAGCTACAATTGTCACTTTATCAATCCGAAGATTTTAAAGGTCCGAACGGGTAGGGTTGGCCTAATATGTTATTGTTCCTGGTACTTTGTGGAAGCATATGGAACTATAAAGTATTTTTCGGATTAAAGGGCCATATTTTTTTCATGAATTTTTAGACGAACAGCCAAATGGCTCAAACATTATGCGTTTTTAAGCTAAATATACCTAGATTAAAGCTTTTTTCCTTAGTTATTTTGTTATTTCTGATGGTGGATTAATATTTTAAAGTTTGACCCCGGTTTCAAGCAAATTATTATTATTTTTTTATTACAAACATGAGTTTCTATTGTAAATAATAAAATATTTTGAAATATTTTGAGAGGCGCTCGAAAATTTTGTTACATAAACCCACTATTTTATTCAGTAAATTGATTGCGTTCTGGAATTTACCTAAAGAAGGCGTTAAAATCGCACGGTTAAATAACAAATAACGAAAAAATAATAATGGCTTCCATAATTATTTTCCATCATAACATTTATTTTTATGAAATGTGAAATTGCATGAAGAGGTCGCTGCGAATAAAGTTCAACAGTTTAACGAAAGTTCCACATGTCGGTGGATAACACTTGGCTGCCACGAACTCGCGACTAGGCAGTTTCGTAACGGATAAGTCGCATTCACCAGTAGGCTACTTTATAGTAACACATCATAGTAACTCTTTTAGTAGCAAAAACTACCCAAGACACTACCCGGCTACTCAAAATCTTTCCCCATTTTGGTCGCAGTTACTTAGCAGCTACGAATATACGACGTAGCCACCGATGGTCACCGCCCACTTTGTAGTGGCTTTGATAGTAGCAGTTACGTATTTGCCACTATAAATGCTAGTTGGGATAACTATTAACACATCACAAAACTATCACTTGCAAAATACTATTGAAGTGAAACCCGGAGAGCCCTATCTTTTCATGATATTTTCATGACGTTTCGTGCACTACAAAACTCCAATCATCAATGGCGAAAAATTGTCCGATTTAAGGTCTGTTCTCAGAAGAATCCCTGACTAGTCAGCGCGTTTCTTATTGGTTGAAATGTGTAGAAACCAGACTAACAATCAGGTTTCTACGCATTTTAACCAATGAGAAACGTGCTGACTAGTTCCGTTTTGATGAAAAAAACTGCTTGATGTATGAAAAATACAACAATTTAATAAAAAATTAACTGCCAAAAAATATTCGTAAACATAAAAGATTAAGCCAATATGTTTTTATATCATCATTTCATTTAAGAGCAGATTACCCATTAATTTTAATAGAAATTTATTGGGACAACTCAATAAAAATAAGAAAAATTGGTTTGGTTCAATTTTAGTGGGCGGTTTGACATGCTTGCTATGGGTAACTTAAATAGTATGCCATATTGCTTTGCGAATCAATCCGAACCACGGCGCCATTTATCATTGTGTGATTTATGTTTAAACACGGGACGCTAGTTTCAGAAAATAAAATGATATGTAAACTTACACGTCATATATTTTTAGTATAACCTTTGTTACAATAAACAATATTACTAAAAGTATTATAATTTTAGATACTTATTTGAAACATGTTCTTAAACAAAACAAAGCTTTTGAAAAGCAGTACGAGTCCACATTTAATGATTTAAAGGAAATAAATAGAACGATTAATATTATGATGCATTTTGTTAAATACACTGGGAATGTCGTTGAAACTAAGTTCGCATGGATTGTAAAAGGTAAAAAAGTTCTATTAAACAAGTTTTAAAGTAGTCTTGTCTCACAAAATAGTCCCTTGATCTTTTTTGTTTAGTATTAGGAGCAAATGACGATGCACTCCACAAATTGAATTTAATTTTGGAGCATGTAGGTTTTATCTTAATAACAATGCTTATATGCGCTTTTTTATCGGCAAGTTTAAGCAGTAGAATAATTGTAATCAGTATGCCATTGTTAAATTTATTATTGGCTTGGCATGGAGAGAAGCACATGACCATACTACTACTGACTGGAGTCATAGCAGCACTAAAGACAGGTAAATTTTAAAAATTACTGATAAAAGCTTATATTTAATTATTTTCTAATATTATTAGGTTATATATTATATATCAGTTTAATTAAGCTTAGAAGTAACTTTTTCCAAAAAACTGAATCTAAAAGGACACCCTGGGTAACATCAGAAGAAAGTACATCTAAATTAAAATATCGAAGACATTCAGAGAGCGATGAAGAAGTAGATGGAGACGAAACTTCTCCATTAAAAATTAACAGTTCTTCGGTGTTACGGTCAAGAGCTAGAAGTAACACTCCATTATTGCTAAATGACTACCATAAGGAATTATGTCATGCTCGAACGAGAGCAGGAACTCCTTGCAAACTGTTCTCTATACATGGAAGAGAATATTGTAGAAGACATCAAAATGAACACTCGATAATGGGATAGAATATTTTTTTTGTATAGTCAAATTTTATATCAAAGATAGAGGGTGTCTCAGAAATAAGTGCAGATATTTTAACTGGTAGTATATTCCGACCACAGAAACACGCCTATGAGTTTTTTGCGAAAAAAAATTGTTGAAAATTTTAAATATTTCTTGGTATTTTCTGGGAAATTTTAAAAAACTTTTTAGTGCCACTTGTTTATTCACCTGAGATTTCTCTACAGTAGGTGTATCCCTGCATTGGGATTCTGTAAGCTCCGTAGCAAGAAATTTCCTGTCTAGCCTATGCTATTTGTATACGATTGATGAGTCACTAGACAAGAGAAGTGTTTACAGAATCGGGCCTCTGGTGTATCTGAACCTTCCAGTGTTGCCACCTCCTACGTTATCCACATTCTACATATTTCTTTATACAATTAACAGCAATTTTAAATTTCTACACAAAAAATTAGGAATGTTAATTAAAAAAAAAACAAATTTATTATTTTTAGTATATACACTCAATGAAAACCTAACGGTAACCACCGAATATTAACTAAAATATTACTTTTGAAGTTTACGAAAATCTTTATTATGCTCCAACATAACTTTATTTAGAGCTAAAATTAATAAAATGTTTCATCATATTATTCACAATCAGGCCACAAAAAAGAATTTTCCAACATGTTTATCGTAATTCCGAATTCAATATATCGAAAACAGAATGACGAATAACCGATTCATACGAACGGTGTTGCCAACTCGTGGGAAATTTCCCGGTTCGTGGGAAATTTTGAGATCCAGAGGGAAAAGCGAAATTTTAACTCAAAACACCATATTTGTGGGAAATTTAAATTCATGTATTATTCGTAAAAAAATAGTTATCGTGTACACATTTCTCATCAGAGTGAGTAAATTCAAACTAGCATTACCGCAACTAATACACACTTTTGTACACCCTCTCCACGAATACACAGTGAATTTTAAATAAGGGCAAATATTTCTAGGCATGGTATATTTCGATACCTAGAAACGTACCACGAGTCCCTACAATATATCGATTAAAATTTGTTAATAAATTCACTAGTTTTAATTCAAATTTTTATTGATTTTTACTCAATTTAATCTAATATTTTTAGATACCTATTGATTGCAGAGGCAAAATAAAACGCTGATAACAGTTATGCCATACCCTTAAAGTTAGGCAACTGTCTCGACAAGCGTGTTTTGATTGCTTTGGAATCAACCGTTTTGTTTCTTTTTTTTTTTTCGTTTTTTTTTCTGTTTCATTTTTAAAATTTAATACGAATATAATTGCTTCGAATGTCTTGAATTTAAAATTGTTGTAACTACGGCAACATCGCTTAATATCGTCGCACTTGTCTAAAAAGGCGGATTCTCACGACTCGTGTACTTGGCAAGTACGCCAATATTTGCGTACTTGGCAAGTATACTATCTTTGTAAACAACATTTTTTGCAACAAGCTCGGCGCTCATGCGCCTCGGCGAGTGACATATAAGTGTACAAGGAAATCGCTCACACGACATGGCAAGTATATGCCAATAACCAATGTTTGTACAAGCACACGAGTCGTGAGAATCCGCCTTTAGATTAAAAGTAGTATGTAAAGTGGCGATAAGAGAAAATAATTCTCAACATCTATTCATTCAGAAAGGTATTCAAAGTAGTGTGCGCTTTTCAAGGTGTTTTGTATATCAGTGGTTCAACTGAAGACAACACGGGAAAAGCCAGCTGTATCCATGTTAACTCGAGCCGAAAAAAATGCAATTACGCGTTGACTACTCTGTTTGTATGGCAAAAAAGCTGATCTCTGGGACTAAGCGTATTATTGCTTTCTTTGATGGTACCTCGAATAACGCTAACATTTGCCTATAAAGTTATGTCGCTATCATAATTTCTGTGAAAATGTGACATATCTGGTTTTCCCGTGTAGTCTTCAAATTATGATGAAGTCTATATGAAAATAATGTGTTAGAAATGGGGACTGTTTTTTAGCAGTTATTATAATAGCACGTATAAGTAAAGCAGCATAGTGAAGTGTATTTTAGTTAAGTGCATGTGTTGGCAAAAAGAGAACTGCCACAGTTACATCGATCTGTTATAAGTATCTTTTTTTATATGTTGTGGGTAAGTTTTTTTCTTTTAATTTATTTTGTGTAATAATAACACCATCTTAAAAAAGTAATGCATCTGTGCAATCTCTGCTAAACTTCTCAGGTGGTGTGATTTTCTGATTTATTTTTAAGCATATACCTTCTTGACTATGCTTAACACAGGGCGTCGAATTACCTGAAATCCGGGCACCGATCCGGGTTAATTGGATGGTGTTGACGATGTCTGCCGGCGGTTCTCAAAATGTTGCCATTATTTTTTTTAATTTTCTAAGTTTTCAAAATTTTCATTTTCAACTCGGTTATTTTTAATTTATTTTAAAAATGGTAAAGAGTAAATATGTTTCTTTTGACCAGATCTACCGCCCCTTAAAATTTCTGCACTTATTTCTGAGACACCCTGTATAGTCGTTATCTAATATTATTATATTTCTTTAAAGTTTTTACAGTGTGACAGATACAATCCGATTATAAGACAATTTAAAAATCAAAATAGTATTATTTATAATACTCCAAATGCAATAAAAAATTTAAAGTAAAAAACATAATCTAACAGCGCTTTCAGATGGAGCGGACCGTCCGCGTGTTTTTATATTAATGTGTTTATACGCGACCCATGTGAAATTGTTCATATAAACTCATGGTACTTGCTCGAAGTCGCGGACGGTCCGCTCCATCTGAAAGTGCTGTAAGAATGTAATTACATTAAAAAATATCTTATCCATAGTGTAACAATGACTTTACAGAGTTTGAAAATTGACTTCGTAACAGGTTATTAGCGTCCAACCACAGTTTAAAGAATACATACCAGTTGACCCACTCTAAGGAATTCTATTGTTATTTTGACTTCAAAGGCGGCCCGTGACCCTTCGAGGTGACAAAAAATTTGTACGTTTACCGGATGCAGCGGAAGTGCTATTTTATCAGTCAGAACGCTGGCCGTATACGAGGGATCAACTAAAAATACTAAGGAATTTTAATATAGCAAGTAGAAAAATAAAAATACAGTACTAGTTTTATTGATTAACAGCATATCTGTGGGATCCTATAAATCCTAAGGCACTTTTCCAGGCTCCACACCTACAAGTTATTTTCCTTATCAGACTCTACTTATACATATTATGGTGAATACATTAATATTAAAATATTAGATATATTATTCTATCCTAATTCTTTGGAACATGGAATTGTCAATAGGGTAATTATTATTAATAATTATTATGAAAACCCCATATGAAAAATGTATACTAAATAAATATAATAAGTTAATTTTTTTAATATATATAATAATAATTTGCATATTTCTTAAATTATAGCATGTTTTGCTTTATAGATGTTTGCATTTTACTTTAATTACCTACCTGGAAAGCCCAAATTTTATCGTAAGGTAATAAAAGTACCTTTGCATACAACTTGTGTTGTCATTGTCAATTTTTTTGGAATTTTTTCTAAATTTTATGATTAACATGAACAGTAATTATGACCGTTAGTAGTTAATTGTGTAATAAATTTTACTGTTCGATAAAATTTAGTAAAAACTGAAAAAAATTAACAATGGCAAGACAAGTTGTATCCTAGTACTTTTTATTACCTTTTCATAAAAAGGTAGTTAATTCAAGTTAAATGCAAACAGCAAAAAAGCAAAACATGCTATAACTTAAGAAATATGCAAATATAATTTATTACAGTATTTACTACTAATTGAAGAGCACACGGGAATAATAATAAAAGTACCAAAAAGGGGGTGGCTACACCCTTTGGTACCTAAATGAACGGGAATATCGATAACGGCCACATAGAAACAGGCATTTAAAAATGGGAAAAACGATATAAACTGGGATATAAAAGTCCATGCGTAATTTGAATTAAAAAAAAAACGGTTTCTTGAACATTTATCATTTCAGGATACTCATCGTTTTTCCCATGTGCTCGTCAATTGTTATATTTACTGTTACATAAAATTTAGTAAAAACTCTAAAAAACTTGTCAATAGCAGAACAAGTTGTATGCACGTATTTTTATTAGCTGACGATAAAATTTGAACTTTCCAGGTAGGTAGTTAAAGCTAAATACAAACATCTAAAAAGTAAAACATGCTATTTAAAAAAAAATATCTTAAAAAATAATTTAATTACTTTGCAAACCGGTAAATACTACAAAATCCAAAACATAATAGTAAAGTATCTACTACTACTCTAAAATATCTACTAAAATAATAAACTAATTGTTAAAAATAAATATTTTGTGCATATTTCGAGTAAAATCTTTTCTTAATTTACATGTATATTTTTAAAACAATTTATTCATAGTTAGGTTTCCATAATTATAATATACTTAATATGTCTAATACTTTAATTATTATATACTTAATATCCTATACTATATAAACACATACCTTCCTTCATCTTTTGGGCAGCTAAAGAAATATTGTCATTCTACTTTCACAACCATCCACTGCACATATATTTCTAGTAGACATTTTATTCACAATTCGAACAAAACAACTAAAACACTATTTTTGGTTCATCCCTATGCGTCGGACCGAAAACAAAACTAAAATAAACTTGGAACGGTGTGTACACGTCGAGCAACGGATGTAGACTAACCCAAGTCTACAAGACAGGCGGGGAGCGGCGGGAGGAATTTTGATACGGGCGAAGAGTGGGTCAACTGATATATTTATATTCTTTAAACTGTGGTCCAACAAACTTTAAAATATCTTATTGATTGATGAAAGTAGACCTTTAAAAAGAAAAATGGAAGGAGTAGGTAGGTGAAATACCGGTGACACACAGTGGTTTTTTTCAACAAACTAGGTGGAAGTTAAACGAAAATAGGCATCCCTTAATCCCTGAAATATTGTTAGAATTGCCTTAAGGATTAACCAGATATAATAAAAGTATAGTTCTGGCAACAATAAACATAGAGGGCGACGAGTGAATTATAATTAAAAACAGACTGGTTGAAACGCACTCGGATAATTCATATCAGTTCAGTTTCGACACCTATGCAATAATATTCTATTAATGCATGTGGCCTTTAGATACAATCGCTGATATGGACGAGTTAATAGAAGGTATTCCCTTCATTTTAAAAACATTTATTGTTGAATATATTAAAAGTTAGGGTAACCGCATGTTCTCAAACTTTCTGCATTTTTTTCACTAAAACTATAAATATTTCCAAACTTATTAGACTGTCAAAGTTACGAATCAGCTGAAATTATGATTAATTTTCTTTGGATAGGTTTGCTTATCCTCTAACAGGTTTATATAAGGTTGCAAGCACCTTTTTGCACCCTGCAATGTTATGCATTTTTCTAAATGCGCTGTGGATCTCAAGAATTGTATGTGTGGCTCACAGAAAACGGGACCATGATAAGAATTCGTCTGTATTGAGCTATTCAAAATTTGACATTTTTTTGCTGTTTATTGTGTGTTTGACACATAAAGAATTACTTATTTTGGAAATAGCTAATTTTCGGTCAAATATAAAAATATGAGTTCAACATTTGACAAATATCTAAATAGGATTTTTCGATGCCAATTATAGTTATTTTACCTAACCTAACCTAACCTAACCTAACTAAATCATTTTTTTTTGGAAATAACGTATGTGCCACCAACGAAAATTTTAGGGATTTTTAATAGTTTGTTGTGTGTAGCGAAATTTGTATAAACTTTACTACAATGGTGATTTGTTCAACTTTCCTGTGTAAAAGCCACAACGATAAGAAAGGGCCAGGAGTTACGTTTAATGGATAGGTAAACAGTCCACTCCTTATTAAATTTGATAATTATTTTTCTGATACAATATGTACCGGGTGTTCCACTAAGAATAGCTCTCGGCTGTATCTCGGAAAGTATTGGCCGTAGAACCTGAGGAAAAAAATATTTATAACTAAAGAGGCCATGAGAAATTGCTGGAAATTATTTCAAGTTTGTAGAGTGGCCGCTAGAGGGCGCAACTGCTACGGCAAATAAGAAAATGCAATTTTTACAAAATTCTGCCTAGATAAGGGCTACTATGAATAATAGCTTCATAATCTTAAGAAAACTTCGGACTTTTTTGTCAGAACCATTTTTCCCTATCTGCTAAAGTGGTGGGGGAAGGTTAGATCTGTTTTTATTTAAATGTTAATAACTCCGGACTGAGGATGACCGGAATCTAACAAGTGAGGGCTCGTTTAAAAGAGCGTTTCGTACTCTATATAAAACCCTATAAACAATAATAATATGCCTTTAACAGTAGATGCTAGAGGGTGCTGTCTTGCAATTTAAAAAACAATGTGGGATTTCCCCCAAAAAAAAATACAATGGTATTCAGCTGTAATTTCAGCTGATTGTAAAGAGGAATAAAAGTTTAAGAAGTCAGTGAAAACCGCATCTTGATATCTTTTTTCAATCCGAAGATATTAGCAAAAATATAATAAATACGAAAAAAATTGCCCTTAACTATCTTATTTTTATAACACGGCATCAGTAGCCCTCTAGATTATGCCCATTTTAACAAAAAAATCAGATAGAAATAGTTAGTTTTAAAAAGTCACCACTTCAGCAGCGTTTTTTATCTTTTAATTGCTTTTTCAAAATGCCCTTATTATTTCAAGTAGTTGAAGTTTGAAGTTGGCATTTTGAAAAAGCAATCAAAAGATAAATGACTATCAAAATGTTGATCTAATAACAATTTGACGTTTATACTATTACGTCAAAAGCAACTTTTTTCCAAGCCTACTATGACTTCACTGAATCATCGTTTCTTGTTCACTGTTATTAATATCTTAATTATTAGATAGGAATACATCTGGTATTATGGTATTCTGGTATTTCGTCGATTTTAAAATAAACTAACTGTTTTTATCTTATTTTTTTGTTAAAATGGGCATAATCAAGAGGGCTACTGATACCGTGTTGTAAAAATAAAGTAATTAAGAGCTTGTTTTTTGGTATTTATTATAATTTTGCTAATATCTTCGGTTTGAAAGAACATATCAAGATGCGGTTTTCACTGACTTTTTAAGCTTTTACTACTCTTTACTATCAGCTAAAATTACATATACTATTGTATTTAATTTTTTTGAAAAAACGCGCTGTTTGTTAAATTGTAAGAAAGCGCCCTCTAGCGTCTACGTTCAAAACCTTATTATTATTATTTTTATGGTAAAATATAGAGTAAGAAACGCTCTTTTAAACGAGCCCTCGTTTGTTGGATTCTGATCATCCAGTTCGGAGTTATTAACATTTAAATAAAGATAGATCTAACCTTCCCTCACCACTTTATTTTAGCAGATAGGGGAAAATAGTTCTAACAAAAAAAATTCAAAATTTACAGAAGATTATGAAGCTATTATTTATAGTACTCATTATCTAGGCAAAATTCTGTAAAAATTCTATTTTCTTATTTTCCATAGCAGTTGCGCCCTCTAGCGGCCGTTTTACAAACTTGAAAATAATTTCCAGCAATTTCTCATAGCCCCTTTAGTTACAAATATTTTTTTCCATAGGCTCTACGGCTAATACTTTCCGAGATACAGCCGAGAGCTATTCTTAGTGGGACACCCTGTACTTGATATATGTGCTATGCGTCGATACTAGTTTTGTGCTTTTTGTTAACATTTTAATTATCTATCAGCGTCTTATACGAAACTTATTAGTCCTGTGTACTGTGTTTCCGAAAAAAAAATCATAACATGGAGATAGTAAAGAATACTTAAGGAGAATAAAAAACATGCCTAACAATGGGTTTTGAAGAGAATTGATCAGATATGGACAAAAAAACATTTTAAAAGTGACAAGAATGAAAATAGTTAATTATAGTTAGAACGGTTTAGAATAATATAATAGAATAATAAGAAGGCCCCATACTCGCACTTCGCCCCTTCGTCCCTTCGCTTCGTTACTTCGCCTCGTCCCTTCACTTCGTTCCTTGGTCACTTCGCTTCGTTCCTTCGTCCATTCGATGCTTGGAAATGCGTCCATTATGCAACAACACACCACATACTATTTTTCATATAGCATATATATATATATATATATATATATATATGTTTATTTCGAAATATCTAGTAACCTTTAAAATGTTTCAAAAATCTGAAAGGCGAATAATTATTTTTATTTTATAAAACTGTAATTCTTTGTGGTGTCAAAGATAAAAATTGAATTTTAATAATATTTTTTTTTCTAATAAAGCCGAATATAGATGAGTATGAATGTACGAGTCAATAATAAAGGTTATTATGTCATTTATATCGAAACTATAAGATATTACAGACTAAACGTTGATGTCAATCCCCATTTCTTCAGATATTTTTGTAAAGGCATCATGCACACTATTTCTATTTTTTTTTATTTTAGTCGCTACGATTACATAAACATGGACATGTATTTCTTCTCAAATATGAAGACAATATCGTCTTTTCCTTCTATTTTTAAGACTATTGTATGTGCTGTCTATTTTTATATTAACTGGCGATTGCTAGATGTACAGGGTGTCCCATTTTTGTGTGTTTTATGGGGTTTCTGGTTTATGAGTAGATATATAAAGATGCCGTTTTCACATCACTGCTCTACTTATTATGACGATTTATCCTAGCATTCTTAGTTGAAATTAATTTCTTATTTCTTTCTTTTATACTTTTTATTTTTTAATTAATACAAATTTTTGCATTTTTCGACAACCTTTGTATCTCGATTATCTTATATCCTAATAATTAAATATTTTATACAAGAAGTTTTCGACGACCGACCGCATAGTAAATACACGGTATAATACCAGGAATATACCAATATATATCACGAATGTTGTAGATATATTCCTGATATTACTGGTATATTTCTGGTATTATAGCGGGTATTTACTATGCGGTCGTCGGAAATACCTTTATAAAATTAGGCTGTTCTTCTAAATGTAAAATGTACAGGTATATGCCGGATACATAGATTTTGTTTATCTACCTATTGAGTACTTATCCCCCGCGCGTGTCTCGTTTTTCAGGTAGAATGCAGTGACGCAAAAGAACTCAAACTTATGTTCGTTTTTTTAATAGGTCACCCTATATATTATTTTTTATTTTATTTGCATTGTTATGAGCTTTCTAAAAATATAATATACTCTATACTTATTTATTTAGGTACTCCTAAACGACTCTTATTTTATTTAAGTTAATTTTACCAGATAATTTTGCTGTGCATCGTGATATTTTGATAAACTACACGGAAACTGAACTTGTGCTGCTTTTAAATAACATGCTCTCAATCAGAGTTGTCACCGTAGACCCGTAGTCTGGATTTTAACATGTAAGACAGTGATGGAGACAGCTTAATGAAAAATCATGTATTAAAAAAGAGATAAAACATACATTTCTTCTATACGGTATTGCCGATTTTGTTGGGTTGGATCTCTAATTTCCAAATTAGTTACTCAATAATACACACTCACAGCTCTAATAGCTTCTTATTAAGCCTCTGTCTCAGAACTATGTTGTGTCGCTGGCGAAACTACAATAACTAATTAATAACTAACAATCATAGTTATTAATTCATTTCAAAGTCAAAATGGATAGCAGTTACGATTACTTGCACTATTTCGGAATTAATCTGAACAAACCAGTGAATGTTTTTATGGCATTTGTAAAGAGTGGCTGAAGATATTTTATTCCAAGTTTTCGAGCAACAGAATTTATTAAATAACTTAGATATATTGTCTTCATTTCAGTAGTATACATGAAAGTTTTTTTTAAATAGTTTACGAACCGGCAACACTGTATACCGCTTTTTATTTTGTCTCTCTGTCTGTCAGCTGGTCATATATGTTTATCTCTGCCGTGTGCAGTAAAATACAGACCACGGAAATAAAGTGACCAATATGGTAGATATATAAAGGCAGTTCCCGCATAAGTCTATCTTTGGGTTGTCAGAAGTTTTCTGCGCTTGCTCGATGCTGTGCGCACTTTGATTGGACAGTTACACATCATTAATGTTTGAAATTGATTTAAAACCATACAAACTCAATTTCTCTCCTTCAGTATTGGACCATAAATTCTCTCATTGTTTATATGGGAACTCTGCAGTATATTCTTTTATATAAACAAAAGATGTTATCGTGGGGACTGTAATAAAAAAGAAGAAAGACTTTATTGGGCAAGCCTACAGTAAGATTAGCCATGGGACATTATGTCGTTACGTTTTAGTCGTGTCTCATGACTAATCTTACTGTAGGTTTGCCCAATAAATTCTTTCTTCTTTTTCTTTTATATGTATATAACCATTTCCAATAAGCTAAATCTGTTATTTCAAGGTAAAACATGTTCAAATTATGAACTTCGCTTAGTTTATTTTATAAATACAAAGAGTACAATCAATGTTATCTCAATAAAAGACAAAAATCACTAGTTATAGCATTCACTATAGACATAAGTTATTATGCAACCAAATTCAGAAGCCTTCTGGGCTTTTCTAGGGGACTAGGTATTTTTCAGTACGTAACATTGATATTTAAAATATTTTTTCTACAAACGTCAGTAAAAATGTAATTTTTAAAGCATGCTGTCAGTGCCTAAAATGTGACATTATGTCACTGATGGTAAAAGTCATTTATTTTAGCACTGGTGCTAAAAGTAAGTCACGTGATTTACTTTTAACACTGAATGTTTGGAATCTTTTGAATTACCCTAGCAACCATAAACTTCATAATTATTTGATTTCAGAATGACATATTATGAATTATTCATTAACGTAAAAAGTAATAATTTTTCTAATGTTGGTTTAGAGTTAGTACTTTAGATATAACATGAAAAAAAAGAGGATAGTTCTTTAGGAAGGAAAAAAAGTAAGACGTAAGTTTGAAATCGATTTTGGTTGAGGCATGAAGGCGATCTTTAGGTAGTGCTTATACAGTCCCGCATAAGTCTGTTTATTAACTCGACCGGGTCGTACTGTTGGCGGTTCTAATTCGTATTGATTTGCCCCCTGGGTAGGGTTCAGGTCCAGATAGCAAGGTGCATACTTCATATATCAGCTTAAGTTCAGGTTAGTTAAGTGAAATTAGTATTAAGTAAGTGTTTTTTTTTTGTTATAAGTTTAAGTAATGTGTATTGTTTTGTAAGTTAATTCACCATGTGTTGGTAAATAAAACTGTATTTGTACAAAAACTCCTTTTCGTATTAGCAGACCTTGCAGTCGAACATTGTTCTTTTTAGAATTGCTTTTAGTGCGAGGTGGTACAAAATGCCGCAGCAGTTTATGCATAAGCAGACCTTTAATAAACCTATTCGCCACTTCGCTATAAACAGGAGAAGAGGAGCCAATATTTGGACAGATCAAAATTTTCATTAGATTTCCTGTGTTTCCAACAACGATGCACCACCCGGTATACTACAACTGCAATGAAATGCATATTTACACTACTTGTATAATACAACCCAATGCTAATTTTTCATAATTTATTGTTAAATTGATTTACAACAAATATTACGAAAATTTCAAAAAAACTAATGAACAAACAACTAAACAACAAACACAATGAACTCTACTATTGGCTACAACGTATTCAGAAAATGAAACAATGTTATCATTTTAAGTTGTTAATTATAATATGATTAATATTCAAAAAAGTAGTAAGTACTTACACATATGAAAAATCTCCTTTTTATGATAAACCATGGTAGAATTATGCATTATGCTGCCTTTTTGATCTTCTTCTCCTAGGAAATAAATATATATTACAGATATTAATCTCATTTATATGTGCTCTCACTTTATATATAAAATTATATGGTGAATGTTTATCGATATTTTCTAGCCACCTTTAACGCCGTTTTTTACAAACAAAATTCTACCAAGCTAACAACAGTTCCAAAACATAACAGGTATTAAACAGTCCACCGACAAAAACCAGTGGCGGCTCGTGACCCGTGTAACTGGGTAGGCGACAAAATTTTAGTTGTGTCTATTTGCCCTTCCCCCCCAAATTTACATAATACCCTAACCTAGTTTGTACATATATGTTATCTAAGGGTTAAAAACATAGCTCAATAATATTTAGGATAAAACTAAAGCAAAAATAACAGAATTCAACGTAATGACATAATGTACACGTATATGTATTACTATGGAGTCACCATGAAGTACATCATAGAATTTTATTTTATTTTTATTTATTTACGCAAACTTAAAAATTGGTAGTATTGAGAGAAAGAATAATTATGTTTTATATATTAAACTGATGATGAGCCGGTCTCTTAATAAAGAAAAGTTATTTATTATTATATCAGTAAAATCATCAGATTGTTGAAGGGCTGTGAAAAGATCTTTTTAGATTGAAAGTAAGGCAAGTGACGATAAACGTTTATTTTTCATGGAATCTCTACTATAAATTTTAATGCATTTCAAACATGAAAAATGTCTCTCAACCCAAGTATTTGTAAATGGTGTAGTAACAATCAAAACAAACCATTTGCAACTCTCTGGAAATGAATTTCCAGGATCATTCTCCTTAAATTATGTTATAATCGAAAATTATCATATCTATTAATTATTAATACCAGCAATTTATTCATTAATTTATGTTGGTCAAAAACATTGCGGTAAAAGTTTGTTAAATTAGATATTAAATGCTTTGGAATTTTTTTATAGGATTCTTTAAATTTCTGTGAATCAGCAATAGATAAATAAAAATAATTGAGACATATCTGCAAACCTTATTTCTAAATGTATAACAACGTTATCTAATATTTCATAAAATAAAATTCGCAAAGATATTTGACTTAGTCGCTTTTATTAACATATCGAATTGAAATAGCACACTGAGACTTTTCTGTAATATCTGTTGGATCGTCTTCTTGCACCGAATAAAATAACGCCCTTTTTTTATTTCAGATTCTTTTATTTCTGTGGAGTGTTCTGAAATACAACCGGTTATATGATTTTTAATAATCTTGGACAAGCTCGAAAAATGTTTCCAATTTGCTTTAACGTTTTTTGAATTTTCATATAAAAGTTTTAAATGCTACGTATAATGAATCATATGAAATATCCCCTTAACGAAATGTGATATATCCCCTTATGAAATATCGGGAATATCCCCTTAAGTTCTAAGCCTACCGAGCCTCCACGACTTCATGCGAAGGCGACCGGAGATTTCGCCTAAGCCCCGCCTTAATACGATACAACTGCACGATGAGTTAGACAGAGACAGAAGACTGCTGTACGTCGTATATCGACTTTGATAGTAGGCGATGTAGAAATCGCCGAACAAAGGTCAACGGTCAAAATTATTTTGTTTTCTACACACTTCCGTGTATTAACAGTATTTTTATGTATTGGCAACATCAGTAGTAAATAATGTAATGTAATAAACCGCTTAAACTCTGCCAAAATCTTAGGATAGGCGCCGCCTACCTTGCCTACCCTGATGAGCCGCCACTGACAAAAACTACTCAGGAAGTGATATCGGAATCCTGGCATCGCGAGTTTTACTATACTCGCAATAGTTTTGTTACTTCTAAAAAAAAATACCAGTTGTGAAAACTAACGATATTTGCTCAAGATATTTTACCAGGCTTGTAAGCGAGTTTCTATTATTTTTTGACTTAAAAAAATTTGTAATTGCGAACCTACTAAGATTATCTTTTTGCCGGCTCTTATTATTGTTACGGGATTGTACAAAATAATAGAAACCTGTTATTTTTAGGTGTAATTTTTAAATATCAGTAACATTTTTCAACTGTTCTACCTTCGAGATTTGTTACTTATTTACAACCAAATCATTAATGAAAAAATAGGTACAATATTTTAATTTGAAAAAATTCAAAGAAGCTTGAGATACTTCTACTTATCTTAAGAATATACTACTATGCGCTTGTGCGCACATGAAACATATACGCACATGTTTTAAGATAACCCAACTTCACAAATATTTCTAAAATTTGGAAAACTAGAGAGACTGTAATTTTCACAATGTTTATTTTTTAGACTTTTGATTATCCACACGGAACCCAGCAGTGATGGGTGGTGGGTAAATATCCAAAACAATAAATAAATTTGGGTATATATCTGGTATCTATCCAGAAAGTATAGGGTATATATATACCTATTGAAAAGTAAATTTCGTCGGGGAACCCCCTTGTAAAATTCGATTATTCATCTAACCTATATTGAACTGTCTGCAATGTGCTGTATATATTTTCGATACAATCATACAATTAAGGTTTTTGTGCATAGTGCAGTCTTTGTGGGGTAAAATAAGTAAGATAAGAATAAATTGTTAAAATTTGTTATAGTACGTTAAATTAACAAAATAAAAATACTTGGGTATACAGGGTGGTCCGAACTGTATTCCGGAAACTTCGGAAGCATATTCTGTTAAAAAATAAGTAAAAAAGTTTGTATAAATGTATGTCCTAAAATACTTAGTTTCGGAAATATAGTGTATTCGGTGTAGAAGTTTCATTTTATTTCGATTTTTTCCAAATCATTCCTGAAGTAACGTCACTTTGAATGATAATTGGTGGTTGGGAGTTTTTTGACATGAGAAATTTGATTTTGATGTCAATATGACTCCTACTTGTAAAGGGCGCCACCTACATATATTTTTAACTGGTTTGAAGCGAAATAAGTTTTCGTTCGTACCTGTATAAAATTACCGAGTATAAAAATATACATTTTCGACATTTTTTACGTAAAAAAGGTCTCTTGGTAAAAATCGCTACGAGTAATGGTTAGATTAGGTTAAGTTAATATCAATTGTCATCCAAATATTGACGTTACTTCAGAAGTTATTTGCAAAAATCGAAATAAAAGTGAAACTTCTACAACCTGTATCTCCAAAACTAAGCATTTTAGTACATATAGTTATACGAACTTTTTTACTTATTTTTATTTGCAGAATATGCTGCTGAAGTTTCCGGAATACAGTTCGGACTACCCTGTATACCGGATGCAAAACATCGGGTATTTACCCAAATTTCAATATACCGGGTGTTTGCCCATCTCTGCGTAACAGTATGGTAAGATTCTTAAGACCTGTTGAAACACTAAAATAAATGTTCTCAACCAAAATAGTCTTTATATAACTTACCTTTCTAAACTTTCTTTTCAAAAACTCGTCAAATTTAATCTGTTCTACTTCCATGCTACTGTCACTGTCCCAGTGTTTCTCGGCTTGCCTAGGAGCCACGTAAGACGCCGGTCTCTGCATCTGCGCTCTCGGCTGAGGACGCACCACCGGCTGAGGGCGCGCCATCGACTTGGACCCCTGCGCCTTGGCTTTAGCCTGTGCTTCCCTCCTAAGCTGTTGCTTCCTATTAGCCAAACCAGCTAGCGTCTTCCTCGACTCTAAGAGTCCCTTTTCCAGCTGTTTCCCGTCGGCGATCAGCTGTTTCTGTTTGATTCTCAGTTCCTTGAGCGTGTCTTCCAGTTCTTTCACCTCGGCATCGCTGCTCTTGGCCTTTTTCTCCAGCTGCGCCTTCTTTTGCTTCAGACTGTTGAGGGTTTTTTCCGCCATTTTTTGTTCGGTGAGGTTGGAGTTGTGCAACGCGAACAGTTCCATTTCGCTGGTGTGTTTCTGGGTTTTCACTTTTTCCGAGAGTGAGTTAAATTCCTCTTGTTTCTGCTCCATGGTTTTGAGGAGGGCGTCTTTTTCTTTGTGTGTTTCGGCGATGTTCGTTTCGATGAGATTGAGTTCTTCAGCTAGAAGGTCTGGTGTTTTGAAACCGTCTATGGCTGATTCTACTTCTTTTAGTTCTGATGAGAGTATTTCGATATCCTGTTTTGCCCGGTCGATATTTTCATCTTCCTTTTTATTAAGCTAGATGTAAAGAATAAGGACCGTTAAATTAATTTTTAATTATTAATGGTTTATATTAATTATTGATTATATTTTATTGATTAATGGATTAACTTAAAAAGCGTCAGGGTCAGTTTGATTACCATCAAAACTACCGTATGGTCGAAAAACGGCGTCATTTACTAGAAATTGACATAAAAGGAAAAAATTAACACTAATTATAGAAAGATTAAAAAAGGATCTATGCCCCGTTCTCAGAACGATGGGAGCTGTAGGTACTAAATTTAAAATTGACAGCTGTTTGGATTTTGTACAAATCTCATTGGTTCTTTTGACGTGTCGCTGGCGACAGTCGATGTTCTGAGAAGGGGGCTTTAGACATCTAATCTTTGACAAGTAGTAAATAAAAGCAAAAATACAAGAAAAATATATAATTAGTTAATTTTAAGTGAATTTCATAAATGATCGGTTTACTACACGTATGTATATTATATAGTCACTTACTAACGAAAAGTTATTCATTATTTCCCTCGATTTTTGACCGAGATCTACCGCATGCTACACAACCAACTATTTTACAGTCTAGTGTCACTGTTAATAACTTACGTTCTGCCACATTTTCCTTTTAGATTTGCTACCTTTAAACAGCTATCCGTAGTAGAATAAATAATAAATAACATAAAATATGCCCAGTAAAGACTGACAAATCCACAAAATTTCAAATGAATGGTCAAACAGAACTGTCAAGGATCCCCACCCTAGGGCCCTCTCTCCATCGACCTAATTATCGACTTAATTTTTTTTATTCAAAGCAAAATTCAAATCCCTTTGTTATTACAATGAATAAAGATCAATCATACCAACCTAAAGTTAATAAAATTGGAACGCCCCCAATTACTGATTTCGGAACGTACTTGAATTTTTTTAAACAATATGAAGTCTAGATACCCTAAAGTTGCTATTAGAAAAATAATTATGACGTAACGTTGACTGTTATACAGGGTATATACCGGGTGCGTCTCAAAAATGGCTCACCCCTATAACTTTTTTATTTTTTCAGATAAAAAAACGAGATTTGGTATGTTAGTATTTGACATAAATTGGGATTGATTGACGTATTCAATTGTTTTTGTTCACTTCTTGTTTCACCGGAAATGACTACAAGTTTTGATTTTTAAAAAAAGTTTTTAAATTTCAGTCTAGAGTGCCATGGCCTATGTTAAAAACCCTAATTCTTAATCAAGGAGCCTTGGAAAAATAGATTTGATCGTCTAATGTTTTTAGTGTCTTGTCCTGGCCGGTTAAAAAATGCCTAAATCGCATTTTTAATCATATCTAAATTTTTCCAAATGGGCCGAGGGTGGCTCATTAGCATATTTGGAAAAAGCATTTTTTACGAATAATTTGATACCACACACTTCGTATTTTAGGTTTAGGTATTTCGAGTCAAATTTTTGTTACGAACCGCAAGTTATAATTTGAAATAAACCATATACGAAAATGTGAAAAGTTGACACATGATACGTCATTCTATTCACAGTGTTATTTTCTATCGAATAAAGTAAAAAAATAGCGAGGGTGCCATTTAAAAATTAAAAGTTGTAGTCATTTCTGGTGAAACAGGAAGAAACCGGAAACAGTTGAATGCGTCAATCAATCCTAATTTAAGTCATATACTAACATACCAAATCTCGTTTTTTTAACTGACAAAATAAAAAAGTTATAGGGGTGAGCCACTTTTGAGATGCACCCGATATTGTGAATACTAGGGTGGATTGAAAAATCTCAAAAATGAAATTTCGGCTTGCTATACCGCGCAAAAATTGCCTTAGGTGTATACTAGCATAATAAAAAAATTATCAAATTCGGATTATCACATCTTCCGATCGCGCAAACCGCCGAAAGTTTTGAAAGAAATACAAATTTGACTTCTTTTTTACATTTTTTTTCTTAACTTGAGGTTTGTATTTTTTAGCGCTATGGTGCTTAAACGTTGGTAATAGCATTGAGTTGCCTGCAGAAAAAATATTGTCTCTTTTAAACCATATCTTCCGATCGCGTAAAACGTGTAAATATTGTCAAAAAATGCAATTTTTCCCCCGTAAGTTTGCACATGCAAATGTGCAGCTCTTTGCCTGAATTGAATTTTCACACTCCTTCACTTAAATTAGACGCATTTGATTACACGGGAATGATAGAACAAAATCCTTGATAGATGTGTCTGTCATTTTAATTTCAAAGTAGTTTATTTTATTTTACAAAGAAATAAGTTGGTACAGTTGGAACGCATAATTATATATTTAAATTTTGAGTGACAAGTGATTACTTCAAAATATTGTAAAAAAAACTGTATGAAACTGAGAAAATCTAATCTTGGTTAATTAACTTTAATCTTAATTTTTTCTACAGTACCTACTAAAATGTATTATTTACCTATCGTGTGATGTTATTTTACAGATACTCCAGTTTTTGGTACAATGTACGAGATGGTATACAACTTTATTTGTGGCTAATACAATTCTCTGGCCATAGTCTCTCGCAAACTGTGTCTCTGGCGGTCTCTGTGAATATTAACTGTAAGACCGAATATTAACTGTAAACTAAAGGGATGGTCTGGGTTAACACTTAATTTTCCCTCGAGTTTTCCTCCACTTAATTTTAAAAAACACGAAACGCAAGTAACAACACAGTCCAAAATGCAAAATGCAAAATATTTATCATTTCTATTTGACATAATTTGACACAATATTATAACCTATAATTTGGCAAGAGTTTGGTTTGGTTAACTCTCAAAAATCTTAAGTCGAGTTCATACGCATAGGCGTCCGTTTGTCGTTCATTGTTGCTTTATTGAAATATGATCTGTCATTTTTGAAATAAACTATAAAACTGATTAAAAACAACAAGAGACGACGCATGACGTATTTATTAACTTAAAAAATATTAGAAACTTTTTCTAGTAAAATAAATGGATTGGTATGGAAGTCATCTGCTTTTTTTCTGTTATCGTCTGTCGAAATCTTACCTGAGAACAAAAACAGAGTATAGTTACAGAAGCTTCTCTTAAGGTATGCGGGCCGCAATTAAGGAATGGATACATTAGGGCAACACTCAAATCGAGAGAAGCAACTAACGAATTCAGCAGTAACGCGCAGACTACAAAGTGACATTGGAAAGATCGGAATAAATCGGCACACACTCTTAACGGTTGGATGAACTTTCGGCGGTTTGCGCGATAGGAAGATGTTATCCGAATTTTATATTTTTTTTATTATGCTAGTATACACCTAAGGCAACTTTTGCGCGGTATAGCAAGGCGAAGTTTCATTTTAGAGATTTTTCGATCCACCCTAGTGAATATCTGCTAGATAGTGAATATTGTTACGTTTTTCGTCGGTTTCGTGTGGATAAAAAATCCAATTTATTTAAACACAATTTATTTTACACTAATTACAAGTAACAAAACAATAACGATAAAAAAACTTAAAGAACTATTTACAAATTTATTTATAACTATTTATCTCAAAGGATTTTGAATTTTTTTATTTTGGATTTAGCGCGGCAATTGTACGCGTCGACCGAATCTGTTTGTTTCTCTCCTTATTATATAAGAGAAACAGAGAAACAGTCTAGATTTTACTCGTATTTTCTTAGCCGCCATTCTTTGCCTTTATGGCATCCATACAGGTCCGCAACAATATTAATAAAAGTACCAATTACCTCACACATCTTCGAATAATCCTCCTCAACTCTGGACAATCTAGTTTTTCTATCTTCAATATCCGACTTGATTTGATCAATCATCTTCTGCATGTTCTCGTACTCTTGTTGACCATTTTCTAAGGACGTCCATGCTATCTGACCGCGATTCAGTTCGGCATTCAATTGGTTTTCGTACTCTTCCAATTCTTTAATTCTTTTCGTTTGTTCACTTTCGGTTTCTTTTGCCGTTGAAATATTCTCGGATATGTCTAAAATGTTTTTGTTGGCTTCCTCCAATCTGAAGTATTAAAAAAAAAATAAACTTAAAATTAAATAGATAATGAAATGTGGATTTGCCAATTTTTGACACATATGGAAATAAAGGCAGTCAAAGCATCATATGGCAATGCAAGTTGACAAGCTGAAAAAAACTGTCATTTCTGTCTTTAGTCATGTGCAGGTTTTTGTCAATCTGAAGAAGAAACAATAGAACACATTTTATGTCGGTGCGACAGCCTGCCAAATATGCGGTTTGTTGTACTAGGCAATGATAGCCCATTGACAAAGAGCTATATGAGATTGCGGAAATTACCGGGGAATTTTACTACTGGCTATCGGAGGAAAAGTTTTTGCAAAAATTATGTCAAACCGCCTGCACCCACATATAGAAAAAATCCTTCCAGAATCGCAAATGGGCTTTCGCACCAAACCGCGGTACCGTTGATTCTATATTCTCCGTTCGCCAACTATAGGAAAAAGTAAAGGAGCAGCAGAGTAAACTTTATGTTACATTCATCGACCTAACAAAAGCCTTCGACTCTGTAAACAGAAATGCACTTTGGGCAATTATGTAAAAGTTCGGAGTACCCAACAAATTTCTTACAGTGTGTAAAAGCCTCCGTAACAACAAGAAGTCGAGAGTGTCACATCGTTGATCACTGAGCGATCCCTTCCTTACAAATACAGGAGTTAGGCAGGAATGTGTCTTAGCTCCTCTTGTATTCAACATATTCATGGCAGCGCTCTCTATTATAGTGGACAGCAAACTGCAGGAAAGAAGAATGAGTGTTCATTCTTTCTGTTCAACATAAAAAGACTCAGGGCAAAAATACATATAAAATTCATCACAGAATTTCAATACGCTGATGACTGCGCTCTAGTTGCAAAAACATTACAGCAATTACAAGAAATGCTGAACACATGTACGTGGGCATACGAGACTTTGGGCCTTAAGCTGAACATCGATAAAAGTAAAATTATGTGCACTCCCCCGGAAAATCATAACAGTGCTATAAAATCGGGGAAGAACTATTAGAATATGTAGGGGAATTCAATTACCTCGGCAATTTGATTTAGGAAAAGGCCAATATCGACTCTGAGATTCAGCACAGAATTAGCAGCGCCTCAAGATCATGCTGGAAATTAAAAGACAGGGTTTCCTACAATCCTGACTTGAACACAAAAACGAAACTTGCAGTGTACCGAGCAATAATAATCCCCACCACGTTATATGAAAACGAAACCTGGATGCCGTACCGCCGGCACACGAACGCATTAAACAAGTTGCGTGACCCCTTAGGCAACTGTTTAGAATCAAATGGGACTACCATGTCTCAAACGTATCAGTCCTTGAAAAAGCTAGCTGCGAGAGCACTGAAGTCATGATTACTAAATCCCGCTTAAGATGGGCTGGCCACGTGTGCAGGATGCAAGAAAACTCCCTACCAAAATCTCTTTACGGTGAGCTTGTAGACGGTAAGAGGAAACCGGGTGGATAACTCAAACGATGCAAAGATATTTTCCAATGAAAACTTAAAGGGGATAAGCATGCAGAATTAGTGGGAGGAAGCAGCGCACAATAGAACGCAATGGAGAAGACTAATTGTAACCTCAGATAACAGCGACAACGAAAAATTAAGTCAGCGAGTAATGGCAGTAAGTAAGTAAGTAATATGGATGGTTCAGTCTCCGAGATGCTAGACTTATTGAAAAGGATAGGACTGGAATATGTAACCTAAGGTTCAAAAGGTAGCAGTTGAACAGGTCGATAGCCACCTCAAGGAATATAATCTAATCTAAATCTTAACAATCAATCTCAATGTTAACGGTTAAAAGCAGGGTTTTTAGCAGAGATATCATAAAAGTTTTCAATAGTAAAATCAAAGTTTGCAGAATAATTCTATGGAATTCTGTGAACTTTGGTAAGACTCAAACAGAACAACCACAAAAAATAACATCTAACATAATGACAGTAAGAAGTACAAACTACAATAATTATTAGTATACGTATATAGTTTATGAAACCACAGGCTTTCTTTAATAATATTAAAAAAAGGAACAACGGACACTTCCAAAGAAAAAAAGTCAGACTTTTCTGTACGGTCTTCAGATTAAACAGAAAATAATATTCTGATAGTCTTCAGATCGATTACTGTCTCTTATCTTCAGGGAGTTAGAGATAGCGCACGCACGCATATTACAGTTTTAACAGTTATAGAGTTTAGAGAAAATAGAAAGGAAGAAACTTCTGAGCCGTGGCCCAACATAGCTGCACGCGTAGAGCGGAGCGGAGTGGACAATAGAAAAATACGCGCCAATCCGCGCCTGTATGTGGGGCCACTTCTATTTACTTCAGTGCATTTAAACGCTTCGCGGTCCTCTCCGCTCTACGCTGCGTTAGGTTATACGCCTCATATGGGGCCACGCGCTAAAGTGAAAAAACCGCTTTAAATATACAAAATTAATGTTCTCGGATTTTATACCTGTTTTACACCATTTTTTTACCTGTTCTCAGATTTTAAACATTTTCTACTAATATTTTACATTTTCTACGCACTTTTCTACATACACGTAGAAAATTAATCAAACCCAACCCTGGGTAAAAGTAAAGAATGTTAACTTACTTCGTGTCTATATCAGCATAAGTAGCTTCGTCATCGAGCAGGGATTGAGCTTCATCACACTCACGCTGCCTCATCTCATTTTCCTCCCTCAACACCCTTATTTTTTCTTCCAGCTCCCTATTTTCTTCTTCCATAACAGCCAGGCCATCTTCATCCACTGTGTCCTTGGCCTGTTGCTCGGTTAGTTCATTTAAATAGTCCAAATGCTTTTTGAGAGCCCTGTTTTCAGCAAGAGCTGTTTGTTCTTTGATTTCCATATCTTTGGCACTTTGTTCGCGTTTTGCCATAAGATCGTTCAGGTGTTTGTTGAGATCGGCGATTTTTTCGCCGTTAGACTTAAGCCTGGCTTGTAATTTGGTTTCTGTAAGTTTAATTTATTAAGAATGAAGATTGAAAAAAAAAATGTCATTTACTGACAGGTATGAATGAAGGTTTCGCTAATAGTAGGGGACCCCAAGGGGGAATTTTGGGATTTACTCAAGCGCGGCAGAATATAACATACGGGGATAAAACTTGCACCTTGTTAAGTACCTCCACTATACATTAGGGTGGATAAAAAAATCGACTATTTTTTTTTCACTTTATACTCTGAAAAAAGATTAGTACCTAGATACAGGGTGGTCCGAACGGTATCCCGGAAACTTCGGCAGCATATTCTACAGGTAAAAATAAGTAAAAAAGTTCAATGTATGTCCTAAAATGCTTGGTTTGGGAGATATAGGGTGTAGAAATTTAATTTTTATTGAGATTTTTTCCAAATAATTTATGGAGTAACATCAATATTTGGATCAAAATTGGTGTTTGGGGTTTTTTGACATGAGGAATTTGATTTTGATGTCAATATGACTCCTATTTGTAGGGGGCGCCACCTACAAGTGTTTTAACTGGTTTGAAGAGTAATAACTTTTCGTTCGTACCTGTATAAAACTACTCAGTAAAAATATATACATTTACGACGTTTTTTACGTAAAAAAGGTCTCTTGGTAAAAATCGCTACGAGTAACGGTTCTCGAGATATTTGGAATTGACATTATCAATACCTTTGATCAACACCTATCATCATTGACATAAATTAAACATGTTGACTAAATACATAGTGATTAGACTGAAATCATAAATTTGAAATGTTTTTGTACCAGAGTTTAACAGAAATTTTTTTATCATCGTTTTTTCATAGAAAAATTTATAAACTAATTTAAAAAAATAAAAATTTCCCAAATTTATTATTTCGGTCAAATAACTGTCTACTCAACGTGTTTATTTTTTGGCGATAATGACATGTATTAACGATTTCCATTCTAAATATCTTGAGAACGATTGCTTGTAGGGATTTTTATCAAGAGACCTTTTTTACGTAAAAAACGTCGCAAATGTATATTTTTTTACTCGGTAGTTTTATACAGCTACGGACGAAAAGTTATTACTCTTTAAGCTGTTAAAACACACGTAGGTGGCGTCCCTTACAAAGAGGAGTCATATTGACATCAAAATTGAATTTTTCATGTCAAAAAACTCCCAGATACCAACTTTCATCCAAATATTGACGTTACCTCAGAAATTATTTGGAAAAAATCGAAATAAAAATGACTTAACTCTATATAATAAAACTTCTACACCCTGTATCTCCGAAACTAATCATTTTAGGACATACATTTATACGAACTTTTTTACTTATTTTTTTTCTACAGAATATGCTGCCGAAGTTTCCGGGATACAGTTCGGACCACCCTGTATATCAGCGACCCTGCATACAGGGTGTTTCAAAAGACATGTGCCATCTCTCGTGAGGAGATTACTTACGTAAAAATAAGATTAATTTTTCATATCAACATAGGTCCGATTCCGCTTTGTTTCGTAGATACAGGGTGTTAGAGTATTAATATTTTTTCGATTTATTATAATTTTCTCCCAAGTACTTTTAGTGTTTCGAATGAAATTTTCAGGGCAAAAGTTTTAAAGCTAAAAAAATGTCGACATATTCACCAGGGACGTGCATAGGGGTTATCACTGGAATAATTTTCTAAAAAAAAGCATGTACGCCACTGACTTTTTTCTCTTGTTAGCGAAATAGTGTAAGCAGTTTAATGCCGATTTAAAATTGTCTCTTGATATTTTGTCGATTTTGGTCTCCTTGATCAGATAAACGCAATTTTATTAATTTGCCTTGATTTAAGTCTAATAGCAACCTTTAAAAAAATTTAATATCAATAACTTGGGAAAGTTTCAAATAAGTACTCATTGATTTCTCATTAAAAAATATGAAAAAAAGTTCCTATAAACATGGGAATGCATAGTTTTAGAGTTAGTAAGTATGTTAGTAAGATGTTAAAAAATTTTAAAATTGAGTTTTTTGTAATTATTTTAAATACCATTATTTTTTTATTTCAAATTGCTCTAGGTTGGACTAATAGTAATAATAGCTAACAGTAATAATATTTAATAATAAATTAGGTAAAATATATAATTTTTTAATTTTATTTTTATTTTAATTTTATTAATTGTGATTAATAAAATTGCGTTTATCTCATCAAGGAGGCCGAATTCAAGAAAATATCAAGAGATAACTTTTAATCGGTATTAAACGACCTATATAATTTTGATATCGAATGAAAAAAAGTCAGTGGCGCACATGCTATTTATACGTCAAGTATTTTTGAAAAATATTCCTGTTATAACCCATATGCACGTCCTTGATGAATGTATCAACACTTTTTTAGCATTAAAATATGTAGCACTTATAGTAACTTTTACCCTCAAAATTTTATTCGAATCACTAAAAGTACCTGGAAGAAAATTAGAACAAATCGAAAGATTATTAAGATTTTAACACCCTGTAACTACGAAACAAAGCAGAATCGGACCTATGTTGATATGAAAAATAAATCTTATTTTTAGGTGAGGAATCTCCCCACGAGAGATGGTACATGTTTTTTAAAACACCCTGTATACCGTGTCGTATCGGAACGCGGGACATAGGAAATCCGATGTAAATTTTGAAAACGTCAAATATATTATCTCCCCATACGATTTTATGCAAAAATTGTATTAGACTTTTTGGAAGAGGCGTTAATAGTAGGTATTAAAGCGTTATACTGTCGTCTAGAATTTCATTTATTTGAATATGCATCTAAAAGTTTGCCTTATTTAATAAAAAATCGCCTTATCTCTGGCACAGGCATTAAAACAGAGCAATTTTGAAATCAAAAGGAGATAAATTAATGTTTAAATTGTAGGTATTTACATATTTCCATAAAACCCGTACCTACTAATACGATAAAAAATAATTAAAAATTACCTATACAATCGATTCTGCTGACATAGCTGGCGTAACTCTGGTTCGAATTGTTCAAATCTTGCGATATTATTTTCAGAACATCGCAAACTTTAATAGCTTTACTTCTCAATTCCGGATTCTTCGTATCATACTCTTGGACTATGTCGTTCAAATTGGTTAAAGCGACCCGATCCTCGGCAACAGCTTTATCGATATCGTCCGCTTGTTGCTGCAGTTGTTCGACGTAACGGTTTTTGCTTTCTATTAAGTACTTTAATTGGAATAGTTCTTTCTGATGCGAATCCTAAAAACAGCAATTGAAATGACTATTGAGTTTTTTATATATTTTCATGAAATACTTACCAAACCTTCGTATAGGGTTTCTGCAAGCGTAAAAATCACTGGTGGAATAAAAGTATCTTCATCTTCGTAGTTGTCCATATTTTTTCGCTATTATAAACGGAAAATTATATTTTTCAATCTACGAAATTCAATAAAGACGCTCCTCTTGTAATCTGACAGCCATTAACGATAACAATAGTCAATTGTTTTTGTCCATGGCCGTTATACAGTTTAAATTTTATTTTTTCCAAAAGTAATAATGATTGTAGTTATAAAATGGTTTCATTATTTTTAAAATGTATTGAAATTTAATCTTTACTAATTATTTTACACCATTATTAGTAAGTACATAGTTATAAAAATAACTTCTGATGATTTTTCCAATTTAACTACACGCATTCAACAGCTTTTATTCTATGGATGAACCGTTTTTTAAAATGTAATATTTTTAATAATTATTAAATTTAAAGATGGAATTGATTTTTCTAGAGTGTTACTTTTAAAATTTTAATAAAACTTAAAAGTATTTTTTGAATTAAATTGTTAAGTTTGTTTTTCGGATTCATCGTTAAATGTTTATAGTTCCTCTCGTGTAACTTTTCAAAAAATGATCAAAAAACCGAATTAAAATTTGTATATTTTTAAGAAAAATAAGCTAGTATTAATAAAAACAGAGCCAGACTTGGTTCAAACATGTATTAAAAATCTAAATTTCATTACCTATAACGTACCTACGATAACACCGTTTACCACATATGAATGATGTCAAGTCAAATATTGAAACTTAGAAAAGTTGCATGAGAAGAACCTAAGTTTTTTGTGATAAGTTAGCATTGTTTTTAAGGCGGTTTCTAGTTTCTCCTCGATATGTTCAAACGCTTTGCTTAACTGTTATTGTCGTCATCCATCTGCATATATATATATGTAAAGGTTCTATAATAGTGTTACCTGCAATTGATTGGTCGTTTGTGTATATGTTGAAAAGAATTGGTGCCAGTACGCTCCTTGCACTAGCTCATTCTTCTGGTTTCGCCATCGACTCTTTTTGTCCTCGAGCGTCACGAAAAGCTGTCTGTTTTGGAGTAAGGAGTGTTTTGGAGTAAGTATCTTGACTAGGTGGTAATCTTTCAAGGTCTCGTTGGCTTTAAGCTTGATTTTCATGTGTCAGTTATCCGACGATACGATGATACAATATTAATTTTATTGGTTGGATTTAAACTTCGAATGGTTAGAAAATTACGCAGTTTTTAAATTTATTGCATTTTCATGCCTCCGTTCATCGGATGTACGATTTCCTTGTGATTGGTGTCATTTTATATTTTCATTTCCATCACGATTTCGCTGTTTTACTTATAGTCTATGAGCTAGCAACGTTTTCGAGAGAGAAATTTAAGAAAGCTGCTTCTTTAATATATCTTTTGCTCCTAAACAGAGTACCGGTAGTCTGACTGCCGGTAGACGTTGCGTTCACTATTGCGCATCATATTTGTATTCAACATCTGTTCACTACTGCGCATCACAAATTCGCCCTGTATTTCAGGAACTAAGGAGGCTAGGATAAACATATGTGTAGCATATTTAGTTTCATAAAAAAAGTAATATGAAAATCGCATCGTTGTACTCATAAACGAGAAATCCCATAAAACACACGAAAATGGGATACCCTGTACAGATGCGATGCGCAGTAGTGAACAATAGTCTACCGACAGCCAGACGCCACAACCAGCCAGACAGCACTTTGGTCAGGAGAGCATAGCAAAAGATATATTAAAGAACCAGCTTTCTTAAAATTCTTGTTTTCCCGACGTTGCTAGCTCTTGTACTATTATATTTTTATTAAGATGAGATTAAATTTATCAAAAGTGTCAAAACGTCCGGTATCGTACCCCTGTAATTACGCTAATGATCGTTACCACTTTTAACCTCGCGCCTCGGGCTTCAATTTTTTATTCCCATCGCGCGTAAAGAAGTTTCACTTCAAAAAACCTATAAGAATTATATTATAGGAAGAACCCACTCTGAAAACTTTTGTTCTAAAAAATGTTCTCCACTAATAAAAAACACGGAAAATAGAGACATGCACTTTTTAACTTTTGTTCCATAGGATATGCTGACGTAAATTAGATTCCATTCTTTTAGAATCCTCATATGGATTTATGTACATACTATGAGTTGTTCTATGGCTTAAGGGAAAATAAAATAACTTTGGTTGCACATCATAATACGACCACCAGCAAACTCTATAAGACGACGCATGGTATCATTGATGACGGGCAACGAAAGTTGTTTAATTTTTTTAATTTATTATATTACTTGTAGAATGTTTAGAAGGGGGTTAATATACCTAGGGGGCTTTTTCATACCCGTTATTTTTTGGAACGTATAAAATTTCGTGGCATGGCAGGACGCTGACTTCAGATCACGAGCTGTCGATCTCTAGGTGCCGTTATTTTATACTTGTTATTTTTTAAAGGTATTTAATAATCTGTAAATAATAAATCTGAAGTTATGTTATCTCGAATAACGAATAGAACAAAATATCCAATAATTAAATAACAACGCATCTCTACAATAAACGCATTTTTTCGTGTTGTATACAGGGTGTATCAAAAAACATGTGCCATCTCTCGTAACACTGTGTAGCTACGAAATAAAGCAGATTCGGACCTATGTTGATACGAAAAATAAATCTTACTTTTACGTGAGGAATCTCCCCACGAGAAATGGTATATGTTTTTTTGAAACACCCTGTATATAAATTAGAAACGAGGTACCAAATTTTTTGACGACGTACTCATGGTGAGCATGAAACATAACCTAGTTCTTTTATTTTTTAAAAATTGAAGAATAATTTAAACACATTTTGTGAATAAAATAAAACTCTTTATTCAAAATCTGAGCTAGATAGGCATAGAAAACCCAAATATAGTTTGAAAGAGCATTTGAATCTGTTTCGATTTATTTAAAAAAATACAGGGTGTTGTATTTGAAATAACGAAGTTTTTATGTAAAATAAATATTTAAAATAGACCAAACCAGCAATTTTTGATACCCCTGTATACATTAAACGAAGTAATCAAATTTTTCAGTAAAGTTTATCTCGCTGACTTAAAAGTCAGCACAAGAATAAATTCTGATAAGCAATGTACAGGGATATTTGGGGACGTTGATAATTTTTTTTATTATAGCATGCATATTTAAATATCTTTAAATATCTCAAAAACTAAAGCTTTTGGACATATTAAACCTTTATAATAAATGCCTTATTTTGTGTCCAATGATCCACATATGAAATAAAATTCCGAGTGTTCCATAAGAAAAAATATAACTTTGGTGTGGATCTTAGTTCTGACATACCCTGTATATTTAAAAATAATTTTAAATTATGCACATTGCCTTCCTATATATACCCATAAAATATTTTGTTTCTACAGCTTTCCGTTTTCGTATAATCAACCGAGGCGAATGAGGTGCGCCGTGCGCCACCCTGTACATATACAGGGTGATTCCTGTAAGTTGGTCATGCTCTCGGGGAACGATGGGGGACGTCGAAATATTAATTTTGATATAGCACACTATGGGTTGGAAGTTGGAAATGCCTCTTACGCAAGATACAGGGTGTTAAAGTTTTTGAAAAATTAAAGATATTCTTTAATAGTTTTTTAACAGTTGAAGGTATCGTTATAAAATTTTATTATAGGAGTTTACCTAACAGAGACACTTTAAATGTAAAAAGAAGAGGTTTTAGTTTCAACCAGTGCCGTAGATGTGATACGCATCAGGTAATTTAAAAAAAAAAATAGTGCGCCACTGATAAAAATAACAATTTCGAAGTTTTTTTATTTACTTGGTTTATTTCCAAGAAAAAATGTCTCTTGCAACTTTCTCCTATCTAACACCATTTTGTCACAATTTAAAAATAAATAATTTTTTTAATGAGAACCTTAAATATGCGAAATATTATAACGAATTTTATTAACAATAAAAAAAATTATAGTTTTTTAAAAATGTATTTAAGGAACTAAACCTTGGCCTATTTAAATTCACATGCTAAATGACGAAAGGAGCTGACGATGCACATGTGTTTCTGCCCTCTAGTTATAATAATTCGCTGTATTTAAGATTATCATTAAAAAATTATTTATTTTTAAATTGTGACATAATGGTGTTAGATAGGAGAAAGTTGCAAGAAACATTTTTGCTTGAAAATAATAATTTTATTTTTTATCAGTGGCGTACTATTTTTTGCAAAAAATATCCATCATCGCATCACATCTACGCCACGGGTTAAAACTAAAACCTCTTCTTTTTACATTTAAAGTGTCTCTGTTAGGTAGACTCCTATAATAAAATTTTATAACGATACCTTCAACTGTTAAAAAACTATTAAAGAATACCTTTAATTTTTCAAAAACTTTAACAATCTGTATCTTGCGTAAGAGGCATTTCCGACCTATAGTGTGCTATATCAAAATTAATATTTCGCCGTCCTCTACCATTCCCCGAAAGCATGACCAACTTACAGGAATCACCCTGTATCTATCTTTTTTAAATTAAAACCATAATTCATTAACTTGTATATATTTTCATCTTAAAACATTAAAATAACCCAACACATAAATAAATATCTTGTACACAGGTTTAAAATATTAAGGTACATAATAAATAACAGTACATTTATATAAATTTGTACAATCACAAATACATCAAAATGAAAAAAAAAACTGACAAGAAACAAAACTGACTGAAAATTGACAAGTGCAATGATCTGTACACAAAGGTGAATTTATTAAATGGTAAAAACACATTGTACTAAAATCAATGTTAATTCACTGGTATTGAGGCTTTTTAAAGACTAGTAGATACATATATGAGCTTTTCACATACCATCAGTTCTAAAATTAAGATTAAACCTTGAGATTAACTTCTAAAAAATAAGACATTTTATCCAAATTTCATAAGATTAAACCTTGAGAGACGAGAACTGGGGGTCCTTTTCAAGCTTCAAAATATATTGCTGTGCATCTGCCAATTGTCTTGTAGCACATCCTAGTTGTTCTTCTAAAGCTGCAGCTTCCATTGACTTGACGGATAGACGTTTAGATAAATCGATTATTTCATTATTTTGCTCTCTCGTAAACTTCATTTTAAATTTTTCTATTTCTCGTTCAACCTACACAGATTTATATAAAAAACGCTACTTACTGCACTCAGATGCAAAAAAAAACGCAACGGAGGAATTTTTGGTCAAATTTAAAGTGATATATTTTTGTTATTTTTAACTATATTTTCATAAAATTTTTAGCAAGCTGTATATAATTATATCAACTTTAATTCGTAAACTCAATTTATAAACTTTAGTATTTGGCATATTATACAGGGTTAATCGAGGAGTTGTCTTTTTACCTTAACTTTAAAACACCCTGTGCAATAATTTCCTCTGTAAATTTTACTAAAATATAATTTTACGATCAGAGCCATGACTCCTGAGCTTTTATTTTTTTATTCATGTCAATACATCCAGGTTTTAATAAACAATAATAACTATAACAGAACTAACGATATTAAAGAAAACATCTGTAATACTAAAGTATACAAACCATAGACTTAAATAAAATATAGACTGAGCATCTCATTCATAAATAGCTGGAAGATGCGGTCAGACAATGTCTTATTGTTGTGTTATTATTTTAGGCTCTAACGAGTGCGACACGAGCGATAGATAGGTTGTCTCCGTCGTAACGGTCGTTCCCTGACGACTCTGACGAGGAATGCAACACTGTCTTTCGTTCCTCAGTACACCTGAACTCTCGATACTATAGTCGGGTAATTTTTTTATTTTAATAAAGCTATAATTCAATTAAAAATTAAAAATTTTATATTTTATTAAGATTTAGGAGAGGTTTTTTAAATAAAAGTTTAGAAAAAAAAACGTCCAAAAGCGATAAAAATAATAAAATACATGTTATAGAAAAAATTTTAATAATCGAAATTACCTATTTAATTTTTGAAATTAATATATTAATTATTAATTTTAGTCAAACATTTACAACCCTAATATTAATCAAAACAGGATCTATTCTATAGATATAATAGAATCGGCGACACGGAAAGAGAAAAAACTTCATGATTGTTGTAATTTTTTTTTCTGGTAAGTGAGTGTAAATTAGAGAAAACAGAGATCTGTTTCATTAAAGCAAGCTTTTAGGAAGTGGATAAAATGAAAACTACATTTATTTAACCCGGTACTGCCTTTATTATACCTTTGCGTCCCAAAAGTGGCTCACCCCCATAATTTTTTTATTTTTTCTAATAAAAAAACAAGATTTGGTATGTTAGTATATTACATAAATTAGGATTGATTGACGCATTCAATTGTTTTTGGTCACTTCCTGTTTCACCGGAAATGACTATAACTTCTGATTTTTAAACGGCACCCTGTTTTTTTATCTGAAAAAATAATAGAAAGTCATAGGGGTGACTTTTGAGACGCAGCCGGTATATTGACAAATATTGTTTCATAATGTAATATCATTTTAAAATTCTTCTATGTTATTTTAGATTCTGAAGATAGTTTTAGGATAAACTGGAATATATTTTTAATAAAAACATGATTTATTTTTTTATCCGATGCCTAATATAATTTATCTTGTATAATAACAGGGTTATAATTATGATTTTGTTACAAAAACTTTTATATAAATGATTATGTAATAGAAAAAATTCAGATTTTACATTTTACTAAAATATTATCTAAATAAGCGCCTTTCTACAACAACGCCACTGACTCCCAATTGGTAAATTGAGAGTTGCCTACCGGTCGAAAGTCGTTTCGAGACTCAAATGGATCATTTAAGTCAAATTTCTTGCAAATTTGGCACTGGCGAACCATATTTTATAGTTCTTGAATATAAAAAGTAAATAAAATAAACATTTAAGGACTACAAACTAAGAAAATGCAATAATTCAGCTAGAAAGAAGTAGCGGCAACAATGCTTTACTACACACGTGCGACGCGTACTACAAAAAAAATAGAAGAATGAATAGGCGACCTCGCCTCTAATCGGTGTTGCCATATTGTAAAGGATTTATCCTTTTTACATAGTATTCGACTTATAATAAAGTAGTATAAGGACTATTTAATACATCTATGGAATATTAAAACCTACTTTATTAAAATGCAGTATTAATATCTCAATATATGTGTATAATAAGTAAAAAAATACTGATAATATTAAAGACGTGACAACATAGGCTGGACGAGGAAGGTTTGGTCGGCTGCGGTCGAGTGTACCCAGAAGTAAACGTGTACAAAAATGATTGTTTGACCGCGTGTAGATGTAAATAGTGTAGTCTATATTTTATTTTAAGTCTATGATACAAACAGAAAAAAATAGCCTAATACTTTGTATTGTTACCCTCGGCTGCTATAACTGCCTGTATACGTCCGTTCATACTATCATTGAGGCTGCATATATCATATTGCATTATGTTTTTCCATTCCTCTTTAAGGACCAAGCGAAGATGATTTAATGAAGCTGGCACTGCTTCGTGACCTCTAACCCTCCTGCCAAGCATTTGCCAAACGTCAAACATGATGGGCAGTTCATAGTAGTATATAGTTCACAATAATCACCAAAGCTGAATTGTCACATTGAAAAATAACTTCAAAAAGAAATGATAATTGAAAAAATTGCAAATTGTTGATGAAATTAACCAAGGCATGTATTGACATGATCCAAAAAAACAAAATACCCAGGAGACATAGTTCTCACCGTAAAATTATATTTTAAGAAAATTTACAGACGAAATTATTGCACAGGGTGTTTTAAAGTTAGGGTAAAAAACAACCCCTCGATTAACCATGTATAATATGGCAAATACTAAAGTTTATAAAAAAACCGAGTTTACGAATTAAAGTTGATATAATTATATACAGCTTGCTAAAAAATTCATAAAAATAAAGCTAAAAATAAAAAAAAATATAAGACTTTAAAAAAATTTCTCCGTTGCGTTTTTTTTTGCATCTGAGCCGAAGTATTTACAAACCTCGGCCAAGTGGGCTTTCTTCATCGCATCTAATGCGGATAATGTAGCTTGAGTTTCTTCCTCCAAAGCCTGCTCTTTTTCTTGCTTTAAAACATTAACTTCTAAAGCATGAGCTTCTCTTAAATCCTGTATTGCCCTAAAATAAATTTTGTTAATCTTTGTAAGAAGTTTTCTGTAGACAATTACCTTCGATGCCACTGTTCAAAAGAAGTCAATACACGTTCACAAAGTTGCTGCAGTTGTTCAAGAGCCGATTCCTGCTGTAGATCTTTACATGACGTTAAAGCGAATCTGAATGCTGTTCTAAGATTTTCCACATGAGTTAAATATTCAGTTGTAAAACTTACTGGCCGTTGATTTAAGCTACAAATAAATTATATATAAATATGTCCAAAACTATTGCATATCGATAAATAAAACATCTATGTATTTTTAGAATTAAATATTCAGTATGTAGGTACTGTTCACGTTTTGCACAAACTTAACAAAAAATAAAGTAAGCTAAGAATTGTTTATTTATACAGGGTGTTTCAAAAAACATGTGCCATTTCTCGTCGGAAGGTTCCTCACGTAAAAATAAGACTTATTTTTCATATCAACATAGGTCCGATTCCGCTTTGTTTCGTAGCTACAGGGTGTTAAAGTCTTATTTTTTTTTGTTATAATTTTCTTCCAAGTACTTTTAGCGTTTTGAATTAAATTTTAAGGTTAAAAGCTTCGACATATTCACCAGGGACTTGCATCAGGGTTATCACTGAAATATTTTTCTAAAAAAAGTACGCCACTGACTTATTCTTCTCTTGTTAGCGAAATAGGGTAAGCAGTTTAATGCCGATTAAAAGTTGTGTCTTGATATTTTGTAGATTTCGCCCTCCTTTATGAGATAAACGCAATTTTATTAATTTGCCTTGATCTAAGTCTAATAGCAACTTAAAAAAAATATCATTAACTTGCAAAAGTTTCAAATAAGAACTCATTGATTCTTCATCAAAAAATATGAAAAAAAGTTCCTATAAAGCTGGTATGGAAATGCTTAGTTTTAGGATTACAGGATGTTAAAACTTTTTAAAATTAGTTTGTTTTTGTAATTATCTTAAATACCATTGTTTTTTATTTGAAACTGCTGTAGGTTGAGAACTAATAGTAATAATTACTAATATAGTAAACGCCACGAATGTTTGGGAGTGATTCATCGGTCGCTACCATGTAAACTAATCTGTTCAAGGTCGCATAAAACTTAATTCCAGTGCCGTGGTGTTTCAAGTCATATAATAATCAATATATAATCTATTGTAATTTGTTGTTTTAACAGTCAAAGTCTTGTCAAAACATATATTTGGTTATAAATATAAAATGAAATGCCCCATTGGCCGCACTGCAAGCACACCAATGGACTGACGCACAAAAACGAATCAATCAAAGAAACGCGATATAGTATCGTCTTTGTCAATCACGCTAATATTTCAGAATAAGTAGGAGGAGCGCAGGCAGATGATTAGACCGGGCCTTTAAGAACTTACGTCTGCGGTAAAAATTTACGTTTTTAATGTAAAAATGATAGCGCGCGTGTCGATTCTAACTTCATCAAGCGATGAATCACTCCCAAACATTCGTGGCGTTTACTATAGTAATAATATTTAATAATAAATTAGGTAAAATATATAATTTATTAATTTTATTTATATTTAATTTTATTATGATTTATCTCATCAAGGAGGCCAAATTCGACAACATATCAATAAATAATTTTTAATTGGCATTAAACGACCTACACAATTTTGATGTCAAAAGAAAAAAGTCAGTAGCGCACATGTTTTTTTTTAAATATTCCAGTGATAACCCATATGCCCGTCCCTGGTGAATTTAACAACATTTTTAGCATTAAAATATGTAGCACTTATAGTAATTTTTACCTTCAAAATTTCATTCGTGTCACTAAAAGTACTTGGAAGCAAACTATAATAAGTCGAAAAATTATTAAGACTTTAACAGCCTGAAGCTACAAAACAAAGCAGAATCGGACCTATGTTGATATGAAAAATAAATCTTATTTTTACGTGAGGTATCTCCCCACGAGAGATGGTACATGTTTTTTTGAAACACCCTGTATATAGGGATCTCAGAAATGATACGGGGTCGGCTAACTTAGAGGAAAGTTGTGCCTTGCTTGCAGAACACCAAAAGGTCAGGTTTTAAATCTAAAAAATCTAATTAAGTCTAATTCCGAAGATATTTCGGAAAAGCGAGTCTTCCTGATTTCCTATTTAAAAAAATAAAGTTGATGATGGTATCTTGGAAACGAGACGTTACCGTTTACCTATTCATTCTTAAGGTACCATAACGTACCGCCATGCCACTGTCACGTCGAGCCACCACAGTAAATATTCTTGGTAGAAACATGACATAGGCAAGACGTTCCTTTTCTCTTATTTTTTTTATATTATTATCTTTATCTCTTACCGTTTCTAAGATCCCCATACTATTCATTCTTATCATGGACTTACTCTATATGTACTGTGGTCAAAAATGGTCTGTTTGACTGAATTTTCAACCATTTTGAAAACTGTCTACAACTGTTTTATTTCGGGGAATAATTTTTTTTTAAACGTTCTTAAGGCACTTTTTTTAAGCACAATCCAGTGGCATAGTCAATTTTTTTCTATATTTGCTCGTTTTGTAAGAAATAAAAATATTTTTGTTTAAATAGAAAGCATAGTTGACTACAAACTTAAGAAAATGCTGGCGTTTAACTCTTTCTAACGATATAAAGTTAATATGTATCTATTTCTAAAAATGAGAGGAAGAATTTCTAAGGTCTAATTATTTCTGACAAAAAGAGCAAGTACAGAAAAAAAACTGACTACGCCACTGGATTGTGTTTAAACAGGTGTCATAAGAACGTTTTTACAGAGATTTATTATTCCGCGAAATAAAAAAATTATAGGCAATTTTCAAAATGGCGAAAAATTCAAAAAGACCCCGTATCTCAGTTGACAGTGAAAATATCGACAGACGATTTATGCCATTAAGCGTGTCTCAGAAATCAAGCCCATGATATCTGTGTCGGTTTTGCTCCATCTAGTCAGGAAATAAGGATTCTCTGTTAAAACACACCAATTTCGACCACGTTGTATGTATAATATTACTTTGCGACTTACTTATTTGTAGATACCAATTTTTCTATAACATCTTCAATTTTCCCCAATTCATTTCCTAATATTTTACATATTTGACATACATCACTCCAGTTATTTATTAAGGGAAACCGTTCTAACATTGGCACTTCTAGTCGTCTCTGAAATTCTTGGATTTTGACTTGAAACTCAGTGAGGTATTTTGTAACCTAAGGAATATTATTAAAGTACCATACAATAAGAAAAAGCTGCGTTAGAGTTGGCTTGGAAATGAAGATCGCTGCCATATAAAATTATCAACTATCACAGAGTTGCCAGGTCTGCCGATTTCGTCTGTAAGCTACCGATCTACCGATTTAAGGCTACAAGGTCTACCGTTCCTTCTGATTCTTTTTGCATTTATTAGAAAAATACAACTAAAAATGTGCAAACCAAGTTTTGGAAATCGGGTCAAGGCGTCCCTCTCGGTACGGGTTACCCCGGCGATACCACTGACTCGCCTTAACGATCAAAAAGAAAAGTAAATTGCCAAATTGCAACTAAATCTCCTAAAATGAAATAGGTAAGAAATAAATTTACTGAAATCTGAAACAAAACTAGAACTACCGAACATTTAGTCCTCATATATCGAATTATAATCTAACAAATTTGGCAACCCTGTTCTGCCACTCGTTACTAAGTTTATTTCGGCGAATTTTTTTTGTCGAACATTCGCCGCAGACGCCGACGCGAGGCACACGCTTGTGGTCCCGCCCCCTCTCGCAGAAGCCATCTCATCACTCATCGCGTCACTTCTAATCAGTGGAAGGGAAAACAGAGTTATCTGTCTTTGTTACACTGTAGGCTGTCTGTGTCATCTTTTTTTTTGTCGCACTGAAAATCTCCTATGCTAGGTATTCCTTTGCCAAAAGCGTATAGGCAATTTTAACAGCAATCACACGCAATGGAAGTGCAAAGAGAACGATGACAATGGCGAAGCACTTGTAAACTAAGCGGACAAAAATAATATGTACCGGGTAACCAACTACACCGGTTACTTAGTGTATGAGTTATACGATAAGTTGTACACAGGTACAGCCGGCGTCCATTCTTAGTTGGCCATCCGGTACTTTGTATTCGACTCAAGGGATAGAGACCCTTTTTATCCGGCAGCGTAGAGGCGGGATTATAATCCGGACCTTTACTTCGTGACTACAGACAACGATAACAGACCGCTGAAAACCTCTCATAATATCCTACCAGACTTTCCGCACCACTAGTCAGTACCGACCTGCCCTAACTTTGCCCTATTCCTTTGATAAGTTCCTTTCCTTGTCCACGGTAGAATTTTCAGAAATCTAAGTAAGACCTTTTTTGATCTGTATAAGAGTCTGGGATGGTTTCCTCCTAAAGTAAACAATTACACGAGCGGCCGTATGTTCCGCAAATGGAACGAGGACTGTGAACTCAATACCAGACATTCATCGATAGCAATGACCACGATATTGCTGATGAGTTGCTAAGACAATCTTGATGTGGCGATACCGATAGATTGGTCTCGTCGAGCAGTGATCGTTCAAAGCACCGGACCTTAAAACCTATAGTAGTAAAGCATAGTAATTTTTTTCTAACAAAGAAACACCGATACCTCCAAACAAGATTGCCTCACCAACAGATGCATAATAATGTTGTAAGTCAGCAAGCAGACAGCTTGCCGTTCGTTTCGAAACAAAAGGGCTCAAGTCTAACGGCTTTTCAAGATATATTCGAGTCACTTTAGACAGGGCAAGTACCCTGTTTGCAAGTGCCCTGTCTATAGATAAGTACCTATAGGCGACATCTGGATCAGAGACAGCCTGGATTTACCCTGCAAAATATGTTGGAAACACACAAATCATGGAAGATGTGCAGTCTCCCTTCTCAAATGGGGTAAAATATCTCAAAAAGCAGACATCAGCCAACACTCATATGTGACTGCGGGGCTAATAGACAGACTATCCGCCACATAGTGGAGGAGTGCCAGAGAAGAGCTTATGATGGGAACTTCTCAATTTTCTGAGGGTAAAGGACGCCGCAAAAAACTATATGTAACCTCGGCATTTGTACTTGATTGAGTTTTCACTTTTCTGTGCGTCTTATGTTTGTTATACAGGGTGTCCCAGAAATAAGTGCAATTATTTTAAGGGGTGGTAGATCTCCATAAAAGAAACATAATTTCTCTTTATCGTTTTATAATCAAGTCCACAATAACGGAGCTTTTACTTTGAAAATTACCAAAAAAGTGATTTTTTGCTAAAATTTTGAGAACCACAGGATCTTTTCTGGATTTTTTTTCTTGTAAATTTAATCTAATACCTATGTTGCCATATTATCAAGAAATTATGTTTTTTAAATAAAAATTAAAAAAATTTCCAAAAAAAATTTCAAAAAATTTCGAATTTTCAAATTTTTTTTTTCGCGAAAAAAACCTCATAGGCGAGTTTCTTGGGGCTGAACTATACTACCAGTTGAAATACTTGCACTTATTTCTGGGACATCCTGTATAGTGTCTTATATGTGTGTTATATATGTTTTTTGTAATTTTAATATTTATATATTTAAGTTTTTTTATATTTTTTATATCTACCTATAATATTTGCTTTATATGTTGAGATCCACAGAATGATGTTATTTGATTGCCATACGATAAATAAAATAAATATATAGAGAATATAATATATTGTCCTTTCCAAGCCAACTTAACGCAATTTTTTTTGACGTTATTTATAGCAAATTTTATTCTAAATATTTTCGACAAAAATAATTTTACCTGAGCTAGTTTTAGCTGTTCGAGACCTGCTAAGCATTGTTGTGAGAATTGGTCAAGCATACATGAAAATTCTAACTCTAAATTTGGATTAATATGTATAATAGATTGATTTTCCAAGTGAATACTGTATTTTTCCTGTTCTAACCAGTTGGACAATATAGAATTTTCCATTTTAACAGTGTTTTCAATTGGTATATTACATTTACCGCTTAAAACACTGATCCGGGCATCAATTAACGCTTTATGAGCAATGACATCAGCAACGTCTTGCAAAAGACTTGTTACAATAGTATTAGACTGTTTAATATCTGTTTTTTGTTTCCAGTTCTGTTTTTGTAGTTTCTCAAAGCTTGTTTTAAAATTCATTGTCAATTCTATAATGCATTTGTTAATTTCATTATAAAGACTGTTTTCTACTGAATCAGACCATAATTCGAGAGCTGCGCGTTCTGACGCAAAAAAGCTAAAGAAAAATGTATGGTCGGCTTCTAAGTTAGATTTATAAATATGAGCAGCTCGAAGTAAAACATGATTGATTTCTGATTGGATCAGTTCAGTATTAACCACATTCTCTGCCATTCTAGTGAATTCTTCTGTTGTTTCTTTATTTAGTTGACTAGTATCCAACTTAGACATGTTATATGCTTTATTTGCTAAAACATCCGCTAGTTGCGGTAATTTAGTAGCTTTATATATATCTAGCATAACATCCAGCTTTTGTTGTTCATCAAGTAAAATATTTAAGGTAGGGCCATTATTTTGCACTACATTTATATATTCTCCGATCCTTTTTCCAGCCATTAAGTACTTAGCTAATACTTTACTAAGGTACTCTACACCGGTTCTGCAAACAGGTGGTTGGTTAGATCCAACACCGTTAAGTTTATTTTGTAAATCCATAATGAGATAAGCGGTTTCTCTAGTTTCTTTATCTATCAATCTTTTACACACCGGTTCTCCTGATATAGGAGATCTTAAGGCCTTCTGTATTCTATCAACCAATATATTTTCATACGATATTTTCTCGGCTAATATCTGTAAACGAGTATGAGTGTCGAGCAAGCCCTTTCCATAAAGTTTCTTTTTCTTCTCTGCCAATCTAGTGAGTTTTTCAACTAATATTTTTTCCAGTTGTTTAACAGTTGATTCTGTAGATGAGTTAATAATTCGCGTCTCTATTGGATTAACATGATCTTTTGTCTCAATATTTAAAATATCATTAAGTTCTTTAAGCGTATTTTCTAAAAACATCAGTCGATCGGAGCTAAGAGATGTTCTTTTACTTTTCAACAATTTTACAGAATGCATACATTCTATAACTTTTGATTTTGCAGAAAATAAAATATGGTCCAGATCAGAGTGTTTCTCTGTTAATTTAATCAAATCTGAACTATTACCTAAAGCATTTAAATATTCTGTAGACATAGTTGTACACGCCACTTTAGTTTCTAAGTTACTAAGACGCATTATTAATTCGAGAGGTTCCAAACTAGAAGCGCTTTCCAAACTTTTTCGTCTAAACCTACGTCGCGTTTTATCATCGACAGGTGAACTCCTTTCATTACTTTTATCTCTCTTATACGTTGTTTTCGACTGGCCTTTTTCTAAAGATAAAATTTTAGCTTCTAATTCAGTGACTTTGCCTTCCAGTTCCTTATTTATACAAAAATATTCTCTTCCTTTTAGAGACAAGGATCGTCTTTTGTCCCTTCCCTCGCTTCTTACTTTTGTTCTTAATTGTTTTTCAACTGTGTTTAATTTTGATGTGAGATGATCCAATCTAGCTACAAGAAGATTCACTTCTGCTTGATGCTCGTTATTTATCAATTCAATGCTTTGTTTTAAAGCATAATTAGTCATTTCTAGACTATCAAAATTTCTCTCGATAGTCTGAAATTCCTTTTTAATAGTAATAATTTCAATAACGGCTCTTTCAAACCGACATTTTAAATCCAAACAATATTCTTTCAATTTGTCAGTACCAAGAGCATCAATATCCGTTTCTAAATCAACATTGGTTAAATCAGCAAGAGAATTAAATTTAATACCCTTTGTTTTTAAATAATATGTTTTATCAAATTCTTGCAGCTTTTTATGAAGGCTTTCATTTTCTTTTCTGTTTATTTCCAGTTTATTATTTGAACTAGCCACTTCATCTTGCAAACTGGCCAACATTTGTAATAAAATTCCATATTTTTTTTCAAATGTACGAGAAACCTCTTCAGCCTCCATCAAGCGTTCTTGAAGTATTTTCTGCTCCATGATAAATTTATTCTCCACTTCAGAATTTCTTTGGTTTAATTCTTGCTCATTTTTCTCGAAAATTTTCAAAGTTTCTTTAGCTTGCTTTTCCCGAAGGGATGCCTCGGATTGTAGTTTTTTCAACCTAAAACAGAATTTACAGATATGTTTGGTCTTTTATTGGAGTAAATTATTTTGCTAGAAATCTTATATTACGCGCCTAATTTTCTCTCCCAAGTAGCATTTTTAGACACAAAATCGAAACAAAATAAAAAAAAGTGTCCATGATTTATTTGATATTATGTCAAATATTTATTTCGCATAACCATTTAAGCATTCTTTATTCGTTTTTTACTCTTTTTTCCACAATGGAATAGATGTTTTTATGTTTTGATTGTATTGTTACTTATTATAAAGTAAATAAACATGTTTTACTTATTTTGACCAGAAATTTTGATTGGCGTTGTTGACAAGTGACTAGTTCGAAATTTCTACACAGATAGCGCCAAATCGAAACATTTTGGAAACAGTGTTTCCATTTATTGTCGATTCATTTTCGAAACACTAGTTTCTCTCATTTTATACAAAAAAGATGATTTGTGTCCAACTCAATGTCAATTTTATTAAATAATAAATTAAAATTCCGCCATGTCCGCCATTCCGGCTAGTAATAGCGTTTTCAAAAAACAATATATGTTTTATCGGCTGTTGAGCTTTTAAACTCATAAGAACGCGTTCCAGTTACATTAATTTATATATTTTTATTTTCATAACCATGATATAGAAATAAAAATAAAATTCTATATTTCAAACAAACATGAACATCTTGGACACAAATTGCAGAAAATGTGTCGAAACATTTCTTCTAAAAGTTTTGATTCCGCATCGAAACATCTCAGGAAACGGTTGATGCCACCACATTGGAAACATGTAATAAAGCGTATGTATAAAGTCACGTTGACACGGGTAGTGAAGCACGATCGTAGCCCACACTTTCGTGGACCACGCTTCATGTCAACAGTAGATTCGTGAAAGAAGAATCGAAACGAATCAATACGAAAGACGCCACGATCGTGAATAAGCAAATCAAACGTGTTAGATATTTCACGAACCAAATATTTAATGAAAAAAAAGTTGCAGAGGAAGTTGAGATAAAAAAAGCATATTTTGCACGATTCTCGTATTAGAAAATATTGATTGACTTCCGATAATAAGCTTTGTTGCAAAAAAAGTTCGAATGTTTAATTGTTATTTTTTTTTAAATATATTTTATTATAAAAATTAACTTCATATGCATTACAAAACCATAATTAAAATAAATATAAATTCAATTTTTATATTAATTCAATTATTATATTTTTATATGCAGTAATGACTCGCAAGTAAATTAGAAATGTCTGATCAAAAGACATAAAATAGTAAATATTCGCAAACTCTGTGAAGAGATATTGACATGAATGCCACAATTAAATACTTTCACTTGTGTTTTAATGTCGTAATATTTGGCACATTAGTGTACAACCTTCCACGAAAGGAACTTTATAGAAGACTGGCACGTTTGCCGTGTAAACAGCCTACGATCGCTGGACGATTTTCGTTTTTCACGAATGGCTTTTTGGTACTTTCGTAGCTCACGAAAGTGTAAGCCACGAGCGTGCTTCACTACCTGTGTCAACCTAGCTTGAAATATATAGGTTTCGAAAATGTTTCCTATTTGTGGTATACCGTTTCCATTTTGTGTCAATAAACAGACACGATTACTAGAAACATTACCTAAAATGTGTCCAAAAATGCTACTTGGGATATATTAAAATGTTCGCGGTTGCGCTTTGACCAGTACGACTGGTACAAGTACTACTTCTATTTCTTGAAAAGACTTCTGGAAGGAAAAAACTTTATTCTTTGTGTTTTTTTTTGCTTCTGACGATTGAGAGACAAACTATTGGAGCAGCAACCAAGCGTACTCAAAGCGTTTAATGACGAATCGCGTCTAAGCAGGTACGCCTTTGTGGACAGTCACCTTTAGGCAAATTTGTTTTATTAGTAAAATACTTCTGATAAACTGGTCTCGTTTGTACCAATTCAGTGGCGTTTACAAAAATAATTTTTATTTTGTAGATTTTCTTGCAGTGGAAAAAATCCCAGAATGAACCAGCCATAAAGGTTACTACCTGACACATTATTTACTACTTCTGCATACCACAGCCAGAGGCAAAATAAACTTTCATCGCGATAGTCCGGGAATTCGTGGATTCAAAGACTATACGCTCAAGAATAAAGGTGTTAAAGGAACGTTCCAAAAGCTGGCCGGGTATAAAAAGGTAGACGAACATCCGCTTTTTTTTTAATTAATTTTTTATATACAGGGTGGCGCACCTCATTAAGGCAAATTTATTTTCATCAATGTGCTCTCACAACCCGGTAGTGAGGGCAGGTTGATCCACATTATGACAAACACAGCGTGGAATTAAATTTCTATATCAGCAGTTAAGTGGCAAGAATTCTTATATAATTTTATTATATACCTATACTGCAAGAAATTTGTTTTCCATTTTATATTTTTTTCTATAAAACTGTCAGCAAAAAATATAGTTGCCTAATAGCCATTTACTACTTTACTACTTAGATTTTTACGTACTTTAGATTTTTTAATTTAGGATTTAGATTTTTTTTAAGGTAATTAGGGATTAAATTATTTAATTTGCAATGTGTTGGAGTTGAAGCCGAGTTAGCCCACGGCCACACTGAAAGCGTTTTTAGCGTTTTGCGTTTTTTACGTCTCAAGCTCTTTTTGCGATTTGTGTCCATTAAAAACACGCAAAAGGGTTTGCAGTTTCTATCAAAATGTCAATTAGTAACGTCGCAAGGTCGTGGACTCCCGGCCCGTTCAACAATCAATCCTGTGAGAAAGAGATAGGCGAGATCGGCGCGGTTAGCGTTGAAGAGACAAAGATAAAAGATGCTAGGATTGAATTGTGGACGGGCCGGGGTATATATTCGGCGACAAACACAATCTACTGCGAGTGCCAGTGGTATGTGTAAAAATAATAATTATTATTTGCTATTTATTTTACGAATTTTAGTTTATATGTGTATAGTTTTTTTTATGTTGTAGTCTTGTGGTCACTTGTTATAATTATAATATAATATAATAAATAATAGAATAGTAAATATTACTAGTTCCTAACGCAATTTTCGGACATGATTTATGAAACTTTTTGGAATGAAACTTCTTTACGCGCGCTTGGAGTAAAAATTCAAGGCTACGAGCTAACGAGACGGCCCTGACACACGAGCTAGTTGTAACGAAACGTGATAACGGCTTAGCAATGCGTAGTGACGCGACTTGTATTTGTGAGCAGTCCACCTGTTTATCAAAAATAGTGATATTTTAATACAAAATTTGTAAAAGTGAATCAAATTATTACGTGTAAAAAAACATTTGTTACACGTAAAAAACTATTTTTATTATTTTACGCGAATAAAACTGTTACACGTAAAAAACTATTTTTTACGCATATAAAACTATTTGTTACTGGTAGAAAACTATTTTTTACGCGTATATAACTATTTGTTACTGGTAGAAAACTATTTTTTACGCGTATAAAACTATTTGTTACGTGTAAAAATCTATTTGTTACACGAAAAAAAAATATTTTTTACGCGTCAAAAACTTATTGTTTCTGGTAAAAAAAACTTTCTTACGCAAAAAAAAAATTCGCATATAAAACTATTTGTTACTGGTAGAAAACTATTTTTTACGCGTATATAACTATTTGTTACTGGTAGAAAACTATTTTTTTACGCTTATAAAACTATTTGTTACGTGTAAAGATCTATTTGTTACACGAAAAAAAATATTTTTTACGCGTCAAAAACTTATTGTTTCTGGTAAAAAAACTTTCTTACGCAAAAAAAAAATACTTTTTCCGCATATAAAACTATTTGTTACTGGTAGAAAACTATTTTTTACGCGTATATAACTATTTGTTACTGGTAGAAAACTATTTTTTTACGCGTATAAAACTATTTGTTACGTGTAAAGATCTATTTGTTACACGAAAAAAAATATTTTTTACGCGTCAAAAACTTATTGTTTCTGGTTAAAAAAAAACTTTTTACACAAGAAAAAATATTTCTTACGTGTAAAAAACTATTTTTTACACGTCAAAAACTATTTGTTTCTGGTAAAAACATTTTTACCCCCCAAAAAAATATTTTTTACGTGTAAAAAACTATTTGTTACGCGTTAAAAACTATTTTTTACACGCCAAAGACTATTTGTTCCTGTTAAAACTTTTTTACGCAGAAAAAAAAAAATTTACGCGTAAGAAAATATTCCTTTAATTTATTACTTATTCAACATTTAAAACTACACTTTTTAAACATTTCCTTCAAATTTTTGAATTTAATAGAATCTTCCCAAACCGTAGATGTTCTCTATAAAAATATTTTTAGATAATACCCTAAAATAAAAAAAATGTATACTATTTAATTTATTTTTATTGTATTATTAAATATAACGTCCGCCTATGACAGAGTCTCATCTTAGAAATCGCTAAAGACGCTACAGAAAACAAACTGATTTGTTTTCATTTGCATTTCTTGCGAGACCCGCCGAACGCTACACGCTTTTGGTGGGGCCACTTCTATATAATCCTGATATTTTGTTTTAGTCGCTAAAGACGCTTCACGCTAAAACGCTTTCTGTGTGGCCGTGGGCCTAGAGACAACTAGATAACCGGTCCATGTATATTTCACATATAGGGAAATTAAAATAACTTTGGTTGCACCTCATAATACGACCAGCAGCAAACTCCATAAGACGACGTATGGTATCATTGATGACGTGCTAAAGTTCGTCTGTTAGGCAGACGCAGACACTGGCGCAATAACGCAACTTTAAAATTCTAAATATCGATTAGCCCTTACTCTGAGGATTAGCTAATTTTCGAACGGGAGCGCAAACGAAAGCCTTACGAAGTTGGACGAACCCGTACGAATGAACAGCTAGTGCTAGCGTCTAGCCTCTTATTGGTCTAGTTATCTGTTCGATATTTCAAAATCCAGTCTTGCGCACTACGGTTGAGCATGCCTAACTGAGCGACTTATGCAAATTCCTTCAGAAGATTTATATACCCTTTTCACCGGCTCGGCTTCACAGAATACAGTTTGGAGTCAATATAGTTACTTTAAAAACATGAGTGGGGCACAAAAATAGACAGACGACATGATGGGTCGGTCGGCATGTTGGCGCGGTGGCTCGTGAACTAGTTCTTATCTTTTTTTATTGTTGGTTCTGGGGAATTTGATTGAAAATCCGGGATAATATTAATTCTAAAACCCGTCTTTGCGAACTATATATGATTATTATGCATTACCTTAGAATTTCTTCTTCTAAACAAGCAATTTCATGTGTCGATTTTTGCAGTTTATTCTGTAAAGCTAAAATAACTGAGTTATTTTGATCTGTATGGTTACGTTTATCTACGTTTGTTATTGGCCATTCTTTTACACAATCTAATTCATCTGTGGAAGTACTATCTAAAGTTGATTGCCTCGACTGTGATCTCGGTCTTAATCTTAACCTAGATCTATCTTTCGCCTTTAATGATACTCTATAAAAAGTAAAATTTGTATAAATAAAATGGTATTTAATCATTTTCAGTTAAAATTTCTCACAATGTAATAAATTGAGAAGATGGCACCTCACTCCAATCACCCGATTCTCTTCTTCCTCCCTCAGATGCCGTTTTATATTCTTCATCACTGGAAAACGCAAAAGATTGTGATGCACTTTCGGAAACACTAATTACCGCCTCCATTGGAACCACCCTCTTAAGAGCTTGAACCCAACTTGATCTATATAAAGTTATAAAATTAAAATTAATTAACTATAATAAATTTAACAATAAGATACCTGGTACTTTGAGTAACAGCTCCTAAAGTTAAAATATGATTTGGCCATTGAATTTCTAATGCATATTTTGAATTAGTCTCTGTGGGTAATTCTGTATAACTTGTAATATCTGATAATTCTTTGCTAATCTCTGGAGTAGCAGTATCTTGTTCAATATAAATATTCAATAATGGAGAACAGAGGACTACCCAGCGTCGAACCCAATCATTATCACTACTTTTTATCCATAACCATCCCTGCAAAATATCAAAATTATATATTTTCAGAAAAGTCAAACACCATATATAATATTATATGTCAATATAATAAACACCTTTTTTCTGTTTAGTAGTCCTTCAGAGGGAAGAGTTAAACTAGACTCGAGCGATCTGTCTGTAAGAGCGGTTGCTATATCTCTTAATCTTTCATGTCGCCAATCCAAACGAACTTTAACCTTGTCATCGCCTTGCAACTTGTCTCTAGTTGGAGGTGACCCTGAGCTTATGGTATGTTCTAGTAATGTACAAAGCGAAATGTAATGATATTTTAAAACATCTGCATTTTTAATAAAACTTACCCCTGTAGGAACCGGATATTGGATCTTCGATAGTCACACCAAGGGTTTCTTCTGGTACCCAGACTGGACGTGTATGTGGTATTTCCAAAGCCCTACTTTGTTTATCTTTATAAGATACATTAGCATTAAGAAGGCCACGTTCTTCTTTTAATGGTGGTGTTTCAAAATTAGCACGTGGAGAGGCTCCTGACACATTTAGCAGTCTAAAAAAATTAAAAAAAAGATTGAGAGTAATAGCAAGTAAGTCCACTTAATGAATTAATAGAACTAAATATAGCCCCAGTTAATATTATTTAGCCAAATTAGCTTATCACTCACCTATCGATGCGTGGATGAATGAAATACTCGTCCGAAGTCGCTGTTTTATATCTGATCCAAATATGATCTGATCGAATCACGAGGGGGATTTCCCGGATGGCTGAAGAATCGCCTTCGTATCTCGATTCGTAAACAATGGACGAAAAGTTAGACGTTAGATTGTGCTTTTATATGAATTACTTGTTTTTTTTATAGAGGTAGGAAAATACATTTGCGTATCTCAGTGCCAGATGATTGGCCTGGTATGTCGGACTCAGGTTTCAATACCGACTAAAACCTCCTCTTTCTCCGGCCTCTGCAGTCCCCGCGGAAACCGCCGCGCGCCTTTAGGCATTACTTCACAGGGAGAGGATCTAGCAATTGCTCTTCCTTCCATTAATTGAAGTCAATCTTCTCTTCCTCTAACCGTTCTTGTGTGTTGTTGGCTCGTTTTCTCTCTATAGAACGCAGGAGTTGAATCACTTTCGTTGTGAAAGTATTGGTCGCGTTGATGATTACGCATTAAATTGAAACGTGGACACACAAAGAACACGTGCATGGCACTTCGGGGAATCATCAAGCTTAAAACGATGAAGATATGCTCGGAAGCAACCATGTCCTGAGGTCATCTGTGTCAGATAGTAGTTGACCTCACCATGTTTTCGATTCAGGCAATCATTCAACTGAGGTAGAAGACGGTACGTCCACCTACCCTTTGTTGCGGCCTCCCACTGTACCTGCCATCGGCGTATGCTATGCTGCCGCTCTTCTCTTCTGAGTGCATCAGGGCTCAGTGTTGACGATCCTCTTCGTCGATAAAGGACTTGCCTTTCATCGGCTAGAATTCCAATAGGAAGCATTTAAGCGATAACACACACCGCATCCTCAGACACCGTGCGGAAGGCACTAGCTACTCTCAGGGCACCAGCCTATATACTGATGCGACTCTTCTCCGTGTTCCTTCGTATTCTGAGGGCGTCAGCCCAAACAGAAATTCCATAAGTCAGTATCGATGTGACTACTGACAACAGCAGTGACCTCCTAATTTGTTTCGGACTTCCAACATTCAGCATCAGCCGTGATAGGCTAATTCTAACTGCTGACGCTTTAAATTTTATTGCTGCTTAAAATTTAGCCTGACATCAAGCATCACTCTCAAATATCGGATGAACGGCTGTGATGTGATCTCCTGCTCTCCGACTTCCAATCTGATGGTTTCAACCTTCTTTCTGCTAGTGATGAGCACTGCCTCGGTCTTATGTTTGGCCAGCTGCAGCTTCATTGCACTCAGCTATTGGTTAATCCTCTGAAAGGTGATGTCAAAGTCCAGATTAACATCTTCTAGATGCTTCGCAGATACATTCCGCGGAAGTACCAGGTTTAGTAGTCCATCGTACATAATATTCCACAAAAGCGGTCCCAAGACCGAACCCTGAGGTACTCTCCAGTTATTCTATAATCCTTTGACCGCTCTTCGTGTCATATTTCAGGAGCCTAGATGAAAAGTAGCTTGCAATCATCCTACGCAAGTATCCTGGTACGTTTTTCTCTTCACGGGCCCGCATAATGCAGTCCCAATTAGCGGAATTAAAGGCATTCTTGATGTCCCAGTGGCCACCAAACAATACTTCTTCGTGCCACCCTTCCATTATTTCCCTGCTATCGCATCCTTCGCCGTGGTAATGACCAGATTGACCGCGTCTAAGATTGATCGCCCCTGCCGAAAGCCATACTGGTTGTTAGCCAGAAGCTGTTCGACTGCTGCTTCAATCCTTTGATGGATTATACGTTCCAATATCTTTCCCGCTGTATCCAGCATGCAGAGCGGACGATAAGATGATGGTTCATCTGGTGGTTTTTTTCCTTTTGGGAGTAGTACCAGTCTGCTGCTTCCACTTACTAGGAAAAGTCCCTTCTTTGAGGCATGTATCGTAAACTTTTAGGAATAATGCGGGTGCTGCTTTAATAGCTGATTTTAAAGCGATGTTTGGGATTCCATCCAATCCCGGTGCTTTATTATTTCCTACTCGATTACAAGCGTCCATCTTGTTCCTCTTCCGTAATAGGCGGGATGTCTTCCGATTTACACTGCACTGAGGGATAACTTAATTCCCGTTGTTGTGCGGTGACGATCTTCTTTAAGAGTTGTGGGCATGTAGGTGACAGTGCAGGTTGACTTTTCAGGTGGCTCATGACCACATGATAGGGCCTACTCCACGGGTCTTTTTCCACTTCATTGATAAGCTCCTCCCAGCATTTTCTTTTACTATCTTTGAGAGCTTTGTTGAGCGATCGACGTGCCTTTTTGTAGTCTTCCACCAGCTCCGCAGAGTTAGGGAGTCGGTGGCCACGTTGAGATATTCTCCTTCTTCTGAGGCACTCTGTACGAAGAATGCTGATCTGATCGTTCCACCAGTGCACTGAAGGTCTTTGGTCCATGCCGCGTTTACGCGGCGTACTCGCATCACAAGCCTTGGCAATTCTCTTCATAAGGTCTGTGGTCTTTTCCTCGGCATTTCCAGCAATGACTGGGTATCCATCTAAGGCTACAACGAAGGCAACTGGGTCAAAAGATTTCCCTTTCCACCCAATTGAGTTGGTTGGCCTAATTGCTCTTCTAGGATTCTGGCCAATCGTTATTTCTCATAGTATTGCATTATGGTCGCTGGTCGTGTAGATATCCATCACCTCCCAATAGTAACTTCCCCTAATGAGGCTGCTGCTGACGAAAGTGAGATCTATGATGGAACTTGCGTTTCCTCTGATGAACGTTGGTGTATCACCACTGTTGAGCAAGACTACATTTAGTGTGGCTATTGCCTGCAGAAGTGCTCTTCCCCTTGCATTAGTCTCCTTGCTGCCCCATCCCACTGCCCATGAATTATATGAATTACTAGACCTACTGTAGTTATTAATTATAAATGGCATTTTTTTTAGTATTAATATAAATGCAACCTAAGTATTAATATAAATGCATTTTTTTTAATATTAAGCCGAAACAAATCGAAATCGATGTTTCCTTGATAAACATTTATCGACAATCTGATAAAGTAACGTGTGTACCATTAAACCGATTACCTAGCTCCGACTTTACCAGATACCAATAGTAGGTATCAACATGTCACCACCCGGTATAATTAATTTATCAGTATTTTTTATTAAATTTCTGATGTAAATAAAGAAATATATTTTCCTAGAAATAACATACCTTGACCGGGGAGGTTGTGGACTAGCGCTTCTACCGAACTGAGGTAAACTGGGTGAAGCCCTACCACCTGGAAACGTGGCATTCCTCTTCGGACGACGAGGGAATACTGCTAAAACTTCTGCCCATAAGCGAGCGTCGTCTCTGTTGGTAGCTTTAATAAAAGTAACATGATCTGGACTAGTCAACGCTACAGAGTGAGGATGACCGGTAATCTAAAAAAATAGTCCATTTCAATAATGTTATGTAGCAACTGACCAAAAAATGCTTAACGTTTCAGGAGGTATATCTCCTCCTGTCATGTCGGAAGCAAAAAAAACGTAAAAAAGAAAAAGTATTTAAAATATCTAACTACTACTCTAATATATAATATATTAATCGCTCAAATCAGGTTAAAACTATATAGGTGCATGGTACCCTCTACAAGTAGGAGTCATACAGACATCGAAATCAAATTCCTCATGTCAAAAAGCACGCAGACACCAATTTTCATCCAAATATTGGCATCAGCTCAGAAATTATTTGGAAAAAATCGAAATAAAAATGAAACTTCTACACCCTGTATCTCCGAAACAAAGCATTTTAGGACATAACATTTATAGGAATTTTTTTACTAAATTTTATCTGCAGAATATACTGCCGAAGTCTCCCGAATAGAGTTCGGACCAGCCTGTATATTAATACCCAACATTTTTAGTTTTAGTATATTTTTAGAGCTATAGACATTTTTAGTATATTTAGTTTTCTCTTAAGAAATATTGACGAATCTACTACATCTCCGAACAATTTCAGCTGCCGTATGCAAAAATATAATAATAATAAAAAATATTACAGTATCTAAAAATGGAATAGAGTTGTCTTTTTCGGTTTCTATAATGAATTGTATATTTTCTGACTGAATTAATAGTTTAAAGAGTTGTATCAATAAGGTTTTGGTATTGCGCTTATTATACAGGGTGGTCCGAACTGTATTCCGAAAACTTCGGTGGCATATTCTGCAGATAAAAATAATTAAAAAAGTTCGTATAAATGTATGTCTTAAAATGCTTAGTTTTGGAGATACAGGGTGTAGAAGTTTCATTTTTATTTCGATTTTTTCCAAATAATTTCTGAAGTAACGTCAATATCTGGATGAAGATTAGTGTCTGGGAGTTTTTTTGACATGTGAAATTTGATTTTCATGTCAATATGACTTCTATTTGTAGGGGGCGCCAACTACATGTGTTTTAACTGTTTTGAAGAGTAATAACATTTCGTCCGTACCTGTATAAAACTACTGAGTGGAAAAATATACATTTCCGTGACTTTTTACGTAAAAAATATCTCTTGTTAAAAATAGCTACGAGCAACCGTTCTCAAGATATTTAGAATGGAAATAGTCAATACATGTCATTATTGACAAAAAATAAACACGTTGAGTAGATAGTTATTTGACTGAAATAAAAAAAAATGTTTTTTTTAAATTAATCATAATTTTTTTCTGCAAAAAAATGATGATAAAACAGTTTCTGTTGAACTCTTGGCACAAAAATATTTCAAATTTATGATTTCAGTCTAATAACTATTTAGTAAACATATGTGTAATTTATGTCAATGATGATAGGTATTGATAATTTCGATTCCAAATATCTCGAGAACCATTACTCGTAACGATTTTTACCAAGATACTTTTTTACGTAAAAGATGTCGTAAATGAATATTTCTTTACTCGGTGGTTTTATACAAGTACGGACAAAAAGTTATTACTCAATCAATTCATCGCACAATCAGTTCAAATCGGTTAAAAATATGTAGGTGGCGCCCTCTACAACTAGGAGTCGTATTGACATCAAAATCAAATTTCTCATGTCAATAAACTCCCAGATACCAATTTTCATCCAAATATTGCGTTACTTCAGAAATTGTTTGAAAAAAAATCAAAATAAAAATGAAACTTCTACACCCTGCATCTCCGAAAGTAAGCATTTTAGGACATACATTTATACGAACTTTTTTGCTTATTTTTATCTGCAGAATATGCTGCCGAAGTTTCCGGAATACAGTTCGGACCACCCTGTATAGTCAACAAACTGATATAAAAAAGCATTGAATGGACGTCCTAAAACACTAGTATCCAATATAAAATCCATGACCTATCTGTGCTAAAATCGGACTGATGGTTCGGACAGAGTGGTCCGAACTGTATGCCGGAAACTTCGGCAGCATATTCTGCAGATAAAAATAAGTAAAAAAGTCTCATAAATGTATGTTAGTTTCGGAGATACAGAGTGTAGAAGTTTCATTTTTATTTCGATTTTTTCCAAATTATTTCTGAAGTAACGTCAATATTTAAATGAAAATTGGTGTTTGGGAGTTTTTTAACATGAGAAATTTTATTTTGATGTCTATATAACTTCTATTTGTAGGGGGCGCCACCAACATGTGTTTTAACTGTTTTGAAGAGTAATAACTTTTCGTCCGTACCCGTATGTTTGTGTCCGTACTTGTCAGTTTACTGACATTGCAAATATTTGCTGACGGTAAATGCAGGGTCTGTCCATAACAGTCCGAAACTGTTGTGTATTTATAGTCAGCATGTTCAGCACATTCGGCCACAAGCTACATCTGCCGACATAATGCCGCACAATTAGAGTTTTTTGTTACCATTTGATGAAACAGCCGTGTTTCATATCTTTCGGGTAAAATCGAAGCCGTCGTCGAGAACGATAACTGCTAGGATCTATTGGAATTACGCATTTCCAACTGTGAATAGGGTTCAGCATAACAAGCATGATAATGCTCTACTAGACAAAGAGCATGTACTATGTTTGGTGAAAGAACAAGATAAGCGGCGGAAATATATCTATGACGAGTTGCGCAGGCTATACCCTGAATATACAATTAAGATGATTGTTCTTATTGTCGGCGTACTGGAAGGGACGATAGATCAACTATTGATTGAACTTCGGGAAATTCCATCATGCCCGGATTCATCCTAGCAGCTCGCGATGAATATTCTTGGGTCCCTTCGTCTGTCGAGGCAAATCAGTTTGGCCGACGTGACGACCAAGCGGATACAAGGAGTGATGATCGTCTAAATAGACAGCCGTTCGCGGGACGTCCTATGGGGTCGCAGCCATAGGGAGTGTTGGGTCGAACATTCATTTTTTCCGAATAATAATAATAACCTTGCCTTTGTTCAGAATTTCAGAATCAATAAAGTTAAACATTACACTATAAGTTGGACATTACGGCGAGGTTTAGCTTAAGCTACTCTTACACCTAACCATAATACGCCACATATAAAGGTAGTTTAATCTAAGCTAATCTATACTAATTACACTAAAAGTAATACAATGACTAGAACATCCTAGATATCAAGGATGTACCATCATTGAAGATATTTATGAGACCGAAAAATCTTACCTGTTCTGCACCAGTAACCTCTAAAACAGTGGACATGGCCACCGATCCTTGTGGAACAGTATCGGGCTAAAACAAATACATCTGTTTTATTACCTAATTTTTCTCTTAAACATCGATTTAATTGTTAATAAGCGTATAAAAATTATGACCAAATAAAATTGATCTATATTGGCAGCACCAATCGTTTGTACTCTGTCCAGCGAGAGAATATACCGTGTGTTACATCGCCGACTTAAACATGATGAATAAGTTTTTCCCATTTTATTTTACAGAAAAAAAATTGAATCTTTTTAAACCTATACCCAAGAAAATAAGTCTACTAATAAATATGATGCTTTTTAACTAAGGGTAGTTTTGTTATGCTTTTATTGATCAATGGTTAATAACTAGAATATACAGGGTGTTCCAGAAATAAGTGCAAGTATTTTAAGGGGTGGTAGATGTGACTTTCTCTTTACCATTTTAAAATAAATTGATAATAACCGAATTATACCGAGTAACTCTAAAAATTTTAAAAAATAATGTAACATTTTGAGAACCGCCGCACGGTGGGGTATTAGCATGAAAAAGGTGATCGAAATTCGAAAAAGCAAATGTGTTTAAGATTTCCCAAAAAAAGATAAATGATAAGTTAAATCATCTCTGCCATGAATGGCGTTGCTATGGGTGTGTTTAGTTGCATTCATTTGTTTCAACGAAACGTCAAAGCATAGATAAATGCATGGTACAAAGAATACAAGGTATGATCGATAGCGGCTCCAATTTCGTTCAGTTTGCGCATACCACCTGTGACGTCACTAGGAAAACAATGAATAAATAAAAAATAAAGAAAGTTGACAGGAGATCTGTATTATTTGGGGTTATGGTTATGGTTTATTTTTAAGACTTTTTAGTTCGTTTAATTTAATAATTACTAAAACCAGCAGTTCCAAAAATATATTCAAAAATAATAATTATCTATTAACATGGATTTGGACGATAATAGGTAAGAATACTAAATTTATTTCCATATTCGGTATAAAATTGTTTATTAGGTTTTTAGTTTGCGATGTTTATGGTAAATAATTTTCATGTTTATTGCCTCTGAATTCACATGAGGACAGAGATGAGGATATCTATGGAAAAGTAACCACAAGAGGAATTGTTACATCATTTAAAAAATGTTGGAAAGTTTATTGTTTCCCATCGAACAGTAGAAAATGCCAATGCAGATGAATGTATTGTAATTGTGATAGAAGTAATTCCAAGGGTGAAGTTTATTATAATTAGTGGAAGTAATTCCAAGGGTGAGGTTTATTATAATTAGTGACCTGTGCTTCTTTTTATATGTAGATGTTTCAGGTTTTGAGAATAAATCGGTTGAACGAAACCCAAAATTTAGAGGAAGATGCCCATCAAGGATTATATAGCTCAAATTTACTTTAATGGTAGGCAATTATTCAATGCAAATTAACTTTTTAAGTGACTGAAATATTAAATAGTTTACAATATGGTATATCAGTAAAAATATATTTTACTTTTAGGTACAATTAGGGCCCGATACATTTCAAAAAGTAGAATATTATTTTATATTAAATGAGGTATTGTACCAACAATCAATTTATATTAATACCGGAGATTAAAAAATCACAGAATAAATAGTTCTTTTTTTTATACTACAAAAATAAACTATAGAATACAACAGTATTTAAAAAAATAAATAAAAAGTTATGTCCCGGCCGAGATTCGAACTCCGGTCTCTCGCTTCCTAGCCCGACTCCTTATGCCCTGCTCCACAGTAACTTGCTTAGCGATAATTCAATGACGGTATATAAACAAAAAAACAGGTTTATAACAATATCTTGACGATTTGAACTCGCGCGCGAGGCGTGCTGACCAATAGCGCCTGTTATCACCTGTGACGTAGCAACCAACCTGCGCAATATCATACCTTGTATTCTTTGTACCATGGATAAATGCAACAAGTTTAGATTGGAAAGCCCGTAAAAATTTTAGGTCGCGAAATTATTTTGGGTCGCGACCGTTATACGCGATCTGGCGCTGCTATAGCGGTCGCTAAGAACAACGGCAAACAAAAACAGAAATAATTTTCTCTTGTCAAAGTCAGAATCTTCAAAAATCATAATAATCTTTCAAAATCCAAACCGCTCTCATTAAAGAAATTCCGAAAAGTTTTTATAGCGTCCATTTTCAAAGTAATTATTGCTATCTTGTGAGTTTAATTCAAGTTTTATTTACTCCAATCGGTCATAATTGTGAAAAAGTGGCATTAAAACTTAAAAAGCTGTGCTGTGAACTGTGAACTGCAAAAACCAACGTGGATCGTGACATAACGTCGGTTTCCAATGTTTCATAGGTATTTCATACATGCGTCCTTATATAAAATAAAGTTTATTGTATGCAACACACTGTATTTTATTTATAAAATTAAACGAAAATAATAATAAAATTGAATAAACAATATTTGGCGATATAATTCCGGAAAAAGCCGAACCGCTCCGAAATTTTCAAAAGTTTTGGGTCGCGACCGTTGCAAGAATAGCGCCAAATAGTGTTTACATTGTCCTTATGGGCACTTTCCAATCTAAACTTGTTTCATTTATCTATGCGTCAAAGTTGTTACTTCTCACAGATAAGAGGTAAATGGCTAAATTTTATGTTTAAAATTATAAATTGTTGTTGTTCTTGTGCTCTTTTTACGTTTATATTATCGTGTTGATTGAAAATGGCTCAGCAAGCTGCAGGTATGTATTCTACAAAAACGTATTATTTATTTTGATATTCTCTATACTAACTATTTTTTTTGCAACTAAAAGTTAGGCGTTCAGAAAATTTGATTAAATTTGTGACATTTTTATTATTACTTTGAGATTTAGTTGCGCATTTCGAAGAATTCGGCATATTGTGTATATACGTTTTACTTAGTAAACATTAGGCTTTCATACAGTAAAATAAAATACTGCGACTTTTTGCGACTTTGCTGATAAAATGAGAAAAACATTCTTGGTTTCCTCTAATATGCCAATCAGTGATATACTAATGCGAGGTGTAAACCGCGATGGCATTGTTGTGTACAAAGCGATCGCATTAGTGCTATTAGCAGTATAGCACAATTTGGCATTAGTAGCGACTTTAGTGGTATGGGCATTGCTCGCGGATCAGTCGTAGCATTAGTAGTATTAGTTGCGATATTACTACTGGCATTAGTGGCATTGACCGTGGAAACACTGGAACAGTGATTTTTCTTTCTTTTTTTAGAATCGACGAATTATCCTTTATTTTGTTCATATTATTTCCTCTTTAATTGAAAATAGCAATAATTTATATAAGGTCTACATAAAAAAATTTCGATCAACTATCAGTGTCAAATACCCCACTGTGCGCCGGCAGCAATCCATAATCAGCCGCAAATACCAAAGAATTACCAGAATCTCAGCTTGTTCGACGCCCGTTATCCCACCGACTAGAAAAGTTTAAAAATGACTTGGAAAATTCAGATTGAAAGTAAAAAACTCACCTAACATTAGAAAACGAAAATCCGATAGATAGCAGATGTAGTTAGGCCTAGTTTTAGGCCATAACACTTACACATGTATTTGACACGAAATATATTCATATACCATCTGAATTATTTTAGCATTACTTTTTAAAGCTTTATTCAGAACCTCGCAATTAGTGGAATAAATTACTGGTTTCAATTAGCGTAGAAGCTTGTTCCTTTAATTTCAATGTAAGCATTTAGAACGTCTAAATTAGTGATAGACATTTTCAATTAGTAGAAAAAGTTATCAAACTTTTGACTTTTCCACTAATTATGCTTCAAAATTTGCGACAAATGTCATTTTGGCCTTTGATTATCTTCCGTCAAGAAAAATTCTGGTTAGAAATCAAAAGTTGATTGTTTTATAATCAAAATATTAGGCTTTCTCTATGGATACAACTGACTAACGTAAGCTGTTGCTAGGATATTCTATTAACTTTAATTGTCTTTTTTAAATATTGCGAACATAGATAAATGCAACAAGTTTAGATTGGAAAGCCCGTAAAAATTTTGGGTCGCGAAATTATTTTGGGTCGCGACCATTATACGCGATCTGGCGCTGCTATAGCGGTCGCTAAGAACAACGGCAAACAAAAACAGAAATAATTTTCTCTTGTCAAAGTCAGAATCTTTAAAAATCATAATAATCTTTCAAAATCTAAACCGCTCTCATTAAAGAAATTTCGAAAAGTGTTTATAGCGTCCATTTTCAAAGTTATTATTGCTATCTTGTGAGTTTAATTCAAGTTTTATTTACTCAACCGGTGATAATTTTGAAAAAAGTGGCATTAAAAACATAAATAGCTGTGCTGTGAACTGTGAACTGCAAAAACCATCGTGGATCGTGGCATAACGTCTGTTTCCAATGTTTCATAGGTATTTCATACATGCGTCCTTATATAAAAATAAAGTTTATTGTATGCAACACACTGTATTTTATTTATAAAATTAAACGAAAATAATAATAAATTTGAATAAACAATATTTGGCGATATAATTCCGGAAAAAACCGAACCGCTCCGAAATTTTCAAAAGTTTTGGGTCGCGACCGTTGCAAGAATAGCGCCAAATAGTGTTTACATTGTCCTTATGGGCACTTTCCAATCTAAACTTGTTTCATTTATCTATGATTGCGAATTAACTATAAATAAATCAACTTCTACAAACTAGTTTCTAATGCTTTATATGTTCGAAAGGGTTACCACCCTCCAAAGCACAAATTTATTTTTCAATCTTATTTATATCTCTTTAACAGATCTTCTAATACTTCCGAATGCATTTTGTACTCTTTATTGTAAATGTTGAAATGTATACGTACTTTTACAAATGACGTCAAGTAATGTTAGTTTAAATAAATTGTGTTCAAATGTCCAAAACAAAAAAGAAATATTAGGTGTGGCATATTTTTGTACTCAGAAGACCGAGTTCTTTCAAAACCCGAAATAAAAAATGCAGGTCCATATTTAAAACAGAATAAAAGTTAGCCTCTGTATCTCACAAATTATCAGCGAATTTGAAAATCTAAAAATACCATCATGAGATAGCCCTAATAAAGTACAGGAAAAAATAAAATTGATTTTCAAAAAATCCGTTTTTTTTTCAAAAAACTCAGCAATACTTGAAATTTTTAAAACTTTTTTGATTGCTGGTGAACATCCTAAAGCGCAACTTTGCCCCAATTTAACCATGTTCGTATCTATTACAATTACCAATACACGATACCAATGCTCGTACCTCGAATTTGTAGCACCCTGTATATATAAAACAACAAATTTTTATATTAAAACTTACATGTTCATCAACTGCGTAAGTCAACTCTCCATCATCGTATAACACAAAATATCTACGCTGCCATCGCTGAAAAAAAATATTGTTATTACAAAAAAATTACAGTTCCATTTATTATTACTAGCTACATCCAACCGAAAATATTAATTAACAATATTAATTTATTTTTATATTTTCATTACCCTGTTATTATTTTTTATTTTTATTTATTATGCATCGGAAAACGGGACATAGGAAATCCCATGTAAATTCTGAACAGGTGATATTGGATAATTCTTTGGGCGTGTTGGGAGTTGAATAAGCTTAGCATTTTTTATATGATACCAGCAGAAGGAACACTGGACCCAACCCATGTTGTTTAAAAAATAGATCTTAGCCATTTTTTTTCGACTTTCTCAATCAGATCTCGATTGCATTCCGTTCATATGATTGATGCATGCTTGCAATTAAATAAAAATAAATTCAAACTAAAAAGATTTGTAGATTAGAATTAAAAAGTAGTGACGCATGAGCAAAACCGTTTTCATATAAAATAAAATAAGAAGTTAAAAGGTGACTACAATGGTCCATGTAAATCAACTTTCTTATGTTATTTTATGTTGTTTGGAACCTACCAAGAAAATTTAATCCAAAAACTCATGACGTTTTAGGTTATATTTTTTAACCTAAAAAGTCATGAAACAAAAAAATAAAGCAAATGTTAATACCTTAGTTCGATTGAGGGGTACTGAAAAGTCCCAGTCTGGGGCAACAAATAGGTATCCACTACGAGCAACAGATCTGCTTGCCTGAAACAAATCAATAATAAATTACAGTACGTCTGTCCGTTCTGTAGCTAAGGGGTATCCGTGAGAGGGGAAACGATATTCTCTCGATGGTTTTCGTAAAAAATTAGACGACGCGTCCCATCAATAAAAACTCGACAAATTTGCCAGTAGCCAATAAAACGAGTGGGCGGAGCGATTCGCGGTGATGTACTCGTCAAGTCGACGTATAAAATATATTGCTGTTTATTTAAATGTTTTTTGTCCGCATTCCTTTCATAGACACAGATCCAGCAGACGTACTGTATTATACTTATCTAAAATGCTTGATAGAGAAGGGATCTTGCTAGAGAAGATCTCCTACAGGGTGGTTCACGGTCGGTGGTAAGACACTACTATGAAAAGCCTATATTTGCAAAGTATCTAGTACTTGGTATCTTGGTTATTTAGGTAAGGTTTTTTGCATAACCCAACTAAGATATTATATATTACTGTCTTGAAATTACTCCTAACCAAACTAAACCAACAAAAACAAGTAAAAACATTTGAAGGGTCAGGGGAAAAATCAGGTAAGTCAATTTACTCTCTAAACTGAGAACAGCACGATTTATTGTCCAAACAATACAAAAATAGAGTACAGGAACAAATAAAAATGGCGCAATAGAAATTTGTTAGACTTAGAAAAAGTATTTTTTATTAGATAAAATACCAATGTAATGGAAAAACGTACAAACTCAACGAGTTGCCTGGTTCTTTCCGGATAAATGTGTAAATATAATTATTTTAATATTACTTAAAGTTAATATAAAAATTAAACTATTGCCCGAAATGTTTAGCGAGATATTTCTGGCAGTATTTTATGAAACATTTCCCGAAGGCATTTCTCGAAATACTTTCAAAGTAAACTCAATGCCTTTCTTATGTTGCGGCAAATCTTGTCTCGGCCGCAGACTCCGAAACAAATCGAAATCGCCCGAGACAAGCCATGATTTGTTATTTATTTTTTATTGTTATTGGACTTGGAACGTTTCGACCAGTTTCGACAAAAATTTTGTAACACGCGTCTAGCGGGTGGTGATCGTCGCTGGAAACATAGGAAATCCCATTTTTTGAACTGTTCAAATATTGGCTCCCCTATTGACTTTGCAGCGAAGTTGTAAATAGATTCTTAAAGGTTTATGTATGGTAAATACACATGCCAAATTTGAACAATTTTGGACCAGCCGATTTTGAGCAATTTAAAAAAGTTTGCAACTATTTTAAAATTAAAACCGTAATAGGTAAAGCTGCGTCCACATTGCTCGCGAGCAGGCCGAACGAACACCTAAAACACGAAAAACATGGCAAACAGTCGGAGCGAGATGTTCGCGGCGCTCGCGGTGCTCCACGTACTTACGACCTCATAAAATATCTGTATGGACTGTTCACTGTTCGGCTCTGTCGCTGTACATCAAAGAGACGCTTCAGAGCCATGCGAGCATACTTTACGGCGCCGGCGCAGCGGTTCGAAGCACTCGAGCTGTTTGCGTTGTTTGTTAAGATTTTAGTTTGTTTTCATTCATTATTCAAGATTCGGTATATACTGTAGTATGATGATACTACCATGATTTTTCTTATTTTCCTTTGTTCAGAATTATAAATATTTGTGTTTTGTTCTTGGATTAATAATATTAAATATACCTTTAATAAAATATACCTCTATATTTATGTTGCCTACTTTTATCTTAATCTGATCTTTGAGAACTTTATTTATATTTTGGCATAAGCCATTTTTTGAATGTTCCGTCACGAAAATTTTTGTTAGCAAACATTAGATTCAGCGCCCCAAAAAACACAAAACAAAGCAAATCAGAACTACCCCAAAACAATTTTTCAATTTGACCGTACTACTAGTGGATTATAACCTATTACTGATGTATTTTTGTTGAGATGAAATTGCACAAAATTGCTAATGTTCGCAAGAAAAAAAACGTTTCATTAATTGATAAGTACCTAAATAATAAAACATAATTTTTATATTTACTCTCCAATGAATTAATTTTTTTTACTATGAACATTAGGGCGATTTTGTACTATATTGTTTAAGCAATCAGTCAGTTCATAGGTTATAACAAACTAGAAAGTTTAATGGATAATAAGTTGTGAAACACTGATGCAATAATATTTTATCAATATTGTATTGTCAATAAAATATCAATAAAATATCTAAAAATAGAACTTTCTTCTTACAGCGCTTTCAGATGGAGCGGAGTGTCCGCGCGTACCGTCCACGAGTTCCATGAGTTTAAATGAACAATTTCACATGGGTCGCGTATGTTCCGTCCGGATCCGGATGAGCTATCTTGAAAAAACATCCGCGCGGACGCTCATAGCTCATCAGGACGGAGTATACGCGACCCATGTGAAATTATTGTTCATATAAACTCATGGTACTTGCTCGAAGTCGCGGACGCCCCGCTCCATCTGAAAGCGCTGTTAAATTTAATAGAAATTAGATTGCTTTGGTTTAAATATTTTTTGTTGGTTTTTCTTCTTAACCCTTAAGTACTCGCGTATGTTTACAGTCGTAAGTCGTAAGTACCCGCGTAAAGAGTAAATAATTAGTAAAATTTATTTAAATTGTGCATATTTATATACTAAAATAAATTAAATAGTAATATTTAGGCATTGTATGAATACGTAATACGTTTATCTTAAATAAAAGTTGCTTACATAAATGGTTTATATGAAGTTTTATGTCTAAATGCCTAATCGCAAAATTTAAACCTAGTGCCGCTAGAACAAAATGAATCATTTTGAAAACATTCATTACGCACATTTTTCGAATGGTCTGAAAATATATTTTGAACATATAGGTACTCTGAACAATTAAAATATATTTGTTTTTAGTGTCTATTTTTTGACCTAGGGCATATACAGGGTGTCTTAGGCTGAGCGTGCATTACAAGTTTCTAGAGAACCACAATATCTAGATTGGAGATTTTTTGCACATCATTGTTTTACAACGAGATCTATCGATTACTTAAATTCTCTGTAAAATTCTATGAATATTGATGTTAAACATTCTATATCTAACATTAACCGTTTTTGAGAAAAAAAAAATATTTAAAACTTTTGGATGAAAAAAACTACCTGTGAAAAAAATATGTATAGCCTAAAAGTCAAATTTAGTGATTACCACAGCCACTGTGACATAAAGAGAATACATGTGGCTATCTATTTCAAAAATTAAATTCTTCAAATGTTATACAATAATGGCGGTAGCTGTCATGAAATTGAGTGATTAAAAAATTATCATAAATCTTTTTTTCAAATGGAAACCCGCTTTTTTTATTTCACTAATAAAACGGTTTTTCAATTCGTTACTTTTTAACTATACATGTTTCTATACCTAAAATAAATCGTTTTTAAGTTATTTATGATTTAGTTTGAAAACGGATATTTTTCATGATTTTATCTAGCTTCCTTTGACATTAAGTGTCAAACGGTCAGACAATTTATATTCAGAAGAATTATTTGAATTTCCTATAGTACAAAATACTGCCTGCCCTTAAGAGTTGCACACAAATACACTTAAAAAGTGTATTTATAAAAATATATCTCGTATTTTCGCTCTTTAGTAATATCTAATAGTTGATATTATTAATAATATTCCGTATAATCGAAAAAAAAACAGCGCAAAGTTGGCTCGAAAATGATGCTGCTTTTTGAACAAAGCGTCACGTGGATATGGCCAGATCTATTGTTTTACATCACTTGACGTTTAAAGTCATAGGCTACTGGTTAAAATCAAGAAAAATATAGGTTTTAAAACTAAATCTTAAATAACTTAAAAACGATTTATTTTAGGTATAGGAACATGTATAGTTAAAAAGTAACGAATTGAAAAACCTTTTCACTATATATCAGTCATTGGGGATTTTTGCTTGGAAAAAAGTCCTTTTGCAACTTTGCAGGTTTATAGGTTTTGGGGTCCCTAACTAAAATCCATAAAATGCACATTTCCAGACTTGCCGCCGGCGCCGCCATCTTGCCAAGATGGCGCCCAAAATCGGTATTTTGTGAATATCTCGAAAACTATGCGTTTTTCGCAAAAATTTGTGGAGAGCAAAATTACAGACAATAGAAAAAAAATTTCCTATAAAAAAGGTTTCATGAAAATTTTCGCTAAAGTCAACCGTTTAGGCACAAAATCCCTAGAAATTTTACAGTTTTGCGTAAAATATGATATATTATGTGTGATTATGTATAGTCCATTTTCCGAAATCAAATGTCGACTAGGGTTCACTAAAACTAGTTTTAGTTTAGTTTCTTCAATTTTGTCATAAAACAGTGGCGTATTATTAATTCGCACATTAATTTATGAATAATTAATTTTAATTATTGAAAATGTGTACTTGTTTCCACACCACCCAAGAGGTAAAGTATATGGCGCGTTTATTTTAATGTGGTCTCCCCGGAGGCCTACTCCACTAGATAAATTAAAAACTTTAACTTATCTGCACAAGCCCGACGGATTTGGCTCATTGATGTCAAAGTCGATCGTGTCTGCTGTGCTGGGCTCATCAGGGTGGTCTCTCAATACGTCTAATTCTTCATTTTCAGCCGCCAGAGGGATATCTACAGGCAAGTCCAACTCCTCTTCATCGGATTCGTCGAGTGACACTTCAGTGACGTTGTCACAGGATTTTCCATTGCAGTATGCACAAATCATTGAACATTTTAATCCTGCTTTTCTGCATCCGCAGGCTTTACCAAAGTTGTTGGTTTTGCATTTACAGGATAAAAATGCCAACAGGGATTTTGGAGCTGGATGTTTCAACGTTGTGACTGGAGTAATGCCTGTTTTTGTTTTCTTCCAACCCCATTCTTCGGCATCTTTGGTACAACCAGACCAATGCTGAACCTGGTGGTAAGTTCGCAATGAATGCTGTCCAGCACGACAATTTATTACTCATAAATTAATGAGCGAATTAATGATACGCCACTGTTTTATGACAAAATTGAAGTAACTAAACTAAAACTAGTTTTAGTGAACCCTAATCGACATTTGATTTCGGAAAATCGACTATACATATCATATTTTACGCAAAATTGTAAAATTTCCAGGGATTTTGTGCCTAAATGGTTGACTTTAGCGAAAATTTTCATAAAACCTCTTTTATAGGAAATTTTTTATTCTCTTTAATTTTGCTCTCCTCAAATTATCGCGAAAAACGCATAGTTTTCGAGATATTCACAAAATACCGATTTTGGGCGCTATCTTGGCAAGATGGCGGCGCCGGCGGCAAGTCTGGAAATGTGCATTTTATGGATTTTAGTTAGGGACCCCAAAACCTATGAACCTGCAAAGTTTCAAAACTTCTGGACTTTTTTCCAAGCAGGCCCCTTTTTTGATCCCTAATGACTGAACTACCAGTGAAATAAAAAAAGTGGGTTTCCATTTGAAAAAAAATGATATATGATAATTTTTTAAACGCTCAATTCTATGACAGCTGTGGCCATTATCATACGACATTCGAACAATTTAATTTTTGAAATAGGTAGCAACATGTTTCCTCTTTATGGCATAGTAACTGTGGTAATCACTAAATTTGACGTTTAGACTATACACATATTTTTGACAGGCAGTTTTTTTCGTTCAAAAATTTTAAATATTTTTTTTTCTCAAAAACGGTCAATGTTAGATATAGAGTGTTTAATATTAATATTCATAAAATTTTACAGAGAATTTAAGTGCATAATAAAAAATGGGGGCACCCATTTAAAATAAGAAAGTTGCTGTCAACTTCCGGTATTTCCGGAAGTGCCGCCATATTGAAAATATTTTTAATCGATAGATCTCGTAGGGAAACTATGATGTGCAAAAAATTCCAGAGCTAGATGTTGTAGTTCTCTAGAAACTTCTAATGCACGCGTAATAATAAAAATTCAACAATATTCAAAGGACATAATTAAAATTCAAAGTTAAAACTATAAAAACGCCGTGTGTGTAAAAATTCCAACACCGACACCCTAAAGTGGTATTCGCTGGGAGCATTTCAAAGGCCTTGACCGCCCTGTAGCCTGGGCCCCTCCGAAAAAAGGATGAGCCATGCAGAGGTATGCTTAAATCATCCCGCCCCCTGGTAATCCGCTCCATATCTGGACCATAGTGACTAGAGTTCGTAGCAAAAAGGGCGGGATGCTTTTTAACGAACATCACCAGGGACAGAAAATATAAAGAGGGCACAGTTAGGACATGAATTTTTGCAAAATATGGCCCACAAGATGTCCTCGGATGCAAGCCGAACATACACCTGATCATTCTCTTTTGGGCAGGGTTGGCAAATATCATATTTATATAAATATCAAATATCGGATATATATCTGATATATATCCGATATATGTATATCAAGTTTTGATATTTATTTTTGTTTTTATTTATGTAAAACTGCGTTTAGTATCAAGTAAAATCAAGAGCTCAAGCAACAACTTAATTATTGTTGTTTTGCACATAATAGGAACAACATTAAAACAAGAATATATAAAAAATATACAGAAATTCTAAAAAAAAAAATAAACAGAACTTGTAAAAAATAAACAGGAATTCTAAAAATAAACAGAAATTCTAAAAAATAAACAGAAATTCTAAAAAATAAACGGAAATTCTAAAAAAGAAACAGGAATTCTAAGAAATAAACGGAAATTCTAAAAAATAAACGGAAATTAAAAAAAATAAACAGATATTCTAAAACTAACAACAAACAAATTTATATTTGATTTATTAATTTGATTAATAGTAAATCATCGTCAGCTGAGGCACGTTGACGCCGATTTACGAAAGCCGAGCCCGAAACGAATTCGGGGAATCACATAAAGTAATAAAAATCCGTTGTGCCGTAAACACGTTGACTTTTTTTAACGTAGAAATTTAAGAAAAGGGTTGTGTTTTATTTTTTTATAAATATCATGATATATATCAAGGTATAAATATCATGATATATATATCAATCATATATATCCGATATATATCTTGCCAACCCTGCTTTTGGGCCCTGAAGATCTGCTCTGTCAAGAGCCAAAGATCCCCAAAACATAACACTATACATAATTAAGGATTGTGAAGTGGCAATGTAAAGAGTTCGAATGGTGTCCAGAGACAATTGGTCCCTTAATCTTCGTAATATCGCGCAGTTGCTGTTTAATTTAGAAGTCAAAATATCTATGTGCTTTGTCCAGTGAAGCGTAGGATCAATGTAAACACCGAGAAACTTTACATAATCGGCCAGTGGCATAGACTTGTTATCATAGCAGCTGACATACAAGGACTCTAAGGGTGTTAACATCCTAATTAGATTAAGTACATACTTTAGTTTAAACTCTTTTGTTGTCATTCTGTTTTTTTTTTAATTTTAATACAAATTAGATAGCTTTTGTTTTAACTTTTTTTGTTTTGATTCTGCTTTTTTTCTCTTAACTTTAATACTAGATTGCTTTGGTTTAAACCTTTTTTGTTTTTATTCTGTTGTTTTTCATTTAAATTTTAATATGAATTAGATTGCTTTAGATTAAATCTTTTTATTCAGGGTGTGTAGTTTTCTTAATTTTAATAAGAATTAGAATGCTTTAGTTTCAATATTTCTTGTCGCAGTTCTGTTTCTCTTTTAATAATAGGTTTTCTCAATTTTAGTACAAATTTTATTGCTTCAGTTCCAATCTTTTCAATCATGAGTCTCACATTTTTATTAATATTTCTTAAAATTAATCTTTTTACCCTAAACAACAAAAAAAAATTTCCGTCTTAAGAAAAAATTGCGTTTTTCCTTAACAAAAGCCAGAATCTTGAACGAAATATAGAAAATAGGGGGTGAAAGGGTAAAAAAGCGACATCGGTGAAACAATTTTGGAACTTCGCACATCGCCTAAATGTTGTCAAGAATTGGCCCAAAAGTTGTGTAAACAGATGATGGTCTTTCTTACCAACAATTTTCTAAAAAAAAAATTTCAAAACATGAGCTGACATTAAGTAAATATAAAAAAGCTAAACATGCTAAACATTGCATCCATAAATATTTACGTATAAATACTGTATGATCAAATAAAAACGGCGTCAGCGATGGCTTTGAAATAAAGATCACTGTCATTTTATATGTAAAATTATATGGGAAATGTCATTGATCGTCATTTCCAAGCCAACTGGACGTCGTTTTTTTTCGATCATACGGTATTTCTTTTCTATATGAACAAGTGAGAGTAGTGAAATACACATTGTCCCCATATTAACAATTTATTAAGCGCTGTGGTGATAGACAATTATTTTTTAGATTTTGAGTTTGGTGTGTAAAAGAGGCCTTTTTCAATATGTGCGAAATTGAACATGATTAAAAAGAGGATTGTTCTATGGAATAGAGGACAGTTGGCACCCAACCCTAAAATGAAACAGACCCTTATGTTAGCCTCAAAAAGATCGCTGCTAAAAATATTTAAGCAGCCACTTTTTCGCTGTTAAGTTAATAGACTTACTTTATATGAGCTTAAATGTAATATGTATTTTGATAATAGAGGATTTAGTACAACATTACTGAAATACAATACAAATTAACTGAAATATCCAAAGATAAAGATTGATCTGCTTTAAATAAATTTAAAAACATACCCGATTGCACTCCAAAGCTTCAGCAGAATGTTCTTCCTTTTGACGAAAACAGTTGGAGCATTTGGACTTGTGAAAAATATTTGATTTAAACTTTTTACACTGTGACATCTTGTACTAGACAAAATAATATCCTATTACCAAAGGACTAATTATCCATTAGGTGATGGTACGATTTAGATACATCTCCAATATTGAAGTTGGTGTTGTAAATTTGATAGTAATATATTTTACAATTATTCTTTTAACGTTTTAGGTGCGGATAATCGGCTAAATGTTTGAGATCATTTCACAGTTGATAATTAAAATTATTTATTTTTTGACCAAATATGAGGTTAGAATTTGGGAATTTAGTATAAATAAGAGTGACATAAGAGTGACAAAGAAGACAGATGACAGCATAGATGACAGATTCCGGTTTATCTTTTGCTCGCATCTGCGCATACCAATGGCGGTAAAAATGAAATTTTGAAAAAAAATATTTACATTTTCCTATTTAATTATATTTATAGTATTATTAAAAGCGATGACTATGAAATGAAGATCGCTATCATTTTAAATGTAATTTATTTAATAATAAAAATGTAAATAATAACAGCGCTTTCGACGGTTTGGTAATATGACGAAAAACACGTTAAAATTTTGGATTACCGGTACGTAAAGCCAGTACGGTAAATTGTCTGAGATAGGTTGGCAACGCTGCTCACAACTCTATTTGAAATGTCAACTGGCTTCTACGTCCCACTAGTCAACTCGTATACCCAACAATGTTGCGGTTTGTTCCTTAATTTCGCAGTTCTGCCGATCCACTTTAAGCCCCGTTCTCAGAACAGCGACACTTCAAAAGAACCAATGAGGTTTGTACAAAATTCAAACAGCTGTCAATTTTAAATTTAGTACAACCGTTGGTCCTGTGAAGTGTCAATCAGTGTAGCTGGCAACACGACGTCGCGTCGTTCTGAGAACGGGGCTTTACCTGGCGTTACCTGGTCACCTCCTTGGGTCACCTCTGGTTCTGAATGCGCATTAAGCAAATACGTTTAAAATAAAATTTTATTTAAACGTATTTGGCATTAAGGATCCCCCGGAGCGACGCGAAATATTTCGCGAGGCCGGAATCGCACGATTGCCTAGACCTATCTAGACCAAAGCGATACAGCGCAGCGGGAGCGGTAACGCGAGTATAAGCACAGATACCGCGTATGATTGAAAAAAAAACCGGCGTCCAGTTGGCTTGGAAATGACGATCGATGACATTTCCCATATAATTTCACATATAAAATGACAGCGATCTTCATTTCATAGCCATCGCTGACGCTGTTTTTATTCGATCATACGGTATAAGATTGCAGGATGTAGTAAACATTTGTGTACGCCAAAAAAAACGATTTTTTTCTACTTTGTGATTAGAGCAATAAATTATACAAATGTACTCCTCATCTGATGAACAAGAAGCTCTTCTTTTGCTTGCAGTAGCTGAAGATGAGAAGCGAGAAGGCTTGAAATATAATTTTTTTTTGAGGAAAATTTTATGAAAATACATTCTGCTTTTAGAAAAAAAAAAAAGAAAATGGGTACATGATATTAATGTTGAGCGAAGAACTTATGGCGAATTTCACACACGTTAATGGCGCAACTGCAAATAGATCCTAAACGATTTTATATATATTTTAGAAAGCCAACGTGTACTTGTGAAACACTGATGTCACACATCACAAGTACATGCGAGAGGTTGCCGACGCTCTATACATATAGAGTATGGCACTGTAAGAAGAAGAGAAAACCAAGTGACTGTTTCGAAGAGAAAAAAATCGTATTATTTCCCTTTCTAAATTTTATTAGAGAAAATATTCGTAAAAAAGATACAAATTATAGAGAGTCGATTAGTCCGGAAGAACCTAATTCATCCCGTTTTATCTTTATTCTTATAAAGAATATATATATTTTATCCCGTTTTCTAGTGTTTTTATATTCGGGATTTTTCATGTCATATAGAATTGGGTATTTCTTTACCAATTCGATTAAATTTTCTGTAAAACACGCCATATTAATCACAGTTTCGCTGTAGTACTGTCTCGCGGAATCGAAGGAGCGCGGGAAGAATGTGCATGCAGCGTCAAGAAAATAATTCGCCGCAGTCCCGCTTTTCGTCGAGCGGCAGAACGCTTTTAATATATTTATATTAGACCTAATATAGCCGAATAGAAGAAAAAAATTATAAAGTTTTGATATGTTGAGATTAGACGCACCAAAAGGAGACTTTTCAAAATCAAAAGAGTTCTTAACTTCAAAGTGTGTGTTTTTCGCTTTTTTCTCAGAACCCGTTGGTCCCACAACAAATTTTATACTTACCGAAAATATTTCTTATAAAATTTTCTACAAAAAAGGTTCTATTCATTATTTATATTTATCTAAGGCATTTCGAGCAATAACCGTTTGAAAAATGGAGTACAAAAAAATACCGGTAGCCTTTCAAATTATTGCCACCTTATAGTCTCCCAGGGTATTTTAACGTGCTAAATATACACGCAACAGATATAAGACTGTATAATATAAACAAAAACACTGCCTATTCCACTAAACTAACATTCATACTTTCATCTACATATTGTCATCGTCTATTGTAGTTTCTAGAATGTGCTCAGTATGTGCTCAGTATTCGAACAACTTTGCCCACGACAGGTTCCGCACATACTTGTACATCTCACGCCGGCTATAATGCAACTGCATCTTTTTACACAATCTTGTTTGCAGTTGCAGTTGTCTTGTATGCAAAGGTGACAAGGTGTTGTTGGTTTTCTTCCAGCTCCACTGGTCGGGTTTTATAGGTTGTTCTTGCCATATTTGTACTTGAAGATATGTTCTCCGAGAATGTTGCCTAGCTGCAGCAGATGTGGGAGGCAATTTTGATAAAAGTACCGTGCTGTTTGCTTGACCAACTAACTTATTGAAACAAGCGGATCTTTGCTCACTAAGGCTCCCTTCAGATGATTGAAGTTTGTATAGTTTCAGTATAAACATCTCTCCAGCTTTTTCAATTTCTTCAGGTGTTGACTTGCGGGCGTTGTTAAAAATATCGACGATACAGTACGTCTGTCCGTTCTGTAGCTCCGGGGTATCCGTGAGAGGGGAAACGATATTTTCTCGATGTTTTTCGTCAAAAATTAGACGACGCGTCCCATCAATAAAAATTCGACAAATTTGCAAGTAGCCAATAAAGTGAGAGGGCGGAGCGATTTGCGGTGACGTACTCGTCAAATCGACGTATAAAATATATTGCTGTTTATTTAAATGTTTTTTGCCCGCATTCCTTTCATAGACACAGATCCAGCAGATGTACTGTACTATCAAGGTCTTTTTCTTTATTAAATATTTGTACGTCTTTTTGTTTTCCTTTTCCAAAAAATGCTGATATTTTGTCACACCCGCTAATAGCGTGAATAAATAAAATTGATTTTTTTAAATTATGTATAATACTGGACGATTGCAAGTCTCTCGAACTATACATTCGTTGTTTCACATTACCTATGGCTTCTTTCAGAAAAATTTTGTCTTTTTCATCGGGGGAAAGTGCTGCTAATAAAACAACAAGATCGACATCTTGTCCAACGACTAGAACTTCATAGTTCATTTTTCTCAGATATTTTGATGGCAGTACAAATAATTTGAACATCAGCAAACAAGATTGTGTTAAAAAGATGCAGTTGCATTAAAGCACATTCTATATAGAAACTATAGACGATGACAAAATTTAGATGAAAGTATGAATGTTAGTTTAGTGGAATAGGCAATGTTTTTGTTTATATTATACAGTATTATATATGTTGCGTGTATATTTAGCACGTTAAAATACCTTGGGAGACTATAATTTGAAAGGCGACCTGTATTTTTTTTGTACTCCATTTTTCAAACGGTTATTGCTCGAAATGCATTGGATTAATATAAATAATGAATAGAACCTTTTTTGTAGCAAAGTTTATAAGGAATATTTTTGACAAGAATAAAATTTTCTGTGCGACTAATGGTTTTCGAGAAAAATCACCGCAGTGCGTATTGGGGGTGAAGCTCACACTTTACAGTTAGGAACTCTTTTGATTTAAAAAAGTCTCCTTTTAGTACGTATAACCTCAACATATCAAAACTTTATATTTTTTTTCATATGCTAATATATATGCAACGTACTATTTGGTCTGAATGCTATCATATCCCGCCATGATATGTCGATCCCGCGTCATTCGCGTCATGTTCGCGCTGACGCGCCGCTCCCGCCGATTCGCGTTGGTCTGAGGCATCCTTTTGCGCATAAACGATAACCGGTCAGGTGTCGGGTATTTCGCGTGCAATCTAAACAAAAAAACCTTACCTCAGAGACAATAACAAGACAATAACAATAACTCAAGGCAATAACCTACGGCGTCTTTTGATTGTTATTACCGTCAGCTGTAAATAAATAAAAAAATAAAAACAGATGTAAAAAATAAAAAGTTGTCTATTTGTGGGACACGAACCTGGGACCTCTCGATCCCAAAGCGACGGCCTTGGACGGCCCTCACTATGCATCCACAGCTGCTCTTGCAAAATTAGCTACAGTTCGTCTGCTGGATCTGTGTCTATGAAAGGAATGCGGACAAAAAACATTTAAATAAACAGCAATATATTTTATACGTCGACTTGACGAGTACGTCACCGCAAATTGCTCCGCCCACTCATTTTATTGGCTACTTGCAAATTTGTCGCATTTTTATTGATGGGATGCGTCGTCTAATTTTTTACGAAAAACATCGAGAAAATATCGTTTCCCCTCTCACGGATACCCCGTAGCCTCAGAACGGACAGACGTACTACTGTATATAGCAAGGCGTACATTCGTAGTCGCCGCGCCCTTGTACGCGCCGTCCATAAAAAGGCGACAGCAAACGCCAACATTGTTGGGTATGCGAGTTGACTAGTGGGACGTAGAAGCTATTGAAAAGCATTGAAAAGTCATAACATGGCCATAACCTATAACCTAGACTCCAAGACTAGACAAGACAGGATCGGTATCATCGGTGATGGATTTAAATCGAATTGAATAATGAAAACGTAGTAATTGTGTGCCCTACTCAAGAAAAAGATGAGTACTACAAAACGACTTAATTTTTTTGGAGAAAAAATTTGTGCATAGTGCCATTTATACATGTAAAGTTCGGTGGTGAGTAAGACCTTTAGAGACTATTTAATTATTGTTTTCCTGCATATTCTGCATTCTGCATGTTAGATCTTGACAAAGGGCTTTAAGGTATGCTTTGTTCAGTGATGAACCGTAGGTTTTTTTACAAAGCGATCCAAACTGCTGATTAACGTTGAATATTAAGATATTATTCTTAACTGAGATTTCAAATTGTGAATTTGAAATCTCATTGTGCGATTTAATAATATGCATAATATTAATAGTAGTTATTATAAATAAATAAACTTCTACAAACTAGTTTCTAATACCCTACTTGTTCAAAAGGGTTACCCCCGGGAAACGTAAATAGTATGGCGAACGCTTATTAACGACATGCATAATCTTTGCATCACCAATACGCGGTTCATGTTGAAGGACAACTTTAAAAGTACCCGAAAACATCCCAGATCAGGCATTGGCATCAATTGGACCACGTAATCGTTCGAAGGACTCATCTTAAAGATGTCAGACTCACAAAAGCCAGAATAGATGCCGAATGTGACACTGACCGCCGACTTTTAATTTCAAAAATTAAAATCCAGTTAAAACCCAAACTTCCACACTGTATAAAGCAAAACATGACCAGATTAAATGTAGCGGGTTTAGAGAACAACGATACCGCCGACGCCCTCCGGGAAGCCATCAAAGAATCACTTGGGTCACTGAGATCATGGATCATGGATCACCTGAACTATCTCTTCCTAACAAACACAGGAGTTAGGCAGAGATGTGTCTTAGTGCCTCTCCTATTCAACATATTCATGGCAGCGCTCTCCATTATAGTGGACAGCAAACTGCAGGAAAGTTGATTGGGCCTTAGATACAGATACGACGACGGCGGCGGCGGTCTGTTTAACATAAAAAGACTCGGGACAAAAACACGTACAAAATTCTTCACAGAACTTCAGTACGCTGATAACTGCGCTCTAGTTGCAAATACGTTACAGCAATTACAAGAAATGTTGCACACATACATATACCTGGGCATACAAGGCTTTGGGCTTAACCTGAACATCAATAAAACTAAAACCATGTGCACTCCCCCGGAAGATCACAACAATACTATAACAATCGGAGAAGAACTATTGGAATATGTAGCGGAATTCAATTACCTCGGCAGTTTGATTTCGGGAAAGGCCAATATTGACTCTGAAATTCAGCACAGGATTAGCAGCGCCTCAAGAGCATTCTGAAAATTAAAAGACAGTGTTTTCTACAATCATGACTTGAGCACAAAAACGAAACTTGCAATGTACCGACTATTAATAATCCCCGCCATGTTATATGGAAGCGAAACCTGGGTGCCATACCGCCGACACATAAACGCATTAAACAAGTTGCAACAGAGACACCTTAGACAACTTTTAAGAATCAAATGATTCTACCATGTCTCAAACGTATCGGTTCTTGAAAAGCTGCGAGAGCGTTGAAGTCATGATTACAAAATTCCGCTTAAGGTACATTCAGGCTGAGAGAATCGAGCGTCGCGTCCGCGTGTCGAAATGGAATCAATTCACTTAACTTTAATTAGACCGTTCAGACAGACAGCGTCGCGTTTGGCGTTGCGCTAGCGTCCGCTGAGCGTCGGTGTTCGAGTTCAATGGGGCGGACGCGACGCAAACGCGACGCGACGCTCGACGCCTGTTTGTACCTATGTGCTGCTGTAGCATTCATATTTGAAACATTACTGGGAATGCAAAAATATGTTTCGTTTACTGTTCGGTTCGCTAAAAATAAGTTTTTAATTTTTCGTCTTCATTTGCCATTCCGTTTGTCGTTCGTTGCAACATTCAGGTCTGTACGAAGCTTTAAGATTGGCTGGTCACGTATGCTCAGTGCAAGAAAATCGCCTACCCAAATCGCTGTTTTACGGTGAGGTTAGGTTAGGTTGTAAACGGTAAGAGGAAATCGGGTGGACAACTCAACCATAACTCAACAGGTACAAGGATATTTTCCACGAAAACTTAAAGGGGATAAACATGCAGAATTAGTGGGAGGAAGCAGCGTACTATAGAACGCACGTCCAGGTTTCGTTCGGGAAAGCAGCAGAACGTGACAATATCAAAGATATTTGACATACAAGATACAAGACAAAATGGGACATTTGAAGAAACATATTGGTTATATATTCCGAAGTATATGTCATATCAGGCTGAGAGGAGATTCTTTTTATTTAATAAATGAGAAACAATATGCCTGTCCATATAGAAAAAAAAAGATAATCTTTGTCAATATTTTGAAGCATTTTTAGAAAATAATGCTAACAAAGAAGACTTTTTTCAGTCAGGATTAAATTATCGAATGTAATACCATAAGATGTTTCGGAATTACCGAATAATAGTTTTACCTGACACGAAATGCGTTACTCCTCCCTCCTTCGGAGTCGTAGTGTTGCTGGTATCGTATTGAGTGTCAGGCAAAAGTATTAGGTAATCCCGAAACATCGAGTTGTATTCAAAAGATTATACAACGAAATAAAGTAGGTACATATATCCTTCTTATCTTAAACATTTTTGTGGAACTGACAGAAATGACTTCTGAATTAATATTTCAAAATATGACAAATACAATATGGCCACCAAGCGATAATCACTTAAATGATTATCACTTATTAATCACATTCTTCTACATATATAGGAAAAATATACATAGAGTTGTATAATCTTGTAAAGCGCTGTATCACTTCCCAAGCCATGTAAAAAATATTAGTCATCTGAGATACACTCTATACAATAGAATTGTATCAAACGTTTTGTCCCTTTTTTGTATCTACTCTGCCTCCAAGTAAGGACTGCACAACTGCGTCTACTCAGGACACTCAGGACACTTGTGTCTAGCCCCAGCAGGGAATTATTAAGCCCGACCAATCACGTTAGAGTTTTTGACAAAAACCAATGAATTAACACACTCCAAATAACCACGCTAACCAACCTGATTGGTCAAGCTTAATAGTTGCCTGCTGGGGCTAGACACTTCTCTCAGGACATACTTTCAGGTAACTGTAAAAATACAACGTTATTAGAAATGTGCTAAGTTTGATCACTTGGAGTATGGATTGTGACGAAAGTTCTTGCGCCGAGCGATTAATTCAACATGCAGAAAAAAAAATTACCATTGAAGACTTTACATGTGCGAGTTAAATCCAATGGAATTAGTGGGAGCAAGATTATAGTATATAATAAGAAAAATGTATTAAAACTGACAACTAGACAGCTAGACAACTAGACTTCTCCAACGAGACAGGGAAGATTTTGACGAAATTCAAAAATAACAGAAAATACAATTATCTGTGATTAAAATGACAGACCCAACTGTCAATGTCATCGATCCTCTCGTTGGAGAGACTATATATACCAATGACTAAAGAATCCAAGGACAAATAACACCCGAGAGCAAATTGTGCCGATGTCACCAAACAGTGCCGTGGCACATATTTTTTTTAACTTAGCTGTTTGAAGCAATATTTATATTTTTTGATAATTGTTTTGACTACGCCTAGGGTGTATCATACTAATTAATTACGAAAAAAACATATTAAAATGTTAACGAAAGGTACAAAACTAGTATCGACGTATAGCACATATCAAGTACATATAGATGTTAATTGAAATTGAAGAATAATTATCAAATTCAATAAGAAAACGCTAAAAAGTTGGAGTAGACTGTTTATTTACCTATGAAACGTAACTCCTGGCTCTTTCTTATCGCTGCGCTGCTGCTTTTACACTTTTTTTACAAAAGCTGAACAACTATTCACCATTGTAATAAAGTTTATACAAAGTTCACTACACACAAACTATTAAAAATTGCTAAAATTGTCGCTGGTGACCAAATGATGACTCATTGTTTGCCATCAAAAGAATGGCCTCGAAGGTCACAAATTCTGCTGCAGCCCGTATATTGTCGTTACATGTCCTTATATACTTTAGTCATTGATATATACATATTCACTACTACTACATATCCTATCCTCATTAAATGAAGTTATTAATGAAGTAATAGCCACTAATAATTGGAAGAAATTTTGCCAATACGTATATTTGGAAATCCGACATGGATGAAGTTGAACCTATACTTTTTTGATTTCTTATTTTTTGTACAGATATTTGAAGCCTTAGCAATCTTAATAAAAGTTAGCAACTTATACTGTATCATAGTAGTGTAAACCATTGTAAACGTGTAATTGTAAATAATAGTGTTGACTTGGATTACTTATGAAACTTTTTTATTTATTCGTAGAAGTTGCATGCAGATTATGAATGTATTATTTTCTTGTTCAAATTCTTTACTGTTATTGTTTGAAGTGAGATTATCACTGTGTTTTTCAAGGGATTGATAGACGACCTTTTGTAGGGCTTTGGATAACATGTTATCGTTGTATCTTAAATTGCTAAGAGCGAACGCCGAAACATTCAACAGAGGTTAACATTTTTTACCAAGGATAAGTCTGCTATCCTGAAAACCCAAACATTATATTACTCCAGTATTATACTTAGTATTGATTTATTACTCCTACTATTATCACATTCCATGTTTATAAACCCACTCTATGGTGAATAACGTATAAATGTATTTTTAAAATACCTACATACAATGCCAAGTTCACTGCTTTTTGGCATCAATAATGAAGGTAGAGTATATACACTCTCAACTTCTGGTTCTATGTGGAGAGAATTACCTTATAATGGACAGGAATTTAAGAAATTATCTGGGGTACCACACTTTTTATGGGGATTAGGTGGAGATCATCAGATTTACGTTTACGTGCATGGCCTTGATATACCAATCAGAATAAGAGAGGAATCATATGAAAATGAGGTAAATTATTTATATTTTACATGATCAAGAAATCATCAATTTGTTTCGTAGAGATGGTTGCCTATAGAAGGCTTTACATCTAGACTTTTACCAACTGATAGGTTTCATTTTTCAAATGCCGATGGAACTGCAGATCGGTCTATAGATAGGATCCGACTCCCTTCAATGGCTTGGCAGTGGGAAGGTAAGTTAAATAAGTCCTAAGGTTCCATAAATATTTTAGTACCTAAATACTTTTGTAGGTGACTGGCAATTGGAGTTAACATTGGATGGACAGCCATTGGACCACAATGGGTGGACCTATGCTGTTGATTTTCCTTCATGTTATTATTCGAAAAAACAGTGGAAAAGCTGTGTTAGAAGACGACTTTGGGTTAGGACTGCCAAATATTGTGCAATGAATACTTGGTGTGCTATCGCTCCATTACACAAAGATGCTACGTCGGTAAGCTACAGTTTCCTATAATTCTTCTTACAATGTCATACTCTATACAGAGCGTACGCTACCTCCCGCAAATACTTGTGATGTGTGTTATCAGTGTTTCGCAAGTACAGGGTGTCCCATTTTAGTTGAAATCATACGGTATCTCCGTTATTAGTAAAGATAGGACGATGCGGTTTGCACAAACCTGTCCCATTTTTTTGTCAAACGGAAGATGGTGTCAACAAAATTTTCATAGCCCTCTTCGTTTCTGAGCTACAGGGTCTTTTCGAAAATTTTGCAATTTGGAACAGCCCATTATTAATAAAAATAATAATAAATAATATCTCCATTATTATGGATGATATCGAGAAGGTGAAAACTGATTCTTGTAGAACTTTTTATGTAGAATACAGTGGCGTAGTCTGTTTTTCAATGAAAAAAATATTTTTAAAAATATGAATTAAAATTAGGTTTTTTTCTAATGGTACTTTCTAATAATTAACACCCTGTATATTTATAAATCATATGATCCGCCATGCTATGAGCTTCTCAAAAAGATATATCACTCTATATTTATTTTCATTATTTACTGCAGTATTTAAAATATATCATTTTCTTATTAGTAGGCCGTGATAAATAACAAAAAATCAAAATGGTATTTACTAAAATAGTCATACACATATTAAAATTTTATTTGGAATTGATATATTTAACTTTTGAATCTCTGAATATATTTATCTTTTTTTATAACGGAATTTATTATAACGGGATGGGTTTGCAAATATTTTAAAAGCTTGCGTTATTAAAGCATTTTCCAGTTGTATTATTTCAAAAATCCCCAAAATCAGAAATCGAGAACGGACAAATCCGGGAACCAGGAAGGCCATCATATGGGTCCATTGGTTCCAATTAATTGATTTGAGAAATAATAATTTAACAAATTCCAATTTTTTTTTGGTTGTAAGTTAAGTTGTGAGGGAGAGCCCCATCTTGCTGAAAGTATATTTCACGTAAATTAGCTAAAGGAATATTAAAAAATTATAATAGATATTTTAGATAGCTTCCAAGATTTACAAATAGCGGTAGAGAATTAAGTTTCCCTAATATATAAAGAATTTATTAGTGGCCCTCAAAATAAAATAAGAGAGAGATAGCAGTATATATATTTTTAATAATACTTTAGTTTCTTTTATTATCAGTCATGGCCTACTAATAAATATGATCTTTTAATTTTTTTTAAATGTTACAGTAAATAGTGACAATAGTTAATTAAATAGTGAAAATAAATATAGAGTGATATATATTTTTGAGAAGCTTATAGCAAGCCAGATCAAATAATTTATAAATATACAGGGTGTTCCATTTAAAAAAAACATAACTATAGTTCATATTTCATATCTTCAAAAATATCCTTTTCGTAGAATAACAGACTACGCCACTGTATTCTACGTAAAAAGTTCCACAATAAACAGTTTTCACCTTCTCGATACCTTTAACAATAAAGGTATATTCAGGCTGAGAGCGTCGAGCGTCGCGTCGCGTTTGCGTCACGTCTGCCCCATTGAACTCGAACCCCGACGCTCAGCGGACGCTAGCGCAACGCCAAACGCGACGCTGTCTGTCTGAACGGTCTAATTTAAGTTAAGTGAATTGATTCCATTTCAACACGCGGACGCGACGCAAACGCGACGCGACACTCGACGCTCTCAGCCTGAATGTACCTTAACAGTGATGCAGGGGGTGTCCCAAATTGCAAAATTTTTAAAAATACCTTGTAGCTTAGAAACGAAGAGGGCTATGAAAATTTTGTTTACGGATTTTTTCGTTTGACAAAAAAGACGCACAGGTTTGTGCAAACCGCGCCCTTCTATCTTCACGAACAACGTAGATCCCGTATGATTTCAACCAAAATGTACACTTGACCTAGAGTTTATCGCCGAATCCGAACGGCACTAATTGAAAGACTGTACAAGGCAAATATATTCAATGTAATTTGACATATTATACTTCTTTGAGGTGGCGGCTTGCTGCTTGCTGGTCGATCTGTTTAGATAAATTAATATTTTTAATTAAATAAATAAAGCAACCGTCTGCGTCTGTGGGATCCTATTCTGTAACTGTCGTTAAACTTGCGATATTTAATTCTGCGTATTTTGAATTTTAGGAACCTTTTATTGATATATCAATTGGAGGGCAAAATGTTATTGGTGCTGACCCGAGTACAATGTTAGTATGGGCTGTTACTTCCCATAATAGAGTAATATATATGTATTACATTTATTAAACATTTAGTTAATATTGTATTTTTAGGTAATGTTTAGATCAGAAGTAAGTACAAAATTGCCTGAAGGTACCCGATGGCACCACATCCAAGTGCCTACAGGATGTGAAGTAGGAAGTATAAGTGTTGGCCCTTCAGGTTTAGTTTGGTCAAGCCTTTTAGATGGCAGAGCTTTAGTTCGAGTAGGAGTTTCTAGAGAGACTTTACAAGGTATAGAATAATTGATATTTTTGAAGTGAAACTTCTTAACGCGCGATGGGAGGAAAAATTCAAAGCCGTGACACACCACGCCCTTGACACGACATGACCATGCTTTGACGCACGAGCTAGCGAGAAAAAAAATGGTAAGGATTGCACAGACACCAAAAAACATTTGATTTAAAGCTAAGAAAAGCATTATAATAAACTTGATACTGTACCTGGGTACCAATATCCTCTGGTCGTGTGCTAAGAAATAAATTTTCATGCATATTTTCGGTAAAAGAAAGATTTAAATTCTGTGTCTCGTCTCGACCACATACAAATGTTTCGACCCTGTTCAAAATTTCGTCTCTTAACTAAATTTAAAGGGGTGCGGGCGTTAACATTAATAGGCATATTCATAAAAGTGTGTATTTTTGGTTCCAGCCGACACGTGGCGGAACGGCCGGGCGGCCGTCCTGGGTGTCGTGTACGAGGGGCGCCACGACGGCAACTAAAATATTTAAAAACAGCAATCTAAACAAAGAGTAACGAATGACCAGATCAATAATTAATCGGTACTATAAATCTTCACATTAAAATATTGCCAATTACCACACCACATAGGGAAAAATATCTGACGAAACATTATAAACACTACTATATCCTAGACGTATCCTATTATAGTTTACTGAAATTAGGCTCAAAAAATCCTTTGCACGAAAACTTTGTGATAGTTTTAATTTCTTCTAATCTCTATGTTTTTTGGGTGCTCTATTCGAAACTGGGATTTACGAATTCATTTTCGTGGAAAAATCTTAAACAAAATAAAATAAAAAAATATAATCTGATTTGTTCGTGGTATTTTACTTATAATTCAAAAGCTATCAACTTTTTGTAAATAACCTTTGTTGCTATAATTCTTGTTTTTATAAATTTTCTCTAAACAAACTGTTTTGGGTCAAGAGCCAGCAAAATTGACAGTTTTAGACTGACTGCTCAAAATCGCACTTTTTCTACTACCCTTTTATTTGTTATTAATGGCTGATGTACCCTAAAATTATATGAGGTAAATATTCATTCGCAAGAAGCTGAAGAGGATCTCGATATACTTTTATAAAAAAAGCTTATAAGTTTGCCTCATTAGTTAAATGAATTTATTAACAGTAGTGGGAAAATATATCAATCTTTTGGTGATTTTGATGTTCCCAATTGAATGTGTAATAATACACGGAAAATGGTAGCAGAATCCCCGAATTTTCTCATTAGAACAAGACAAAGGAATACATCTCAAACACTGACTGAATCTCATTTTGTACCCGACAAAACTCTATCTGATCATAAACTGATTCTGCACGAAATAATTGGTTGTGAAAAAGAAAAGAACACTTTCTTAAATTCTTATAGAAAAATAATGCAACTGCTTGAACCTAATACTAATATTTTCAAAGATCAATTATACCAGAACGAGATTGCCGAAGTTGGAATTCTATTTCTCATGACTCTATATACCGGGTGCGCCTCAAAAGTGGCTCACCCCTATTATAACTTGTTTATTTTTTCAGAAAAAAAAGCAATTTGGTATGTTAGTATACGACATAAATTATGATTAAATGTATTCAATTGTTTTTGGTGATTTCATGTTTCACCGGAAATTACTACAACTTATTTTCGATTAAAAATACGATTTTGGCATCTTTTGGACTGGCCAGGACAAGACACGAAAAACATTAGATAAGAAACATTAGATCAAATCTATTTTTCCAAGGCTCCTTGTTTAAAAATTAGTGTTTTTAACAGAGCCATGGCACTCTATATTGAAATTTAAAATATAATGTTTTTTGAACGAAAATGTCAAAAGATAACATATGATATTTCATTCTACTCATTTTTTATCGAATAAAGTAGAAATATACCGAGGTGCCATTTAAAAATCAAGTTTTAGTAATTTCCTGTGAAACAGGAAGTGGCCAAAAACAATTGAATAGTCAATCAATCTTAATTTATGTCATATACTAACATACCAAATCTCGTTTTTTATGCATTTTTTATGTAAAAAAATAAAAAAGTTATAGGGGCGAGCCAATTTCGAGACACACCCGGTATACAAAAAACAACAACAAGAAAAAGATAATTAAAACAACTGGGGGGGCAGATAGGGATCCTGCTTAAAGCGCTTGACGTAAAAAGCCGATTTTCGGAAAACGGATTGACTTTAGGGGGTTTGCCCGATTCCGAAAATTGGTTCGATAAGAAGGGATTTTTCGAAACTCGGATTCTATGGGGGTGAAACCAAATCCCTCAAATATTAAAATATTTTTTATTTAAAAACCGGTGAGTTTTTTGGAAAAACTCTTAAAGGCGTATATTTTATTTTGTTGTTTTAGATATTTTAAGATTTTTTAAAAATTTATACAGGGTGTTTCATAAAATATGACCATTGAGTAATCACGATTCTGCTTAAACTACTTGATCTTTAAAGCTAATTTTAGGCGAACGGATTGACTGTAGGGTTTCTCGAATCTCAAATTCCAAGAGGGTGAAAACGCCCCTCAAATATTACAATATTTGTTATTTAAAAAACGGTTAGTCTTTCGGGAAAACGCTTGGACAAGCATAATTTATTTGGTTTTTCTACATATTTTGAATTTTTTTAAAAATTCATACAGGGTGTTCCAAAAAGTTGGGTAATTTCTTAACCACGATTCTGCTTAAACTGCTTGACGTAAAAAGCTTATTTTTGGCAAACGGATTTTTCGAAAGTCAAATTCCAACGAGATGAAACTACCCCTTAAATATTACCAAGTTATATAACAATATAGCCATATTGTTTTTTCTCATGCTGACATAAATGTGAGAAAATTTTATCCTGTTTGTATGTTAATGGAAATTCTTGCTGTGCTTTATCATCACCATTACAAATAATTAATTCGACGCGAACGAAGTCGCTGGTACACGCTAGTATACCCATAAAATATTTTGTTTCTACATCTTTCCGTTTTGGTATAATCAAACGAGGCGAATGAGGTGCGCCACCCTGTATATATATATTCTTGAAATCCTTCAATTTAATAGCTGTTAGTAAGAAGTTTCACTTCAAATATACATAATGCACAATTTTTTTAATCTAAATAAAATATTACTGCATTAGGAGATATGTGGGTTGAAGTTAGGAGCCCCGGAGACAATTTAAGAATCACGCAATTATCAGTGGGAAATACTAGCGTTTGGGCAGTCACACAAGATAATAAAATATGGTTTAGGAAGAGAATGAAACGAGAAGAATCGAGTTTAAGCGAAGAGGAATTGGCTGTGGGTTCCGGTTGGATCGAAATGGTTGGAAAAATGTGTCATATCTCAGCCACTTCAAATGATCAAGTATTTGCAGTTGGCGCACACGATCGCGTTATTTATTACAGGATGGGAGTGTGTCAAGAAGATTTGACCGGCAAAAGATGGAGGGCCATTCGAGCACCGCTTCAAGTTAGTCGAGCTAGTAGTAACGCTAGTTTAGGACGTGACCGATTCCATCGAAGCTTAAATCAAATTACGGTAATGCAGGCCTTCTTACTATCTAGTCTTGTATTGTATTTCGTTTCGTTATACTTATTACGGTATAAAAGAAAAAAAAACTCAAAAGAAAACATGCAAAGAATCAAGTTTCGGTATTGTTTGTACCACTGATCAGTAACGACATTAATTTAAATTAAAGTCGCGTCTCAAAAAGTGGCTCACCCCTATAACTTTTTAGATAAAAAAACGATATTTGGTATGTTAATATGACATAAATTAGGATTTGTTGACGTATTCAATTGTTTTTGGTCACTTCCTGTTTCACCGGAAATGACTACAACTTTTGGTTTTTAAATGGCACCTTTTTCGAGAAAATTGAACGGAAAGTGTTTGCTCTGATGGGTTGTTAACTGGTTAATCAACATAAACTTATGAAGGTTATGGCGGTTCAAAAGTAACCAAGTAGTTATTAAATAATTAATTGAAAAATCAAAATTTCATGATTTCTAAAACATCTTATTGCTTTAAAAACGAAATAAACCAATTACCAAAATTCCTTATTAAAATAATGAATTCCTTAATTCATTAATAGTAAATGTTCAAAGTGACCACCATTCATTTCAATGTAGACATTTGATCTTCTTCTCCACGATCTGTGTACCCTGTGGAATATTCTTGTCCGAATTTAATTGGAACAGTCAATAATGCGTTGCCGTAGTTGTTCTTCAGTATTAATCGGCACTGAGTAAACCAAATTTTTTTAAAACCAAAAAGGTTTATTTCGTTTTTAAAGCAATAAGATGTTTTAAAAATCATGAAATTTTGATTTTCCAATTAATTATTTAATAACTACTTGGTTACTTTTGAACCGCCATAACCTTCATAAGTTTATGTTGATTAACCAGTTAGCAACCCATCAGAGCAAACACTTTGCCTTCGATTTTCTCGAAAACCATTGCTCTGGGCGATGTGCAACAAGAGTACCTTTTTTGTAGGAAAAAGTATATAGTTTTCAAAAAATAAACCCACGTTGCAAAAAAAATAACCTCAAAAAAGTTATTCACGAAACAACCCACTACCCTTGCAAAAACTACCCTTTCCGCTTTTCCAAATAATTTTTTAGTATCACCATTTGATTTAGGGTCAAAATTTATGGCAGAGGATTTTTTTTCGAAATTCTATCTCGTTTTTTAAGCCTACAATTTCAAAACAACCGTTTTTTAAATTCACCCTTTCAGTGCCCCTAACTGCCTTAATATGCATTTTCCGCCCTGTACTTATATGAACTTTTTTTATTTTTTTTAGGAGTACTATCACTCCCGATTTTTTTTACACCATTTCAATGACACCCTGTAATGACATATCATATGTCAAATTTTGACATTTTCACTTATAACAAAATTGTATATTTTATTTTATTAAATTAATCATAAACTTTTCTAGAAAAATGATGATAAAAATGTTTCTGTTGAGCCCTTGGCGCAAAAACATTTCCAAATTCATTAATTTAGTCTAATAACTATCTAGTCAACATGTTTAATTTTTGTCAATTATGACATGTATTGATTATTTCGATTACAAATGTCTTGAAAACCATGATTCGTATTGATTTCTACCAAGAGACCTTTTTACGTAAAAAACGGCGGACATGTATTTTTTTCTTTTCACCCAGTAGTTTAATACAGGTACGGACGAAATGTTATTAGACTTCAAAACAGTTAAAATACAGCAAGTAGAAGTCATATTGACATCGAAATCAAATTTCTCTTGTCAAAAAACACACACACCAATTTTTATCCAAATATCGTCGGTAGTTCAGAAATTATCTGGAAAAGATCGAAATAGAAATAAAACTTCAACACTCTGTACTCTGTATCTCCGAAACGAAGCAGTTTAGGACGTAAATTCATACGAACTTTTTCGCTTACTTTTATCTGCAGAATATGCTGCCGAAGTTTCCCGAATACATTTGGACCATCCTGTATATAGGTAATATAGTATATTGTTTTATTTCTTAGAGTCGACCAAGTAGCATGATCGAGCAGCCTAATTTTTCTGAATTTGAAGAACAATCCCATTCTGCACCTTTGGCTCCCACTTCTCTTCCTACTGGCGATTATAAATTTGAAACTCGTCTTAGAAATCCTAAAGCTTGGAGTCCGGTACATTCTGTTGGCTCTATCGTAGGTACTGAAGTTCACCCAGATGCTGACGAAAGCATATGGAACGAAAATAGCAGAGATTCTTGTATTTTTGCAGAGGACGAAGAATTGGAATGGGCTGAGTACGATACGCCGTGGTCTTGGGTATGTTTCTTAACGATAGGTATGTAATAAAATTATTGTTATAGATTTTTAGGTGGAGGCGGGAACTTGTTTAATGGATATATCTCAATTTCCAAACTGGTTTTCAGAGTCTAATGATAGTGCTATACAAGAAGAATTTGGCCAATCGTGGAGAACTAATATTTTGAACGATTTAAAGACACGATTGCCGGACCAGGTAGTTGCTTGCTTTGAGTATAAGTACAGTAGACTCTGGATTATCCAAGCTAATCTGATCCTGATAGTCAAAATCGGATTTTTAAAATGTTGTTTCTTATATATTTTTAATATGTATTACTTAATAATAAATGCTAGTACCTACGTTCAAATATTTTTTTTAATAATTTTGACAAACAAAAGAACAACTAAAGTCAGTTTGTGTTGCTTCGCCAATTCTGTGATTCTTCGTAATTCCCCATAATTACCCGACATATTAGGCCTCGAATAATATGGCGTCACTCGGTTAATACAGATTTGAACGCCGGTGTAACTCAACTCTGATACGCACGGATAATCCAGCGATCGGAAAATAGAGAGTTGGATAATCGATAGTCTACTGTATGTCACAACGACTATTTTTTAGGATATTTACTCTTTATATGAAAGTGCAATTGAAACTACATCCTGGATTCATGTAGGAGAAGCAAGAGTTAATTTGAACTCCCAAAATTTTGTCGATTGTATATTGCAGTTGGAATGGTTACAAATAACAGGGACATTAACAATTTTAAATTCAGATGGAGCCACAACAATGGTATGGTTATAAAAATATTTATCGATTAGATAACCGGCATTACGTATATTAGTGTATTTCGATTTTTAATGGGGTTTTATGTTAATTTTTGCCATTTTTTTATACCGTGAATAAATTGCGATTAAAATTATTGCCCTTTAAATTATTAGCGAAGAAATTACAATAATTAATTACAGTAATTTAAAAAAAAATCTTTTCCAAATTTTCATACCGTTTAGAGAAAATTAAAAACAGTTTCTAAAAGTTCCAGAGTTCTTTAAAAAAAATTCTAAAAAAAGTCCTAAAAATCAAAACGCGCTTATGGTAACATAATTTCGTTTTCGTTCTTGGATAAATTGTTATCGATAGAATTTTTTTAACGTCATATTTTTTGCTGTTTACAATTTTAAGTTAAAGAAGCACAACATTTATTTATTTCAATGTTATGGAAAATGTGATAATACCTAGTTATCGGAAAATGTGACTTGAAATTTGACTTGAATATTTGGGATAAATTGAGAATTATAAACGGGATTAACCATTTTAGACCAAGCAAACATTTTTGTGCTATTTTTTTCAAAAGAATGCATTTTTCTCAAAATGGCAATAATAAAAGTTTTTCCTCTTGTAAAAACAATCCGGGGATATACTGTATACAGGGTATCCCAGAAATAAGTGCAGATATTTTAAGGGGAGGTAGATCTGGTCAAAAGAAACATCATTTTTCTTTACCATTTTTAAAATAAATTGAAAATAACCGAGTTATTTAACTTTGAAAATTAAAAAAAATGCAACATTTTGAGAACTACCGGCCGAAATCGGAAATAATCCGCATCTCTGCATATTTTCCACCCACTGTTGCCACATCGACTAGAAAGACTTAACACTACTTGCAATATTTCACACCACCCAAAAAGTTTTGAAAAAGTGCGTTATTTGTTTTAAGTGGGCGATCGCCAGTAGCCTTACTTCACACATTTCACAAAATAAATTAAAAAATTAAGAGAAAAATCCCGATAGCAGATCGATATAAAAAATAACTTACCGAATATTAAAAAAGTAAATCCCGATAGCAGATCGATATAATTGCAAAGCTTTCTTTTTTTCCATTTTACCACTATTAAAACCGCACTTAACACTACACGTAACAACACTATACTTCACTGCAATTCTTAACAACACATTTAAATATCCATGGCTTCTTGACTGCATGCTGTATAACAAAAGTATCACTTGCAAAATATTATTTAATATTTTTCACATAATAATTTACATAAATACAACAAAACGCGTTCGAACCGCCAATACAGATCAGCTGATTGCTGTTTTGTTTTGGGACCCAAACCCTTGTACAGCTTCTCCTATAATAGTGCCGTTCGGATTCGGCGATAAACTGTAGGTTCCTTGTACTTCATGGTACAAAGAAAACAAGGTATGATCGATAGCGGCTCTAATTTTGTTCAGTTTGCGCATATCACCTGTGACATCATATGCCGTACAAAAAAATATCCATATTGTTCAATTGCCACTAATAAAAAAAAGACTTAAAAAATTAGGACACAACCCCAAAAGTTTTGTCAAATAATCGAGCTTGACATTTGAAAAGTTATGACACATTTATTATGTGTCATCTGTTTGACAATTCGAAATTGGCGCGCGGAGCTTGCCGACCAATAGTGCCGTTTATCACCTGTGACGTAGTGACCAACCTGCGCAATACCATACCTTGTTTTCTTTGTATCATGCTTGTACTATGCTTGTACTTGTGAAACACTGATGACACATATCACAAGTACATGCGAGAGGTATTCGATGTTCTGTATAGAGTATGGCACTGTAAGAAAGCTTAGTAAGAAAGACATAAGTTAATTGTAAGACAAACCGAATTTAGGATCCTCAGTGTGGCTCGTGGCTATTTTAAGGAGCTTCTACACTTTAGTATAAAAAGTGATATTAATTATTGTTCAAAATATAATGTAATGTCTAAGAAAAAAATGAAAGATACCGCGTTACCCGAAGAGGAGAATGAAGTCACTAATATTGATCCGCTAAGATAAATATCTCAATTGCCGAGAAATTGCTATCTTTCAGACATTTTCACGGCTTCGGTTAGGTGACCAATATCATAAATAGAATGTTAAATAAAAACAAAGTTGCTATTGGCAAGCCAGTTGCGGACACAGATGGGGGTCCAGGTCTCCCCTAAAATCTTTAAATTGGATTGAATATTAGGCTTTTGAGTTAAAAATGGCGCCCTAAAAAGTATATTCTACATTACTTTTTATTTGGGCCCCCCCCAAATACCCTATTCCCCCCTATTCTGATTTGAAACACTACTGTGCTGGTTGAGTAAAACGAATCGATGATCTTATATTTATTGAATGAATTATATTTCTTCGTATGTTAAGGATTCCTAAATATAAATTTCTTTTGTATTATATTTTAGCATTCGTTCCCGCTTAGTGATATAACTTGTGTTCAACTCACTAGTGATCCTGGAAATTCCAGATTATCTCTTTTTACACCTAGAAATAATCCCGCTGTCGTAGTCCTACAATTTGTTAGTGATGTTATATTAGAAGAGTGGCAATCACACTTTGCAATTACGTGTGGAAAGCTTCGTGACGCTCAAGGTATATTTATTTTTTAGTAAATTATTTTATATTAAATATTTTTTAATTTTTGTACAGGGAGGCCTAGCGATGAAAGTATTTGGGCGGTGACAAACTTGGGCGACATTTTTGTATGGGACCCAACACAACTTGAAAGAAACCAACTTAGAGAGGATGATTTCTACATTCAGAAATTTGACTTAAGAGGAAAAGAATGTCCTATAAAGGTTGCTTTACATGTCGGATGTATTCCTGGGACAGTTTTAACTTTAACAGGGTAAAAATAATTAAATGCTTGTTTTATTATTAACATTTTTATGCTCTTTTTATGAATATATTTTTATTTATTTAGTATCTATTAGTTTTTAATAATTATAGGTGTATAGGCGATGAGGCAGAACGCCTAGGTATTAATCTTGAAGCTCCATATACTTATAAAAAAAATCATAAAGCTTTTACGGAATTAGAAAATATGTGCCTGCACATAAATCCTAGGTTTTCTGAAAATTGTGTGGTAAGAAATTCAATGGTAGATGGGAAATGGGGTAAAGAAGAACGTGATGGAAAAATGCCTTTCAGTAGGAGTCAAGAATTTAATATAAGAATAGAAAGCACTGAAGATGCATTTATTATTTTTGTTAACACTGAAAAATATACAACTTTTAGGTTATTTTTATGTACTATAATGCTTTTTAGTTATCGCTAATATTCTGTATTTTAGACATCGACTGCCACCTCATTCGGCCTGTTTTCTTCATTTGTGGGGCAAAATGCAGCCATTTAAATTAATTATAAGAAGTCCAGTTCTTATAGTTGATCCATTAGAGGTTTATTGGAGGCAACTTGGAGGCCACTTACGTCGGGTAGAATCATGTAATGCCGGTGTTATATGGGGGATAGGTTACGATCACACTGCTTGGGTATATACTGAAGGATGGGGTGGTTCTTTCTATGGAACATTGGATAGCCATAACGTGTATCCAATGACCGATTGTCAAGACTATAGAGTTTATGAAAATCAAAGGTGGAATCCTGTAACAGGTTACACTTCATCTTGTTTGCCCACAGATAGGCATATGTGGAGTGATGCATCTGGACGCCAAAAGCGTATAAAAGAACAAGTAAAATTGCCGACAGTTCATTGGCAATGGATATCAGATTGGATGGTCGATTTTCATGTACCAGGTGGTGTAGATAAGGAGGGGTGGCAGTATGCTGTTGATTTTCCAGCTAGTTATCATTCCAACAAACAGTTTACAGATTTGGTGCGAAGGAGAAGGTAAGAAGTCGTATTTTATTATTAAATAATATCCTAAAATGCACACTAACAATATAGCTTAATATTACAAGACAAGAAAAATTGGAATACTGCCTGCCTTTGTAGCGTGTTTATTTCTTGAAAGAGGCCTGGGTATTTCTCAACTGAGAGAGAAATCTAAAAAGTATATTTTCGCAAAAACACTATTGTATAGAACAGAAATTAGATTGCCTTTACTCGTAAAACAAATTTTCCTAAGCAACGAAAAATGCTTAATGTTCCAAGGGGTATATCTCCCGCCGCGCGCCGGCAGAAGCATAAACAGAAACAAAAAGTATAAGAAGAAACGGCTTGTCTTTATTTTTAAAAATCAGACTTCACATTAACTTTTACTACCCACTAATGAGTTAAGACCAAAAAAAAATAACATATTTTTTATTTTTATTTTCAATCCAAGATCTATGTTGTGGTATAGTTTGAAAAAATCAAAGCTTATAGCCATACATTACAGCAAGATCTACAGATTCCTGAGCAAAAGGTTGTTTGGATTGGATTAAAAAAACTCCTTTATTTTTCGTTTAGCGGCTAAATTACAGTAAACCATTTTATTTATACAGGGTGTTCGAAAAATGCACGGCCAGATTTCAGGTGATTCCCTATTAAAAAAATACGGAAAAAGACTCATTTATACCGGGGTCAGGCGTTCAGTAATGCTTAGTTTTAAAGATAAGGAATGATAAAATTAAAAAAAAAATAATTTTTTAAATTATTCTAAATATTTTAAATTATACAGGGGTTTGTAATTATTTTAAATTATACAGGGGTCAGGGTAATGCGAAGTTTTAAAGATACAGGATGTTAAAATTTAAAAAAAAAATATTCTAAATACTTTGTAACCGACTTTCTTGAAATTTGTTAGTATTATTTCTACTAATAATGTCCTAATTGAGGACTCTAACTAAATTAAAATTATTAACTTTAGTGCCGTCCCAGGGAGCACCTTATCAAAGTAATTAAAAATATGTACGCCACTGACTATCTTTTTTTAGATAAGACAACTAAAAATTTAACTTTTTTTTCTTGTATATAAGATTCCTATCTAAAACTGGTTCTCGAGAAAAAAATTACAACCAACTCATAAGTTCTTTACCCTAATTAAAATACGCTGTGTCTAGGCGCACCTTAACGTGACATTATAATATTAAGGTACACAGGGAAAACGTCATCACAGTTATGAAGTGAGAAAGATGCCTGTACCGACTTATGCCTGTATTCAAGACATAAACGTGCGCGTAAATTTCGAAAGATCGAAAAAGAACGGCGTCAGACACGGCTGGGGAGTGACAATCGATCATAATTTTGTAGAGGTCAATCTCTAGATGTCAATTAAAACTTCTCTTTAGCTATGATTGTGATTTCAAAGCATTTCAAAGTGAGTTTATACAGGGTTTCCCAGAAATAAGTGCAAGTATTTTAAGGGGTCGTAGATCTCGATAAAAGAAACATATTTTCTCTTTACCGTTTTTCAAATAAGTCCAAAATAACGGAGTTATTTTACTTTGAAAATTTAAAAAAATAATTGCTAAAATTTTGATAGCTAATGGACCTTTTCTGGTTTTTCTTTCTTGTAAATTTATTCTAATATCTATGTTGCAATATTATCAAGAAATTATGTTTTTTAACTAAAAACTAAAAAAAAATTCCAAAAATTTTTTTCAAAAAATTTCGAATTTTCAAATTTTTTTTCGCGAAGAAAACCTCATAGGCGTGTGTCTAGGGTTGAACTATACTACCAGTTAAAATACTTGCGCTTATTTCTGGGACACCTTGTATATGTTTGATTGAGAAACTGAGAGAACAAACCTTAAGACTTATTAGAAAAATGGCGGTAGACAGAAAACAAAAAGTGTTTTAAGCCAATCGACTGAATCGGATTACAAGCCGATATACACGTAGTCATTGATATTCAGTGCTACCTACAGGAAATCAAAAAAATTATGGCATTTAAGATAATTACAAATAAAATAATTTTTAAAAGTTTTTTAACATGCTATATTAAAAAAAGTTTGAGCGTTGCATATCCTGCCGCAGATCCTGCAAGATTGCGATCATGTCATTCTGGGACGAATGGAGTATCTGATTCCACTCATAGCCCGTCGACGATACTGGTAGTGCGGTAGTGCGATTAACCACCGGTCAGCCCACCGACTCCGTGTGGCCCATCCCTTTCAAACAATTGGCGATCACTCTTCCTTCTTTTTTTGAAGTAGTTTTATTTTCTGTCAAACCTGTCTCAAATTTGCTTAATTTTATTTTCCTCGTTATTTAGGTGCTAATAGCAATAGATAAAATAAATAACCTACCTACCTTGTAGATTCTACCGTAAAATAATATTTATTGCTTATAGTTAGTATGATAAAAACTATTTTTAGTAATATTCAGTACCTCAAGAATATAATTTAATGCAAAATATATTAAAAGAAAATATTCTGTAAGGCTATAGTAAAGTACTAAGTATATATAATTCGAAATAAGAAATTAGTCAAATTTATACTTATTTAAACTAAACTTTGTTAAGGTACTCACAATTTAAATTTATTTTTTAAGTATACAAGCTGTATAAAGAAAGTATGATGATTGGCGGATATAACATATTTTTACTGTCTTATTGACGCAACATTACAACCTTGATTGAAAATTGATTATAATTTTTTAGATGGTACAGACGATGTGTGATTGCTTCAGTAGGACCTTGGCAGGAACTCGGGCATACAAAATTGTTAGATGTGTCTTTGGAACCTGTAAATGACAATTCAAATTCAGAAGTATCCGTTTGGGCTTTAGCGTCAAGTGGCCAGGTGATGTTTAGAGTGGGTACCTCTAGGTCTAACCCAACGGTACAGAATATTAATTTGTTAAATTTATAGTTTTAATATTAGTAATATTTATTTTAAGGGTCACAGCTGGCAACACATCACAACGGACCAACCATTTAGCAGTATTAGTTGTGGACCTTTTAATCAAGTATGGGCTGTGGGAAAAAAAGGATGTGCTTATCTTAGAGTTGGAATTAAAGAGGATAAATTGGAGGGAGAAAGGTAATGTTTGGATTATATTTTAATAGTATGTCTTATAGGCCTTATAATATCTAGTATATTTTGAACTACTTATAATAGTTTTGGTGGCCCATATCGTAAACCATATGTGTTAATATATTGTCGAATTCTTGGTTCGCGATATGAACAGTATAATGAATAGTATAAACTGTAAACATAATAGTATAACAGATTAGGTATCCTATAAGTATACAGATAAAAATCTTGTCCCTAATTCGTGGTACGAAAATTGTTTTTTATGACGATGTGCAAACGAGTCAAATTTCCTGTGCGCAAAAGTAAACTCGCCTAAAATAACAATAAACAGCGTAATAGAGAGATATCGCTAAACCGAATAGCGTACATGGACGTTAACAAGGCCAGGTGTTATTTCCTTTACGTGAGGTGGTATTAACTCTCTTCATTTATAGTTATCGGATCGGAAAGAATTCTGATCGCGTCGCGTCCGCTATTTAAACTTAACCTAACCTTGAATTTGAAACTTTGAAATTGTTTTGTTTAATAGGTATTTTAAAACTAAAGGGCTAAAGTGCTTATTTCCAGTGCTTTATTGTTCAACGTCTGCCAGTGGGTTTAGGGCAACAGGCAACAAATTCTCTTAGAAGGACTAAGTCGTCATCTGCTGTAAACCTAAGACTCTTTATAGGTTCTTTAGTATTGGAAGAGGTGGAATCTACATATTTTGGGCCATATTTATTTAATTAAAACTAATTCCAGCTACTTAAATATCAAATTACCTAATAAAACTAAAGCAATAATTCAAAACAATTCAAACATAACTTAAAATAAAAGATCTCGCCGGCCGGCTCCGGTTGTCAAATACCCGCAACACATGCCCATTTAAGCAATTTTTAAACGTTATCAGAGGTTATTTAGAAAGAGCGCTTGGTGTAATTGATCCGCAAATTACGTCAGGCGGTAAAACGTTATTAGCGGGTGTTGCGTTAAAAATTGACTCGCGCATATCGTAACCATAAGGTACGCGTAAATACTGGATGACGCTATTCGGTTTTCCGATATCTCTCTAATAACTGTGCCGGTCAGGCGCTGTGCACAATTTTAGAGGCCATAAGTGGGCGTGCTATGTGCGCAAACTAGTCACCTAACTAGTGCCCGATTCCGAAAATTGGAACCACGAAAAACAACAAAGAAAAAACAAAGATTATAATCTGTATAATCTGTGATAGTATCTTCAAAATATCAAATATATTACATAAATTAAACACACTGCCTCAAAAGAAAATATATTTATTAAATACTAAACAAATTACAAAATTGAAAAAATTGCCTACCCAAGTAGCATTTTTAGACACAAAATAGAAAAAAAAATCTCTGCTGAGAAACATTGCGAAACATTTTCGAAACTGATGGTATTTGTGTCAAGACACAAAGTTCTGAAATTAATTTGACACATTTGACACATTTTTGATACATATGTTTCGTAACATAAATCGCTTTTTGTTTCGAAACATTTTATCAAAATATGGTTTCGCTACATAAGCTATAACAATAAAGATCTTAGTGTCACAAATTTTTCGAAACTTTGAAGAAACAAATGTGGCTCATATTTACAAAGATTTTGTATCCGTTTTGTGCCTCAAAAGTTTCCATAATTTATTTGATATTTTGTCAAATATGAGAACATAACCTTACTTTATTATATACTATTTGGATTTTGTTCTGCAGTTATTGCAAAATGGTCGAGACTTAAAAATTTAAACATTCTTAAAGTTTTATAGTATAATTAAAAAAGCAGACGCAGTCTTCTACGCCAAAAATATGAATTCATTGCGAATTTCGCTATAATATGAACTATGTAAATAAAAGATGGTTTTATTTTGCGATATTCGCATTTCGCAATTCGCGTGTGTATATTTTACCTTCTAAAAGTTTAATACACTAATTCAACTTAAACCATTGTACAATAAACTTAAAGGGGTTTCACACAAGAACGGTAAACTAATAGGATTGCTCATCCTCATAAGACGTACGTTCGTTCAATTAAAGCATTAAGTCGCCGCGCCGGTGACTCCTAAGGCAAAACTTCTCGATTTAAATAATAAATAAGAAGTATAGTTGGAAGATAAACACCACAAATGTGTATGAGACTGTATTGGTTGGTTCATATTTAGTAGAATTATTCATTCTGATATAGACTTTGTGTAAAAATCTGGTAGCATTTAGGATTTGTATATGGGATTGGCTGTTAAGTCTCAATTCTTCTTCAGAATATATTGTATTAATATACCTCTTACAATGCCTTTACATGATGTTAAATTGTTAAGAATAAAATCTTTATTATCTTTGTTGCTTATCCTTTATAGATTCATTAGCTAGCTCGAAATCTTGAAATGTAATAGGTATTCTGTTTTTTCCTTTAGAACCAAGAAAATTTCCTTGGCAAGTTGAACATGATTAAATCTATGCACAAAATTATCCGAAATCTCAGTAGATGGCTATTCAAACTACATATGATCTAGGGTCTGTGGCTTTAAAAGGTCTATTAGAGGAATTTGTATTTTTTTATCTGGTGTATAGAAGAATTTACATCTATTTTAGGTTTTTTGTTGTTAATATTTGCGTTTAAACTTTCCTTTTTTTTCGGTCTTGGGAAGGTTCGTAGAGGTGCAATATGGTACTAAGACTCTCCGCGCAGAAACCTATTCTTCTCTGGAACTGTCCCTTCTCCATTGAAATTTACGCCAACTGGATAAAAAACTAAATCCCTTAGCGCCTGATGGATAATAATAATCAAAGGCCAAGTATAATTAGTGAAAAAAAGTTAAAGGTTCGTTAACTTTTTCTAGTCATTGAAAATTACTACCACTAATTTTAACGTTCTGAATGCACTAACAAACTTCTACGCTAATTGAAACCACTAATTTTGAGGCTCTGAATGAAGCTTTAGGAAAAGGGTAGTATAATTAAAAATATAGCAAAAGATAGTATAATTAATAATATAGCAAATTTAGCTTGAAGCAATATTAATAGGTTAGGAATTGATGAAAAAAATATATTATAATATACCGGGTGCGTCTCAAAAGTGACTCACCCCTAAACTTTTTTATTTTTTCAGATAAAAAAACGTGATTTGGTATGTTAGTATATGACGTAAATTGGAATTGATTGACGTATTCAGTTGTTTGGTTCATATTCAACATTTGGTTTTGGTCACTTCCTGTTTCACCGGAAATGACCACAACTTTTGATTTTTAAATGTCACACTCGGTATTTTTTTTACTTTATTCGATAGAAAATGACACTCTGAATAGAATGACATATCATATGTCAATCTTTGACATTTTCGATTTAAAAAAATCGTATTTTAAATTTCAATCTAGAGTGCCATGGTTCTGTGAAAAACACCAATTTTTATTCAAGGAGCCTTGGAAAAATAGATTTGATCGTCTAATGTTTTTCGTGTCTTGTCCCGGCCGGTTAAAAATGCACAAATCGTATTTTTAATCATATCTCAATTTTTTCAAATGGAACGAGGGTGGCTCATTAGCATATTTGGAAAAGGCATTTTTACGAATAATTTGGTATCACACACTTGGTACTTCGAGCCACATTATCGTTATAAACCGCATGTTACAATTTCAAATAAACCATATGAGAAAATGTCAAAAGTTGACATATGATATTATGTAATTCTATTCAGAGTGTCATTTTCTACAGAATAAAGTAAAAATATACCGAGGATGCCATTTAAAAATCAAAAGTTGTAGTCATTTCCGGTGAAACAGGAGGTTACGAAAAACAATTGAATACGTCAATCAGTCCTAATTTATGTCATATACTAACATACCAAATATCGTTTTTTTATCTAAAAAAAAAAATAAAAAGTTATAGGGGTGAGCCACTTTTGAGACGCACCCGGTATTTTTAATTTTTCTCTAAAACGACATGGAACATTGAAAAAGTATAAACGGGATTAACCATAGGACAAGTAAGAACTTTTATGAAGAATAATTTTTTCTCATAAAGTTAATAATAAAAAAAGTTTTTCTACTTGTAAAGACGATGCGTGGACATGCTGTAGATCGATTTAAATTATTAAATACCATGTAATTTTGATAAATTTTAGAATGCCAAAATATCTTTAGTATAATGAATGAAATGAAGAACATAAATCTGAAAAAATATTTGTTGCAGGTGGGTATGTGTAGAACCGCCTGTAGGTGCTCAACTGAAACAAGTTTCGGTGAATTCAGCAGGCATTTGGGCCATAGATGCTTTGGGAAGATTGAATGTTCGTAAAGAAGTGTCTGAATCTTTTCCAGAAGGCACTCATTGGCAAAGCATTTATTCATCAGATCTCCCTGTTTTAAGTAAGTTATATTTTACATAAATACTAGCTCACCCGGCAAACGTTGTTTTGCCATATAAATATTTTGTTATGGAACAACAGTCATTTTTATTCACGGGGTTGATAATTATTGAATTACTAATATCGTTATTAAAAAATGGGGGTTGATGGTAGAAAGATGAAAATTTAGGGTTGTATGTATTTTTAATGCCACATCATAAAAAATAAATATAAAAATTTTTGTCCAAAAAAAAATTGGGGTGGACTACCTTTATCCCTTATGGGTATTACAATAGATAACAACCTATTCTCAGACCTACTGAATATACATATAAAATTTCATTAAAATCGGTCACGCCGTTTCGAAGGAGTATGGTAACTAAAACTCTGTAACACGAGAATTTTGTATATTAGATATACGGTCATTTGTAAATAAGGTTTCTGCTCTCGATGGGCTCAGCGATTTCTCTTGGCCGATTTAATTATATATTTTTTTCCAAAGTTATACGATAAGCATTTTTTGAGATACAACCGGTGTTCATTTTTAGTTGTCCACCCGGTACATGTGGAAACTGGTAGGGACCCAGTAATAAAAAAGTACTACCTTATAACCTTTTAATCTCTTTATAGACCAGCCGGGTATACTTTCTTTAATTTATTGTTTGTTGTTGCCACGCTTTAAATATCCTGGTGGATATTTTTTGAAACTTCCCAATCATTCGTTTTGCTTTTGGAAATATCTATTACTATGTCCGGGGTTTCCCATTTTGTCCAGTAAATGGCGCGCAATTCGAACCTCGGAAGGTAACAAAGAAAACGCAGTTGTTCCTTCATTATTCTACCAGAAGATATCTCAACGCTCCTTGACATTGCCCCCCTGTTAATTTTGATCAGGGTTTTCTCTCAGGTATATCTTCAATTGGCCCAGATGAACTAGCTTCATCTTATTTCTAGAGCTGCGTTGAATCCAGTACACAATATAATTATTCTCTTGATGATCGTATAAGGACCTTCCCATGCTGGGGTTAACTTCGGAGACCTTCCTTTCTTCTGCTGCAGCTTATACAGGCAAACCACATCGTCCCGTTGAAATCCCGTAGAGTTCTAGAGCTCTCAAGTTGTAACGAGTTTTTATCCGGTTACTGGCTAGCCCAGATTTAAGCGTTAGATTTAAGTATTGAAGTTAGTCTATAAGGGTTATAGCGTAGAGTATATATCTCAAATTTTTTCTCTGTAATATTTAATACGAAATCTTAATACATACACATTGTTTATTTGTACGTTGCATCTTTTATTACCTTCTATTTAGAACACGATCGTAGGCCCGTGAGATATCCAAAAAAGCAGCATAACATATTGTTCAATCCTCTGAACAAAAGGAATTGCTTTCAAATGCTTTGTTGCCAAAATCTTTTCTACCAGCTTGAGGACCTGCTCGACAGTACCGTAGGCCTGTCGAAAATCAACTTAATGGTCGGATATAAGTTTACAAGCTGCAATTTATGAAGACATGCCTTTTAGAAAAAATATTTCCATAACCTTAGAAGGGACTGGGTGGAGCGGTGAGATTTTACATCGTATGGGTCTTTCCCTGGTTTCTGGGTCAAAATTATCTCGACAATCTTTCACTGCGGGGGTAAACCTTTCTCCAGACACGTGCGTTAAAAACTCGGGTGAGAACTTAATCCCTATTTCTGGTAGTTCTTTTAGGATTTTCGGCGGAATCAGATCGTAACCCGATACCTTGTAAACATTCAGTTTTTAACTATGTCTAGCACTCACTTTTGTTTTGTTAGTCGGGATGTCTAACTGATGCATTTGACTATATAGATACGATATACTTATATACGATAATCCATAGTCATCATTCGGAGTAAATACTCCTGTTATTAAGTATTTAGCAAATGTTTTCGCCTTGTCGTCATCACTCTTCGCCCACGTTCCATCTGATTTTTTAATAGGTGGAAAGTTAGTGGACAGTTACTTGTATCCTTCCATAGAGAGTAATAAGTAGCCAGTGGCATTATATCATTACGAAAGAGGTTTTATGTCCTGGATAAGGAGTTGAGAGCCACAACTTCCGAGCTTGATGTTTCGCGTTCTCTAGATCTAGAATTTTTTTTGCATAGTATGAATTATATTTGTTTTACGTTTGATCTGGTCTAGCCGAGGCAGCTTGTTATATAGTTACATTAAAATTTTTTACAGCTGTAATATGTGCATAAACCGGGAAAACTTCTAGGTTCATATTTATCACGAGATCTAGGTCAGTCCTGGATTGCAGTTATTTTCTTTTAGTCGGTGAAAATTCCGTCTGCTGAGACTATGTGGCCCAAGAATTCAACTTGTCGCTGAAAAAAAATACATTTCTTAGGGTTCAAGTATACGTAAGCATTGCGTATGCGACCAAGACTTCTTCTAAATTACGTAGATGCTCCACAAAAATTCTTCCTATAACCAATCATAATAATTTCCACATTAATTCGAGCTATCATGACTATTGCACAAGATCAGCAGAACTTATTAGGCCTACCAAGTTCAGACTAGAAATTTCAAAAAAAAATCTTTAGATTTTGATTTACATATGCCCTGCCTCTGGCAATCAAAAATCTAGATGTTAAAAAATCAAAATTAAAATAAAGGAACTATTGATTGCTGAGGCATTTTACTCAGTCGAGGAATACAAAATATTTTTTTTTAAATAAATAGAGTAATCCTCTGTTATGAAGTTTGTGATATTGGTAGAATTGTCTTTTGTATTTTAAGGTATGGTTCCTTCCACGCGGCCGTCGCAAGCGGCTGTCGCACTGCGTCAGCCGCAACGCACTCCTAACATGCTTTTAAACGTGCCCGGTTCCTTCAGAGCGGCTGTCGTGCGCGTCAGCCGCGAGCGACTACGATCGCCGCGACTGTACTGCTCGAGAAGCAGTATAGCCACAGCCGCGAGAGCGTTTGGGTTGTGTTGTGTGAAATTTTTGGTTTGTTTTTTTATTTAGTAAATATTCAATTGGCATTTCTTAAATTAGATAACTATGTAAACATGTCGAAAGTGCCAATTTATGCCGATTTATCAATGTAGGGTAACATCCTTCATCCCGTCTTTGTTTAAATATTTTACAGGGGCATTTCCATTTTTTAGATTGGCTAATTGTAATAATATTTCTTCATCCTCCTCTTCTTCTAGTAATAAGTACATTATGAGATGATCCATCACGATTTTCACCAAAGATAGTTGTCTTTATACTGATCGAAGTCAAGTCGCCAGCTTGAATCGCGACGCGAAGCTAAGAAACCACTCGAATCAAAGGACAGTCAAGCGACAGCCGCGCTGCGGCTGCCGCATGCGACGACCACGTGGAAGGAACCGTACCTTTACTTTACTTAATGTGTTACACTGGTATTATTTATATTCTATGTAAAACTTGACTTGCTAAAATTGTATTTTGTTTACAAAACGTAGTCAAATAAGATAAAATAAAAAAAATACGTCGCCGAGATAAACTAAGCACGTTTTCCAAGTTAATCCTCTTAACACCACTTCTATGGGACATCGAAAATGGCTGGAGCATTGCATAATCTAAAAGGCATGATTGTAAATTACTATAGTCCGCTTCCTGTTTGTTGCTTTCTGTAGACCGCTATCTAAAGTACTGAAACACAAGTTATTCCTACCTGTATATACCTGTTATTCCTACCTGTATCCTAATACCTTTGATTGTTTTCCAGACAAACATATAATTTGCGCCTGATACCCCGGGTTCCTGGACTAGTACCATTACATATTGATTTTTCTCAAAGAGTCTTGTGATTGTGGCGGAAACCCCTTTTGCATGATGCAGGTCCCAAGTAAGCTCACGACCCTTAAAAGAGGAGGTGACAGCTTGTGTGCCACTTGTGGAGGCTGGTCTCGTGTCATTGACAAGTGTCAGCTGCCTGTCCTATAGTTCCCTTTGGGGTTGGTGTCTTGGACGTTGTGTTTGTAATTTCCCCAGTGTTGCTAAGGGGTTTCCTTCTAGCTCCACCAGTGGTGTTTTTCTTTCTTGAACTCATAGCGTATTCTCAAGAGTCATTAGTGATAGTCGGCCCACTTTTATTTACTCCTTACTTCTACATGCGGAGCTCTGTAGAAGTAAGGAGTAAATACAATGGGGTACCTCTTGGTGTCCCAAGGTTGAGACCAGTAATGTCTACCTAGCCACGCAGCCCTTTATCCTGGTCCCGCCATCGTGGGATTTAGGTTTTTGGTGAAATTGTCTCCTTCTGTTCCCGACGATTAAGCTAAGACACTCCACACCCTCTGCTCGTGAGACATGACCACAGACAGAGGGTGGTATCTGATATGACGGAAAGGGTAGTCCCATCCGACATCGATATACGTTTTGGTGCAATTCCTTGGCTACATCACTACAGTTAGAATCAAGACAGCGAGATGTTCCTTGGTCGAGCCAAAGTGCCAGAGGCTACACACCAATAGCAAGGTCTTTGATCTCCTAGAGGAAGCCTTTTTTAGATATAAGATAGCTTATTATTATTACATTCTTCAAAGTTATTGATATTATTACTTGAATAGTATTATTTTATTAAATGTGCATTGTATGATTAAGTCTTTCATTTTATCATAACAAACTAAATCAAGCAACATTTAAAAAATATGTTATACATATTATTAATATATTGTTTAATTTTAAACAGTGGTTTTCGAAACTAACCAGTTACAATATCAATATTTTCGATTCATGATTGAGATTATTTCACCATCTAATTTTATTTATATTTAGACTCAGCTAGTCATACACAAAGCTTTAAACAAGTAAGCGTAAGCAAAACTGATGTATGGGCAGTAACAAATGTTGGATCTGTATTAAGAAGGATAGGATTATCCACCCAAAATCCAGGAGGCTCGGGATGGGATATTGGCATAACAGTATGTGTAATAATACATATTAATAAAAAATATTATTTTATTTGCATTTTTTAGGGAAACTGGCAACATATTAGCGTCAGAGCATTTCGTTAAAAATAAGATTGTATGCTAAAATGTACTAAGTAAATATTAATACTCTATGTAATAAAAATTATGTGCAGCTTCAAAATATGTTTTATTATAATTTGATAATATTTTGTTAATATATTTTAAAATAGGTAAGTATTAGCTGATTCCTTTAATAATAATTAAAATTAAAAATAATTTATGCACCCTTATTTTTAGTCACCATTACTTTCGGTCCTCACATCGTCGGGCGTAGAGTACGGATGTGTTCGAGCCGAGGGCATATGAATGCAAACTGGCCGATCGCGCAGTAAATCGATATGTTAGCAAATAAATAAAATATACATTTGCATCAACGATAAAATAAAAGTGTATTGCAGACAGTTTTACATACCCTGCTGGTCATCCAATTTATGCAGTCTGGATTTTAATGAGTGTGACAGAGAATAATATAAATGACCGGTTTACAGACAGAGAGATAAAATCAAAAGCGGCATACAGTGTTGCCAGTTTTTTACTTTTTTAGGAAAACGTGTGTAGAAAACTATAAGCTATTTTAAAAACTTTCATGTACAATACTGAAATGATTATAATATATCTAAACTAAATATAACCGCTGTAGCAAGCGTAAGTGAGTAATTTTACAGCTGTAGTAAAATAAGTAAATAATATTAAAAAATAAAGTTCCAACCCTAGATGCAACATTTTTCGTAAACGCCTACTTGTGCGGTTTGGAATTTCCGGCATACATTTGGAAAGCCGGCAATACTGTATAGAAGAAATGTGTCAACCCAATTTTTATCTCTTTTTAATACATTTGATTTTCCATTAAGCTGTCTACATTACTGTTTTAAACGTTAAAATCTAGACCGCACAATTTCGATGACCAAATCGGTATAGGGGTCGACCAAATAGCAAACCACCAATGTGCCAGTAGTGCAACCACCCAAGCAATATAGTGACATAGCCCAAATCATGTCTTATTTCCAATATCAGCAAACTCAAAAGGCACTCCCATGGACGCAGCCGATGGCACTCCTGTTTTAACAATCAATGACAAAGAACATTTTTTTGAACAACGCAGAGAAATCACAATCAATTGCAAAATTGTGAATTCTCTCTATTATCTATATCGTCAGAGTAGTTCAGCATATCTACGATTTTAAGTCCAAGTGTTTGACGCCGGACACTTTAAGACATTAATCAAACAGCATTGACAGCAAAAAGACAAAATACCCTACATCGGAAACAGTATTGTAATTGTGTTGTTTGACGGGTATTTATTAAAAAGTTACAGAGTCCATGTTAACAGTACAAAATCGAACTTTTATTTTTTTAAATGTTATTCTTAATTATTTTTAACTGAGAATCTTTCACAATCTCAGTTTTAAATTTGTTAATTTGTTTGTTTTTGCTTACCCATTGTACTCATTTTAACTTATTTTATAAAATTATAAAAACTTAAATTATTTATAAAAACTTATGATTGTACCTCCTTAATGATTTATTAAACTCAAACCTGTTTAGTACCATTAGATTAATGGTGGCAAGACAAATAAAAACAGCATCTTATCAGTGGCGGATCCACGCTGGAGGGGGCTTCGGGGTTAAGTAAACTATGTATACTATAACTATAAGCAATATAGCATAAATGTAATATAAACAATTAAATCAAAAATAGACCTATCAGCTTACTGGATGTGGAAGGTAAGCTGTATGAACACCTAATACTTAACATATTACAAATTGAATTGGACAAACTGGTTGTCTTTCACAAAGACAATTAGGATTTAGAAAAGGTCTACAGACAACAGATGCAATTAAAAAAGTTATAGAAATTGCCAAGTGCGCTACAGGTTTTGCACATGCAAACAGAAAACTATGTGCTATGGTTACACTTGATGTGAAAAACGCTTTTAATAGTGCACCGTGGAATAAAATCTTAAATGAGTTGATAACTAGACATATCGATGAGCATCTTGTACAAATAATATTATATCTGAGTGAAAGAAAAATAAAACTTGAATCGTGTGAGATCACTAAGATTGTGTCAATTTATGGTGGTGTTCCTCCAAGGATCGGTCCTTGGCCCAACCCTCATTCTGTATGATAGTTTGCTAGAGACCCGCATGCGAGATGGAATTACACTCGTTGGTTTTGCAGACGACATCGCAGTACCGTAAATAGGGCGGTGCCACCAGTGCTCAGGCATAGGGCGTAGACTCTGGGTGGCGCAAGAATGGCCAGACCAAGCAGACACTTGTTTTTTCGACATGATCACATTTTTTGGAACAATTCAGAAGATATTTGTGTTTTTTTTAGTTCTACCATCAGATGGAAAACTTTAATGAAATATTTAAAAATTTCTTTAAAGAAATACGCCGAGATGGGCTTCTAAAGCTAGAGCCGTTAAAGCTTTAAATATGCAACATATCTGTTGCGTACTAAAGATTTTAACTACCAACGATTACACTGCAGAAACAATAGCTACAGCTGAAAGCATTTTGTGTATAAAACTATAAATTTATATGTATTCTGCAAATTTGGGATCAAGTTTTGGAGTCTGTTGATAGGGTGAACATAGCTTTACAATCGAAAACTATTGCTATCGAAAAAGCCTCTGAATTAATCAAGGGATTAAAAAGGCAGATTTAGAATATTCGCGAGACGGTAGATTAACGTGTAATGTGAGTTAGTGAGTGGGTGGTATAATAGAATAGGCGAAGGGTCCACATCAAATGGCTCGTCTGCTTGTTTGCCCAAATCAGTTCTTTAAAGAAATAGATTTTTCTTCCAAAATATTAGATAATTGGTCCACTAACATCAACTTATTTGTGCTTTATTTTATCATCCTGAATGAAATAAAGTATGCCTATACATAGCATTGCTCTAAGGTACCTATAATATCTAAAAAAACAAGGGTGCAGTTATAGAAGCTCGCACAGGGCGCAGAAAAGGCTATTTATGGCACTGCGACATCACCATGGTTGTAACAGCTAGTAGTGAGGAATCGTTGATGAATTTGGCCGACACCGGACTAATGCGAGTAACAAAGTGGATGAGGAGGCAAAACCTTCAACTTGCACCTCATAAAACTGAAGCAGTTCTGCTAACGATTAAGAGAAAAATAGCTATTATAGACTATATTTTAATGTAGAGCAAACAATAGTTAATCCAAGTAGTGCCATTAAATGTCTTGCTGTATGGCTGGTCTCAAAACCGACGTTCGGTGTACATATTGACAAAACTGTTAAAGCGCCGAAGACGATATCGGCATTGACTAGTCTCATGCCGAATGTCAAGTGTCCCAAACCTTCCAAAAGGCGTATTCTGGCAAGTGTGGTACATTCGCAACTACTGTATGCAGCACCGGTATGGCATATTATAACGCAGAATAAAAAAACAACTGCAAAAACTTATAAGTGCTCTGTGCATACAGAACAATATCTGGTGAAGGTGCTTGCGTTGTAGCTGGAATTCCTCCAATAGAGCTTCTAATAAAAGAAAGACATGCACCTTATTGTGGGTTGCCAAGGCAAGAAGCCCGAAGTAAAATGATTACTGAGTGGCAAAATAAATGGTAAACATGGTAGATGGACACATAAACTTATCCCGAACATTGAAAAGTGGATTACTAGAGGCTACGGAGAAGTAGACTACTACGTAACGCAAGCGTTGTCAGGTCATGGGTGCTTTGGTAAATATCTCTTTGTTCGAAAAAAAAGACCCCACTTCAGTGTATATATTGTCATGCCGAAGATGACGCAGAACATACTTTATTTGAATGCCTTAGATGGGATTAAATTAGAAGTCAATATTTGCAAGATACAAAAAAAGTGTTCATAGGAAATGTACCAAATAGCTCATTTGACGGGAAAAATGCCTGGGACAAAGTTACAATGATTATAAGACATATTATTGAAAATAAAGAGAAGGGAGTCCCAGATGATGCAAAAAGTCTGATAGATGAAGATTAAGGACAACGGCCGGATTGAAGAAATGCGAAAGCGGATTCCAATGCGGTTCTGTGGCAGGGCAGAGAGGGTTTTTTTAGCCGGTAGGAATCCGGCACTATCCTTTGGGGGTGTCTCATGCAAGATTTTTTTCCCTCGTCCTCAACCAAAAAAAATCATTTCCCCGGAAGATGGATTGGAAATGGTGGATCAGTATAATGGCCAGCGAGGTTCCTGGACATGTCGCAAAAGTGCGGGGGGGGGGGTGACAATCCTTTCGAACATGGAGAACATTAGAAACTACTTTATAGAAGTTGATTTATTTGTAATAATTACGATTAATAATATGCATATTAGATTATTAGATCGTACATTGAGATTTAAAATTCATAATAAAAAAATTGGCGTCGGGAGGCACGTATAGCCGCCCATACTAAAATATGTTAATATCTCGAAAACTGCGACTTTGACTGATTTTGATGTTATTACAAATTTTGTTGCAAATATTATTCCTAATCTTAATTTGAAAACCGCGTTTCGCTAGCTACTGTAATTTTGGAGTTACGATTTTTTAAAATTTTTAACCCCCTCCCATACCCCCTTACCAACCCTCCACCCCCACCAAAAACTAATGGCCAGATTCTCGGGTGCCACAGTATTTTTGTGCCAAATTTGGTTAAAATCGGTTCAGCGGTTTTTTGAGTTATCGTGTTACAGACGGACAGACAGACAGATAGACACCATGAAAATATTTTGTATTTAGGTCATTTATGACCTGAGTAACTCATTTTGAGTGAAATTAAAAAAAACTTGTTGCCGATCCTAATAGCCTACCATACCAATTGGTATGGTCGGCTAAAAAAAGTTAAATATCTTTAAATTGCTGACCTGGATATTATTTATTTGAATCTTTCAATTGGCTCGATTTTCCTTATTCAGTGGTAATCGCTAATCAATATTGTTGCGATGAATATAATCAGGTTAAATAATTTAAAAAATCAGAGTCTGACTTTGAGTACACAAAACAAAAAAAGTATATAAAGTGTGGCATATTGTTGTACTCAGTACTCAGGAGATTGAATTCTTTCAAAACCTGAAATAATAAATGCAGGTTCATCTTTAAAAAAATAAGTTGGCCTATATATCTAAGAAACTATATTAGGTAATTTGAAAATCTAAAAATATTATCAGATAGCCCTAATATAGTATAATGGCTATGAGAACTTTGTATTATTTTTTCGATTTTCTAAAAAATCGACACGAAAAATAAAATTTATTTTGACAAAAATCGGTGCTGTTTTATATTAATAAAAAATCACTAAAAAAATGCATAAATACCGACAAAGAAACCGCTCACGCAGATAAAGGAGACGAACTTTTTTATAAGAATGATACTGCGGAATGCAATCGATCTGATTGAGAAAGTCCAAATAAATTTCCAAGATGTCTATTTTTTAAAAACATGTCCAGTGCTTGCCTAGTTTTTTTTCTCTCTGCTGTATATAAATAATGATAGGCTTGGTTTGGTTTTGACAAAAACCTATTTTCTCTTTACCGTTTTTCAAAAAGTCCAAAATAACCGAGTTATTTTACTTAGAAAATTTCCAAAAATATGTTTTTTTCCTTAAATTTTGAGAACCACTGGATCTTTTCTGGGTTTCCTTTCTTGTAGATTTAATCTACTACCTATGTTGCCATATTATCAAGAAATTATGTTGTTTAACTAAAAGCTAAAATTCCCAAAAAAAAATTCAATTTTTTTTTCGCGAAAAAAAATCCTATTATCGTGTTTCTGGGGTCGAAATATACTACCTCTAAAAATATTTGTACTTATAATATTTAAGACTCACCCTGCATAATAAAAATAGAGTATTTTTGAGAAGCTCATAGCAACTCATAAGGAAACTCATTGCACATCAGATCAGATGATTATTTTTAAATTTATTGTTTTAAAAAGTTTCTTTACTTGTAATAACTATTTTAGTGTCTGTAAGGAGTAGTTTAAAAAATCAAATAAATAAAAATAAAATATCTTTATTTTATACAAATAAAAAAACAATCAAATAGATTTTCGAAAGAAATCAAATACACCACTTTATTAAAACAAACTTTGGTGTAAATGAATAAACCTAAATAAAAAAGAAATAAAGGATTGATTTATCATTTATCGAATTTTTTTCAGTCTATTAGTTAATTTAATTATTAATTTTAAAAACACAGTTTAAATATAAATAGAATAAATAAATATTAAATAAATATCTCCGTATCTGCAAAGGCGGACCCTAGATTTGTTCGCACAAGCATCCAAACCAGTCTCAGAAACTTGTCAAATGTAGTTGATTACACCAAGTCACAGATATGTCGTAAACAAAAAACATAGATTATTAATTCGGTTAACTATTCTAGGCAGTTTTCTGATGCTGTGAGAATGAACCTTCTGACGACTCGTGTACTTGGCAAGTATTTTTTATTGGCATACAGGGTCCGGCGAGAGTGCGGCGTAGGTACTATAATAAATGTCTTAGAAATTCCAGGTATAGATGCCCTATGCACACTATATACCCTGTATACCAATTTTTTTTATACAAATGTTTGTCAAGTACCTACACGAATCGTCTGAGCGCGCCATAATAAAAAAATAATATAATCAGACTTTATTTTCTAAACAATTCAAACAACTATGGAAAAGCTTCAAAAGCCTCGTTAGCCAAGACCAATTGTTGTCCACCTGGATATTCTATCGGTACCAGTACACCTATTTGTTGTCCATTGGTTGTCATTACCGGTTTTCTCTTAGTGTCAATAAAATTTTCTAAAATCGGCACGTTTTGAGCCCAAGTCGTGAAGCCGTTACCTATATTTTGTGAGAACTGACTTAAGCCATTACCGACATTCTGAGAAAATTGCGATACCCCGTTTCCAACATTTTGAGAAAACTGAGATACCGTCGTGCCAACTTGATTTATTCCGTTTCCGATATTCTGAAATATATCGGGCACGTTGATTTGGATTGGAAGCCAAGGTGTTTGCTGAATCCATTGACCAATAAAATCGAAAGGACCCCTTATTTGAGGAATTGCCTGTTGGTCTGTGGGTACTGACTGAAAATAGATGGGCACGATGTTGGCTGAACTGGACGGTTGAATAACCCTAAAATAAAAAATATATAAAGCATGAGTTTCGTTATGTCAAAAAAATATTTAATTATGTTTGACGATTTTCTATTGAACATACAGGGTGGCGGTCTCTAAAAAAAAATTAAATTATTTTATTTTGTAATTTTCTTGCAGTGGCGAAAACCCCATATAGGATTTTTTTGGAGAGATTTGAGATAAACTGAACTAGTTTATAATCATCTGCTGATGATGCTAACATGGTTAGCGAAACGCGCGTCCAGTGTAAAAGTAAAAGTGTTTTGGTGTATTGTGGTGATTTAGTGTTTTTATTTTAACCTACATAAGCTGACAAAATTTCATTTCAATACAAACTGTCGTTCTCCTTGGAGCCTCCGCGGCGTATGAGAGGCGCCACCCTGTATACAAAAAAATATGTCTGTTCTTCTTTATGTAAAAACTTTTTTTTTATGTAAAACCTTAATGGATTTTTTATTATTGTATTCATGGAATGTAGAATGAGTAAGAGGGGAGGGGGGGGGGTAATCACCGCAACCTTAAAGAACTATTGTGTCCCCCTCACTTGAGTTATAGCTTATCATACAGTCTATAACACATCATACATGGGGATTTTCCTGTTATAGGTATACGCTCCCTCGGTTGGGGTTTAGCCCTCTGTGCCCTTCACAGTCGAGGAACTTGTCTCCGGCTGAGATACCCGTGAGCTGGAGGCTGGAGGATCTGTCTCCATTGTCTCCACTTCATTAACTTGGTCTCTCCTTAAACCTGATACCGGTGTTGTCCCGAATCTATAGTAGAGGATATATCCCTCTTTCTCTATTACCTCTTTGGATTTGAAGTCAATTACACAGCAAGGGTTAGTCTAATAACTATTGGTCCACTTCTACAGAGCCCCGCCTGTAGAAGTAAAAGGGAGGCGAGAATACAATGGGATGCCCCCTGGTGCCTCAAGGTTGAGACCAGTAGAGGCTAGTCTCATATCCAGGCACGCATCCCTTTGACTTGGTTCTGCCATCATAGGATTTAGGTTTATGGTGAGGCTGTCTCCTCTTGGTCCAGGCTGTTAAGACCCCCCACACCCTCTGCCCGTGATACGTGAACACGGACAGTAGGGGGTGCCTGGTATGATGGACAGGGTAGTCCCATCCGGCATCGTTATGCGTCTTGGTGCAATTTCCTGGCCACGACACTATAGCCAGGGACAACCAATGAGATGCTCCTTAGACCCAGCCAAAGTGCCAGAGGGGATTCCCCCCAACACCTGACTAGGAGCTCCCCCACCAACAGCAAGGTCTCGCATTTCCTAGAGGAATATTAAAGCAGTTGAAACATTTGGCGCTACAACAGAAAAATAAAATTCACCACAAAACATCAAAACAATTTATGCCCTCTACTCAAGGGCGTAGATATGGGGGGTAGAGGCGGTAATAACCCCCCCCCCCCCATAGCGGCTTAAAAAAATAATAAAATTTCTATTTTGTTAGATAAACTAAAAAATATTACGATTTGTCCTTTCTGTGTTTTTGTTAATAATGTTTATATTGGTATAAACAATTTAAATTTTATTAAATAATCACCATGTTATCTATTTGCTATAAATTATTTACCAAAATTTTAGCTACTCTGGATTTGTAGTAGATTATATCTACAAAAAAAATCAGGCTAGTTCGAATTACTTCGAGTTTTACCAAAAAAAATGTTGCCTACTGAGTCACTCCTTTACAAAATCTCAATCAAACACCGACGGCGACGCCCATGTGTCCTATTTTTTTTTAAATTAAAATATCTGACAACCCTTACTCTACCCCTCCCAGAAAAATAAAGTATCTACGCCCTTGCCTCAACTCGCGTTTTTTTAATAATATTAGCAATGTTAGCATCACCAGCAGATGATTAAAACTAGTTTTGATCAAATGCTGGCGGTTAAACCTAGTTTAAAATAGGAGGTAAAACAAGCTTCTGGAGTTCAAAGTAAGTAGTTCTAGTTAATAGAAAATCGATATTGTAACTATATGTTTAATATTAGAAGGATATTAGGTTACCGCACAGGGTTACCATAAGAAATATTTTGCACGGCGCGGCGCCGGGGCTAAAATCTCTTACCAAGATATTTGCTCTTAAAAATATCAAATATCATCAGAGTTACAGTGTTGCCGGATCGTTTGAAAAGTTGTAGCATCTTTGTTGTTTTAAACAGAACATTTTTAGAAACATATCTCAATCATGAGATATGTTTCATAGATATTGTAAGATCATGAATTATTGAACATAATTTAAATTTGTAATTTAGGTTGTAAGTTAACGAAAGGCGATATATTCAACCGACTCGATATTACCCTTGTATATATTACACAGGAAGAGCAAAAAATATATTTATTTCTGTTTGTTATAAAATTATCAAATCTTTGTTATGTTTAATTCAAATGTATGTATATTTTTTAAAAATCAAAAGACTAATAAAATTGCTTTTTAACGATATATCATACCTAAACTTTCCGTTTTTTAAGTAGAGCTATTTAAAAATGAATAATTCTATTAATATATTTAGTCCATTTCTATTTTTATATTTTATACATTTCACACACACAGAAGAATTTCGTTACCATCAAAGGTTACCACAACAAGTTTAGAAATTTAGCAAGTAAAGTCTAATTGATACTGTTGCGAGCCGGTGTGGACTCGACGTAACCTCACAATATGGCCCGCCCTCGGATGACCTTAACATCGCATAGACACCGCAATGATTCATTCGTTCGAGAAGAATCGAGACCCACTAGAATGGACTAGTACATAAGAGAACATTCGAAAACCTTCTCTATGCGCCTAACGATCTATGGACTATTCTAGATTTCTTTTACTGCAGGTATAAAAGCCGGCGGCAGTGGCCTAAAGAGGGCAGTTATAAATATACAGTTGACGCGCTAAAATTCAAAATAAATTCTTAGTTATAAATCGTTTGTAAATAGTTCTATAAGTCTTTTATCGTTATTGTTTTTGTTAATTAGTGTTAAATAAATAGTGTTTAAATAAATTGTGACTTTCTATCCACACGGAACCGACGAAAAAACGTAACAATACATAATATAAACTTTGAATAATTTGTCACGGTAAAGATTTTCTTTAAACGAAACATTTATAATAGAATAATTATTATCTTTTAAATGCCTTTACTGAACAAACCAGAAGGTTTATAGATATAGGAACATGATATATCGTTGAAAGTTTATTAAAATTTACAATACTACTTAATAATTAACAAAACTTGATATGGCTAATTAAAATTTCCAAAAAATTGATTTTTTGCTTACATTTTGAGAACCAACTACTGCATCTTTTCGGGGTTTTCTTTTTTGTAAATTTAATCCCATCAAAATCATAGAAGATACAAAAATGTCAAGTCTCGCAACACAATAATTCTTCCACTATAAAAATTGTGAGATCTCATGTAAAACCAAGTCATTTTATTTTATTTAGTCTCTCTAATCGTTATTTCTGTAATAATTATATTGATTTGGCAAATTGCACAGCACCATAATTATAAAAGAATAATCTACCATCTCAATTACTAAGTAAATCTAAACAGTGTCCTTAAAAATAAAGTTTTTTAATTAGAATAGAATATTATGTCGTGCAATTGCCAAGTCATTATAATTATTACAGAAATAAAGATGACTAATATTGATACTAACAATTTACAATTTATAACAAAATTGTCGAATAGGTGCTTAAAGAGAGACTAAATAAAATAAACTGACGTGGTTTTACAAGAGATCTCACACTTTTTTATAGTGGAAGAATAGTGTGGTGAGACTTGGCATTATTTTACATTCTATGTTTTTCATGGGATCACATTTCTTTTTGTAGGTTATCCTCCTATTTTTTTCTCGGGTAATATATCATTCAAAAAATATATTAAAGAAGTTTGACTAGCAATAATTCATAAACTTTCTATTATCGTATAAAGTCAGATAATATCAAATGAAATCGAATTATACAGGGTGGCGCGACATATACGACACGGTTTCTGCAAGGAGAACAAAAGTTTGTATTGAAGTGAAATTTTGTGAGCTTATGTAAGTCAATTTAAAGCATTTTCTAAAATTATCTACAGATGAGTTCTACAGGGTGTCCCAGGGTACATTTCTAAAATGAGTTCTACTAAATGACTAAATAACTATAAACTATAATTATGAGATATGAGAGTAGTTTCCAAAGATGGAATAATATATTGGATGTTCCATTTAAAATAACAAAGATGCTATCACTTTTCAAATAATCCGGCAACACTGTAACGCTGATAATAGCTTACTTCGGGTTTCTCTTATTACCGATTCTGAACCTAGAACTGTGATGTGTATGCTGGTGTATGCGTAGAAGAAAATATAAAAGTTCTAGGACGGTTCAGAATCGGTAATAACAAGAACCCGAACAAAGCTAATATTTTAGATAGATGGACTAGATGCTTTTATATAAAAATCCAAATTTTCAAAATAATCCTATTACCGGTTCTCCTAATTACCTCATGAAAGTTGGTTACCGGTAGGGGCTAGACAGCTAACTTTTGATCTATATAGTGGAGTGCCCAGACACTTTTACCTCGGAATTCAATTACTGTCAATGTATTAATGTGAAACCTTCTGTATTGTGTTTTATAGATAAAATACGAAAATGTTTTTTTTTCGTTGCTGTTAATTTTTTATTTTAGTAATTTTAGTAAATTCTTAATTATTTCCTTCTTAATTTTTTGATTTTTTTTATTCTTTTTCTAAGTAAATTTATTGAGGTAAATAAATCTAATGCATAAGCTAAGGCTATACCTATTCTGCTTATATTTTAACCATTGAAAGTTTGATTGAAATCGAATTATACAGGGTGGCGCGACATATACGACACGGTTTCTGCAAGGAGAACAAAAGTTTGTATTGAAGTGAAATTTTGTGAGCTTATGTAAGTCAATTTAAAGCATTTTCTAAAATTATCTACAGATGAGTTCTACAGGGTGTCCCAGGGTACATT